AAATACCGTATTTATTCTAATATAACGACATTTCGTTTTATTTTTCAACCTTCTTCTAGGGTGTTGTTTTATTAGAGACTGTCGTCATAAATTAAATCTTTGATTGTCTTTTTAATTTATTTTTTTTAAATTATTTTCAAATCTGGTTTTTTCTCAAACTCCGGATTTTTTCCGGACCGATTTTCAGCCATGAAATGGGTATCACGACTTTTGCGCCGAGAACATTTGCGCCGCGACTTTTGCGCCGCGACTTATGCGCCGGGCGACTTTTGCGCCGCGATTTTTGCGCCGCGACTTATGCGCCGAGCGACTTGTGCGCCGCGACTTTTGCGCCGGGCGACTTATGCGCCGCGACATTTGCGCCGCCATTATTTAAAAAAAATAATATCTTCAGAGGGACCTAATTATAGTGTACTCCTTAAAAATGGTATCCAGGAGCTGAAGGAATTTCAGGAAGTACAATATTTCAGAAAGTACAATAGCCCCCTAAAATAAACCGACCCCCTAGAGGAAGGTTGAAAAATAAACCAACCCCCTAGAGGGGTCATTTTCAAAGAACTTGACATTTTCAGATCAGGATATTTGGTCTGCTGCCCCAATTCAAGCATGATTTTCTGCCAGAAGAGGGTGAACTATAGTGTAGAGTTGTCAGGTCCAGATCTGAAAAAGGCGGATAGCCGAAAATTTTAGGTCGGATATCGGATCCGGATCTTGATATCCGAAGATCTCCAACTATCCTATATCTTCTATAGTGAGGTCCGGCTGTAGTTTTTCATAATTATTAATGATAGTGGCGGCGCAAAAGTCGTCCGGCGCAAAAGTCGCGGCGCAAACGTCGCCCGGCGCAAAAGTCGCTCGGCGCATAAGTCGCGGCGCAAAAGTCGCGGCGCAAATGTTCTCGGCGCAAAAGTCACGGAACCATGAAATGCAACCTACTACTCTCCGTAGGATAATTGCCCTCCCTCAAATAATTGCTCAACCTCTACTAATTACCCCTTTCAGGAGAGGTCAAAACAATAAACCCAGGGTAGTTAATACGGTATATACGGTACTCTCCGTAGGAACACAAAACATTTATTCCATTATAAATTAATGTGCTCATAATTCTGATCGTTAGCATCTACTCACATTCTAAAGTTTCTATGTAGAGTAGATTGCATCAGCATTCTGAGATCTTGACTAATTAATTTCAAAATAAATTGGTAATAATTTGTAAATATTTACATTTAAACTTGTTTATTTATCAAGGTTTCACACGCAATTATTTAATAAACTTTATTTATTCGCACGTCCCAACAAATTTAAAGGAAAATTAAAATTTGAGCAAGATTGGTTAAAATTTTTTGTATTTAACTGCTTAGGTATTTAATTTTTTACATTATTTGAGTTAGGATTAAATAAATTTAAAATATTCAAGTCATCAAAATTTTACAAATATGAAAATTAATTTTTGCATTTATTCGTTAATATAATTGACATGGCCATGAAAATAAAGTCGAATCCGGATACAATTAAGGGAATCCAAAAGGCCTAAAGATCTATTGATTTTATAACAGTTTTGGGCCTTTATCAGCTTTGGTATTTTGGGGAATACATTCAAAAATCAGTTGGGTCCCGCTATTTGATGGCCCTAAATCAGATTTGAATTACTTCCCAGTAATCGGATTCAATTCAATTTTAATTTGGTCTAGTTTAGTTTATGAGTCCAAAAAACTTTTAAGAGTCCAAACAAACTCATAAACTTTTATTGGATTCATTGACGAGACTAGAAACTTTAAATTTAATCATTTTCTTTTTTTTGCTTCCGATCATTTTCACTCATTTTCTTTTTTAGCGACCTCCAGTATTTCCATCAGTGTGTCCTGGACGGCCTCCATTTTTGCCTGACGGTCCACTTCCAGGATTTTTTCCTTTAATCGAATCAACAAAAGGAACACTCAAAAGCATTAAATTAACAATTAAATAAATTAAGAAGACAATTAAAGATTTAATTGAATTAATAGCCATTTTTTGGTTGTGAGAGGGGATTTTTTAAAAATTTTTTAAATTAATTTTTTCTATTAAAATAAAGGTAGAGTTTAAAGGGTATTTAAATATGCTCATTCATTTTATTTTTTAAATATTTATTCAACTGAAGAGGCTTAAATTAAATTTTAAAATGTGGCAAGGAAAAAATTATTTTAAGGAAAAAAATTTTTTATAATAGAATTTTGTTTAAAAAATTTCTAAAAAAAAATTTGAGGGAAATCTTTTTTTTATAAAATATAAAAAAGATTTTAGATTACGTCTTTAAGCTTATTTTAGTTTTTGTATCAAATAAAAATTTTTAAATTTAAAATAATTGTTTATTCAATTGATAAGAAGGAAATAAAATTTTAATTTACTTTCCATTTTGCCATCACTTTTTTTTCTCATTTACATTTTTTAATATTTTTATTAGGGTTGCCGTTTTCGAGTTCAGCAGATGGTCGAGTTATTTTTTTTCGGCCTTATATTTTATCAAGTCGCGTTGTACGAGCTTTTTTGGGCCAATTATCCTATGCCTGACTCGATCTTTCGGTCCGAGTCGGTCGGTCCATTTGACAACAATAATTTTTATACTCATTTTGTAGCCCATTCAATTCTCTTTCAGGGCTTTAAACTCCAGTTCCTATATTTAACTTTTTACAAAAGAGTTGACGATTGCAAAATTTCAACATCTCCCATTGTTCGGAAAACTTTCTTTGGGCTGTGATGTGATCGTTCCAGGATTTGGTCGTTCCGCGATTTGGTAAGACTTTAACTTGTCGTTTCCCTTTTGTATATGTAAGATTTCATATGTTTTATCTAACATAATATTCGAGCTTAGCATATTAAAAACATAATTTAAGTAGAGAATTCAAAATAATACTGTAAGTTATGTACCGAGAAACGTCTATTTCAGATGTTTGCGCCCAAACGAAAAATTTTGGCTTAAAATTTCGTTTAGTTAACAAAGTACTGGTCTTTCTTAGCTAAACGAAATGAAACAGAAAAATCACACGAAACACACGAACGACGAAACGAAACGTTTCGTGAATTTATGATCGTGATGATGTACAAATAAGGTCACTTTATTTATATGATAAAAACCCCTAATCCAAAAATTATGTCAAAAATATTTAATTCCCATTTCCGTTTATTTATTAACTAATAATTATAAAGTAGTGCAATTGTTCTAATTAAGAAAATGAAATGAAAGCTAATTAATTTATTTTCAATTTACTTTCACTTTTCTCTTGACATAAATAATTATTATTTTTTGACGGCTTTTTGTATTTTTTATATAAAACCCTTAGGGCATTATCCAAAATATTAATACATAATTCCTTATTTATTTGTGATTTTCCTGTTAAATACCTTCCATTTTAGGTAGCTTATCTTAATATAAATATTTGTTTTTTTATTTAAGAAAGTGAATTTAAAAAACTATAAGATACATAAATCTTGGGCTTAACTTAACATTGGCGGATTCTTTAAAGCCCTTGGATATCTGAAAAAATTTCCTGATCTTCGAAGTCTGATTAGCTCATCATAAATTATATAGAAAACATATCTAATAATGAGATTTATCTTTAATGCTCCATCACAATGCTAATAAATTAATGCTAATAAAAAGCTCCTTCACACAATATTCGATCAAATTCTAAAAACGTTTCATAATTTGATGAAATAAAAATTTTTATTTTCCTCCTAAATTAAATTTCTTAACTTTTTAATCCAGTATAATTGTGAAGAAAAATGTTCAAAACCTCAATTAATATAAATTTCAAATTATTCACTTTCAACTTATTATTCTCCTTTTCCCTGTTTTTGTTGCTTCTTCGGAATGTCCTTTCAGAATCCCTAGAAACAGACGACCAAGGAGGAGATCCTTATTTTGGTGTTCCGTTGGGAGCTCTTCATTACTCGGCAGAAGGGACTTCAGCGGAGATTTATGCTGCAGATGAATTTACAATTCTTTTTAATCATTTTCAACACAATCCGAGACAAATTGGGTAAGAAACATAAATAAACATTTAAATAAAAGCCTTGGAAAAAAAGAGTACTATTAGTTTAAGGAAATTAGATTTGATTGAGGTCTACGCTGATGTTGATGCTAATACCTAGTTTATTTTTTCTCGAAATAGAGATGAGGCTTCAAACATCTTCTATTAACTTAGGGGAGTATCGAGGCTCAATACAAATTCCAAAAAAGTCTTTTATCGGACTTTCGAATAATTGCATAATTTTTCAGTCTTCTTGGAACTAAGGTTGGCGGATCTGGATATATCCTTGATCCGAAAAAGGCTGGATATCCGGGAATTTTCGGTTCGGATATCGGATCCTATCCGCCAACCTTACTGGGAAGAAATTACAATGCATTGTGCAAATGTCTCTTTAAATCTAAAAAATTTTTCTAATTTCTCAATATTAAAGTTGCACGGCAATGATAATCGGCCCTCCTAGGCCTGAAGACCGCGAAAATGTTATTCCAGGCCATGGAATAATATTGCCAATGATTAAATCGAATACTTTCAAGGCCAATAGAGAAAAAAGAGAAGCTGTTAGATTTCACCGTCCTCAACAATTTGGCGGGTTTTGGCCGATTGAATTTGCGCATTTATTGTTAGAACCTTCGAGGGAAGGACAGGAGAAGAGTGGAAATTTAAATAAATTATCTCAAGAAGATAAATTGAAGAAAAATTCAACGACGCTTATTTCTCTTTCAGAGAGGTAATTAAAAAATGAGCGTGTCATACAAATTATTCGAATTACCGATTTTATTGGCCTGAGCCTCTCCAAGTTTTAATACGTTAACAATTCCGTTTCAGGTCCAATCTTTTCAAAATTTCTCAAATAAATATGCTTTAAGTTAAGGGCACAGCATTTTAAATTTATAACTTGAATCTTGTCCGTCTTGAATTTAGGTGTTAGATGAATCAGAGTGATAGACACTCATCACCTTGGATTCTAAGTAAAAGAAAACCTATTTCTAAGTCATGGTACATTTCGAAAGCCGAAATTTTTATCTCAAAACTGAGCTATTCGATAGTAGCTGAATTAATAGGGTTTTGATAATAAGTATAAAGAGGGATGGATTAATTTATGGCCATCTTTCTAAAATAATAAATTACTCCAGTACCTCAACATCATTTCCTTCAATTAACACATCTACCAGCTCAATCCCAGATTTACAACAAAGACAATTAATTAATGAAAACACATCTTCCTCTACAACACAACCCTTCACAATACTACCAACAACAACACAAATAAATTCCAAATTAAATACATCCACCCATCCATTATTAACTGGAACAACCCAGCCCCTCATTCTTTTGGGGTTTTAATTTTTCTAAAAATTTCTTTAAAAATTTTCAGAAGCAAACGGACTCCGGCACCTTTAATTAATCAAAGAAATTACTCTATAGCCTATTTAAATGCAAGGGATGATGCTATTGTTGAAGATAAAATTGAGAAAGCTGCTGATAGTAGCAGTATAAGACGATCACCAGCTAGAAATGGTTAATTAATTAAATTGAGAGACTAAAAAATGAGAGTTTAAATCAAAGGAACATAAAATAAATATATTAAACTCGAGATTTTTCGGGATATCAATCTCGAATTTCAACCAATCCCCAGATCCAATAACTACTAGCGCTTGGACGTTCGTAACAAAATTTTAATCGTACCCCGTACTTGCTACGAGGTACGAGTTCAGCAAAAGTTAAATTTCAATGAGTTACGAGGCCAATACTAGGTGTGGTAAATTACAAGTATCAGCAGACCTGCCCATGGATACGGATATGGATACAGATAATATCAAAATGCCTGCGGATACCGGCCTGTATCCGTCTGTATCCGCCGTAAATATGCGGATACGGATACCAAGATCAGTATCCGTGACCAGGTCTGAGTATTAGTATTTTCCTTTAGAACATAATTTGATAATAATATTATAATTTCTATTTAATTAGAATATGTTGGCAACAATGCAATAGATGCGAAGCCTCCGATAGAAATAAAAACAACCCCACTTTATCGAATAATTAAAGATCCACGTCCGGGACGTAGACAAAGACTTATTGAGGTTTTAAACGAAAATTAAATTTAATAAAAAAATTTTCAAGTTGAGGAAGAAATTAGACCCGACATATGAACCTCCATTATTTAGTACAACATCAACACCTTTTTCTGCCAACGAAATTCAATTTGTTTTACCTAAAATAAATGAGCAATTAGTTACATTTACATTAACTAATGGAGCTAAAATAACGCAGTATAAATGGATTGGTCTTTGGAATCAATGCACTAAAGTAATTTTTAAAATTATTATATGTATTATTGGGAAAATCTTTGAAAAAAATTTCTAAAATTTTTTACAGAATTTTTTGGCTCTTGTCCAGTTTATGCGTCCCATGAAAGTATATGCGTCCCATCAACATAAATTGAATATTTCTTAGTGTTGCAAAGTAGGGGTATGGTTCCAAAGCATTTCTTCATGTTCAGGACCTACGTCCACTGGGTCTGGGACCGTTCCTTACCCTATCCTTCGAAATTTCTGAAAGTTAAAATCGTTTTTCTGAAATTTTTAAAAATTGGCTATAACTTTCAGAAATTTCGAAGGATAGGGTAAGGAACGGTCCCAGACCCAGTGGACGTAGGTCCTGAACATGAAGAAATGCTTTGGAACCATACCCCTACTTTGCAACACCAAGAAATATCCAATTTTTTGTTGATGGGACGCATATACTTTCATGGGACGCATAAACTGGACAAGAGCCAGTTTTTTACCTAGAATAACTCAATTAAGATTACTTAGGTTAGTATAGAGGAAAAACATACAGACCAGGGGTCATCAGGGGCGGGCCACCATGGGGGGGGGGCATGGTGGCCAGGGGCGGACCACCATGCAGACTTTTGGCGGCAAATAGAAAAAGTCTCGTTAACAAGTATGTATGGGTATGGAAAATATCCGAATATGTATAACTCTAAAATTTAAAAGTTAATAAACTGACGGAGCAATTAGGCTAACCCAAATATTATTTATTCTTAAAAATATATAATTTATACAATTACAGAGACATATCCCTCTAGCTTCTCTTGTAGACGTTGATCCACCTCGAGAGGAGAAGGTACACATACTACCTTAAATAAAATTATTTAATTTAAACTCCCAAAACAGATAATGCCCTTAAGTGGATGGTCTCATAATGTGACTTCTTATAGATTACATATTTTAAATTGTAATACAATATTAATACCTTCATTTCACTATGATGGGCGAAATACTACAAAAAGTAAAAAATAAATTTATTTTGTTATATCTGACCTCTATTTTACGCATGAAAATTAATTTGGTTTAGTAGCTTTTTAAACGCTCGTCTTCACCGAGCGCGCAAAGAGCTACTTGTATACTGTACTTTCTTTCCCTTTCTGTACGAGTACTATGAGTAAAAAAATAGGCATTACGAGAAAAAATAGGGATGTACGAGTACGAACAAGTACGGTTACGATATTTACTATCTTCTCCTCAGCAGAGGTGTTTCGAAATTTCGATTTTCGTTTTTCGATTTTCGAGGTTTTTTTCCTTTCGATTTTCGATTTCCGATTTTCGAAATTTTGTGATATTTTCGATTAACGATTTCCGAATTTTTGAAAAAATTTGAATTTTTGGCGCCAAAAATGAGGAATTCTGGCTTATCGGCCATCATAAATTTAAAAAATTTTCGCCTGCGGCGCAGATAAAGGAAGAATATTATGCTTCGGCTCCTGTTATTGGGTATCTGGAGAGAAATATTCAAATTCTTTGTTTAGATACTTATTTCTTCATTGGAATTGGCCAATTTCCAGAAGCTGTGGAACACCAACTTAAGGCTAATGTCGTCGGCCAGAGATCGTAAATGATTTTATAATTTTATAAAAATTTTAAAAAATTTAAGGGGAGAGCCTCTTCGAAGTTATTCTGGGGAAGATGTTGTTTTACGTTTACCGAGGCCGTATAGAACATTTGATATAGATTTTATTTCAATATTTAATACAGACGAACAAAAATCGTTTGGTCATGTTTTGATTCCCTCATTGCTTGTACCTCCATGTTAGAAATAAATTTAAAATTTTAAGTCCAAAATGTATACCGCACAGTCCAAATGTATACCGTTCTCTAATTGAACGACTAATACACCTATATTCAGTGAAGCTCCTGACTATATTAATCTTTCAAAGTATGCATGGGTCATGGGTACATTGTACCTACACCCTTATTCTTGACGTATTTACTAAAATTTGTATTTTTCTCGTACACGTACTTCGTACCCCCACATCACTGCTTACTTACGTACCAAGTACGATTACGAATATGAATATTAGACATTTATCGGTTCCACGGTTCCGGAACTGGAACCCCCACATCACTGCTTATTTACATACTTAATGTTCTATTTAATCCAATTTTTTGTTTTATATTACACTTTTTTAATTAAAAATTCTAAATATAAATCTAATAGTTAAGTTTTATGCTCTCGCTCCACTCATTTCAAGTCAATCACTGATTAAAGGAAAATAATTAAAAAAGGATAAACAAAAAGTCCAAAAAAGGGTTAGAATATCAGCAGCAACAAAATAAACAATTAAAAAAAGTTGAGGAGAGTTTAATAGCTGTACATTAATATTTTCTTTTTAAATTTTTCTTTCTCCAAAAAATTTTGCTAAAATTTTTTTAATATTTATTACTTCCCGTTTACACTTTTTTATTTAATTTTCTTCATTTTCTTTCAATTGCTATACTGTTGGAATGAAATGTAGAGACTGGTCTTGGCCTTGATTGTGTGCCATATATTCTGCCAATGAGAGGCCGATGGACGCTAAGAATTAGGGAAAATTTTATTTTTTTATATTCTAGTTGGATTTTTAAGATCCCAGCTTCTCGAGAAAAAAAATGGAACGAACAATGTCCCTGTTCTTAGAAATTAAGCGGCGTCGGTGATACCTATCCTAGGCTGTCTGCTTTTTGATTGTTGCAGAGTTATGATTATAAATCGGACCGAGACGAGATACCGAACAAAAATTTTTGATAACGAGGTCGATACTTACGACGATCTTCTGAATTAAATCATTGTTGATGCTACCAACAACAAATTGTTATCTCTCAATTAGACTAACACCGTCTCTGACTATAGGGAATTTGAATGAAACCCCAATTATGTCTACACAAATTTATTAATTAACTTACGACTACGTTTCGAATTTAAATTCCAAATTGCTCGGTAATATTGGGGCTGTGCCATTTCCGGTCCGTAGAGGGGCTAAATATTAAAATAAAAATATATTTTGAAATTTCTTTTAAATTACCGTTGATGATACCAACAACAAACTGACGGCAAAAATAAATAAAGAAAAAAGGAAAGTAAAACAATATAGACGTGGCATCATTTAATTAATTTGCCCAAATAATATTTTTGACAACACAACCTCTAAATTTATTTAAATTTTAAATTAAAATATTTCGAATAAAATTGACAAGTAAAATGATATACCGTAAAAACTGTATTAATGTCCCTCCCTCAAATAATTACCCCGCCTGTATTAGTTACCCCCTCCAGCGAAAGGGTGAAACATTAATTACCCCCTTAAAAATAGTTATAATTAGCCTTTCTAAAATAACCTCTATTAATTACCCCGCCTCTATTTATTACCCCCTCCAGCGAGAGATCGAAACAATAATTACCCAGGGTAGTTAATACAGTTTTTACGGTATTAATGCCCCTTCACATTACAAGCAGTTTCAGTATAAAAATAACAGTGCTGGGTAAGGATTCGGGGGCTTGGCTAGAGCCCGAACCTGGCTATATTCGCGAGATTGGCTATGTGTTCGGGAGCTGCTTTGGAGTTGGCTCTGGATAGAGACGGATTTTAAAATTCCTGAAGCCGAGTCACGAAACGCTCAATTTAGTTATATCTGAAAAATTTCAAATTTTCTGAGCTAGTTGCTTACTCTAGCGCTTTCTTATTTTTGGCACAAATTAATTTAAAGAATAACTAATTAAATAAAGAATATTTAATTTAATTGATTTGACAAAAATATTTAGTCAAAAAATTCCCAAAAAAGGAACCAAAAAAGACGTGAAAATCCCTCATTCTTAGAAAAAGGCAAAGAACATAAATCATTTAAAAGTATAAAATTTTCTAGGAAAAAGAAAACTTTTTTAACATGGAAAAGTGCCAAAAAGTAAATGAAACATTTTTTTATATTTTTTACATTAATGTGTTAGTTGTCCATCACTTTTTGAAAGCCGAGAAATGACTGATGAAAAGCGGAAATGTCTATTATGTATGTGCCCCTCCGAGAGAGTTTTTGCCCTCATTTAAATATAAAAACGTGAACAAAACACAGAAACACAGGCTAAATATTTTTGAAGGCATTTTATCCATTCTTTACTCCCAAAGGGCTGCTAATTGCGAAAAAACGTTATTTTATAAATTAAGTGCAAAATACATTGAAAGAGGTACACAATGCTATTGGCCGGAAGAGACTTACAAATAATAAAACGTGAGCGCGCGGCTTTATTAAAATGTTAAATGAGAACCTATTTATGTAAAATTTTGCATAGAGGTCTTTGATGGTGTTAACTAACGTCATTTAAATTTCAAAATTTTTGGATAAGAAATATTTAAGTTATAGTCGAAAATTGGCTAAACACTCTCTTTATTCAAAAGATCAGAATTTTCGACATAGAGTTGTGAAATAATTTCAGAAAAAGTTCTGAAATTATTAAACGCCCTATTGAGAATGTCTAAGAAAGTTTCACGTCTCTAAAAAATTATTTGATGATTTTACAGGGCCTAAACTATTGTTCCATTCATATTGCAAGGATGTTCCCTACACATTACTAATAGATTAATCATATTAAAAATTCAGAATTTTCAATCAGAACTTTTAAAACTTAAACAAAAAAATGTTTTGAAAATGTCACCCAATTATGAGTATTCGAACAAAATTTCACGTTTACTTTATGGGACTACAGCCCAATGTTCCCTTCGCATTACAGGCATGTTCCCTTCACCCTACTAACATTATCATTTGAAAAATTAAGACAGGAGAGGATGAAATAATGAAAATGACTGAAGGGGGGATTAATTTATATTTTATTTATATATTACCCCTTGTTAGTCCTCATTTTTAATTTAATGATGAAATTCCAAGTCTATAGGGAAAGATGAATGAGTGGATAACACGGAATTAACAAACAAAAAAGAACTTTCTCTTTTTTTGTCTACTAATTTTTAATAGTTTCCGAGTTTATTTTTACTTTAATGAGCAAATAATTTCCGGGTCTAGCTAGTTATTTATTAAAAAATAACTAAGGCAATCACGTAGGTTATTTTATAATGAATGAGTAGAGCAAAAAACAAAAAAGAATGATTATTTTTTATTTTTTGGGGTAAAATTTTAATTTGTGACGTGTTTTATAAAGGCACTAGACTTGGGCCAACTAATATGTATTGTAGATGAGGGAAAGGTTTGGAAGTACATAAGCAATTAAGGAAGTTTGGTGGCCTCCCCCTGTTTTTATTATCAACTTCCATAATTTAAGCCTTCTTTACAAATTTCAACCTACCATTCGGCCATCTTCCTCAACCCCCTCATTCTATATCCCTCTCATTCTTTTTATCTTATTCTAATTATAAGTGCTCCGGATGTTCCTGCAAAAATTTCATTGGATATAAGGACAACCTTTCGGTTCCAATGGAATTTTCCTACATCTCCCTCATTCTCTCAATGATTTTAAATATTTTAAAAATAAGAATAAAACATAAAAAATACAAAAAAAATAAAGCTTAAACTAAACTTATCAAGTATATTTATAGAAAAATTTATTCAACTTTTAAACAAAAATAAATTTTAAAAAAATAAGGAAGTAGTGTTAAAAGTTTAAAAATATACCCCCCTTTCTACGCAAAACAACGCCTTCATATTTACTCAAAAAAATATACAAAAAATAATTTTTTGTTTTCACAAAAAAAGATTTTTACTAAAAAGCAGATTTCATTTTTTAAAAGAAAAAAATAAAATTTAAAAATAAAAAGGGAATATATAGAGGAGGATGTTGTACTTATCCCCCCCCCCCCTTTTTATTTAACGGCAAATTTAATAGAAGGATTTTTCTACATCATTTTTTTTTCCTTATAAACAACAAAATAATATTTATTTATTTATTAAACAATAAAAGGGCCTTTTATTAATAAAAATCTGATTATTTTATTTAATTGTCTAGGGAAACATCTGTGCCCGGATATTGTGTACTTTTTTTGTTTTTTAATTATTTTATTATTATTTTTTAGGTCTTCAAAAAGAAAATGATTACGGTTGCTCGAATTAATTGAATAAAATTTGGATGGAAAATTCATCTGGATTTTAAAAAATAAAAATAATAAAAGGATTTTGCGTTGCTTTAAGTGGGAAATCGAACGTGTGGACAAATCAGTGATAGGGTCATCACTAGAGCTGACTGTTCCTGAAAAAAATTCTTCGGGTATCCGAAACCGGACCGAAAAATCCTCGGTTCTTCGGTTCGGGTCTGTTAGGTCAAAACCGACAACCTTATCATGATCAGATTCAGGCCCAATGAGATTTATCGATAAAGTGGGACTACCTCCGGCTATTTTTTTTAGCAATTTTAAAAGACAGCTAACTAGATTTAGTAATACGGTAGTGCGGTTGATAGATAAAGCAAATAAAAAAATAATCAAATCTCGATAGCTCAACTCCACGTTATCATCTCTTAGCTTATCGCGTCATCACAATTCAAATTAAGCCCTCGATCTATTAAAATGTCAGCTCAATTCGGTCCCGAATTTGACGTTTTATCGAGCTTCGACTGTATAAAACATTAAATATAAATTCAGATTCTAATGAAAAAAATTTAATAAAATATGTACGTGCTTTGAAAAAATCCGCGAAAATTCATCTTGGTTACAATAAATATAATAATGGCATCTTATTAGCAGCTGTCAAATACAGATAAAAAACACAAAAAAAAGTGTCCTTTACTCCAAACAATGAAAAGAATTTAATCTCCGTCCTTTCCTCCCAAGGTCTTCTTCCCCCCAAAAAAACACAATTTTCTATTAATTTGTCCTTGCTAATTTTTTTTAAATTTTTTTGTAAATAGTCTGGCATTTATTTAATAATAAAATGTGTGTGTATTTAATAATTGCCACAAATTCTTGAGGGAATTTTTAAAAAATAGAAAAAAAAACAATAAATAATAATATTTATATATAATTAAATTTCTAAAATTTAATTTAAATTTATTTTCTAATTATTGTTGTCATCTTTTGTTGGCCTCCACCCCCAAGACCTTCTTCAGAACCCTCAGAATGGTATTGCTCATCCTCTGTAGATTGAGAGCCACAACTGCGGGTGGCTGTTGCTGTGGCCCATGACGGCTTTCCAGGCTCGCATTGCTGCTAATTTTTTTAATTTTTAATAAATAGCAAAAAAATAGTGCAAAGGAATTTTGAGAGTGGAAATGAGGATGAGTTCGAGAATACTGTCAGGTTAAGTTAATAGGTTCTGTAATAAGTCGTCATGAGTTCCGAAGAATTTTGTGAAATTCTTCAGGCGATTTGAGAAATAGAGATAAAAATTCTCAAGTAGAGAATTTTTTCACAAGTTCAAACTCAGAATCTATATCATACACCTGAGATCTTACTGTCTCTAACAATATGTAAAAGAAATATTCGATGGGTTTATCCTAAATAATAACCGTATAGTCTAACACCGGATAAAACGAAGACTAACAAATTGCTTTAAAATAGGCAATCCTACTAAAAGTTCAAAAAAACTTACAGCCAGTAATTTCCTCTTTAAAGCCCCAATTAAATCCATTTGTGTATTAAATTGTGCTTCCAATTCTCGATTTAAAATTCTTAATTGGTTGCATTGTTGTTTATTAGTTTCTTTTTCTTCTAAAAGTTTTTTAAGTTCTTCAGCTTTGGATTTTTCAATAGACAAAATTCGTTGATTTGCTTCATTTAATGATCTTAAAGATTTAAATTAGTTTAAGGTTTAGTTTACATTTCACTTAATCCAAAATTTTCCAAAAAAGTTACTGAAACAAGCAGAAAGTTTCAGTATAGGTTCGATTAACCGAAGAATTTTGTGACATTCTTAACTATGTATTATATAATACCGTCAATAGGAAAAAGGAATACTCTAATAAAGAGATATACTTTACTATTAGATACTATATTTTTAGTTTGATTAGAATGATTAGCCGCGTTATAAGAGAGCTGCTCGATACCCTATATTTAAGTTATCCCTGAACATAAATAAACTTTTCCCCAAAAATATCTAATAATGGGGGGTCTGACTGCAATAAATAATTTTCATTAAAAATTAAATCCTCACTTTTGTTTTTCTTCCATGACTTTAACCAAATCGGCTTTAACCCTTTCCAATTCCTCCACAAGCCTTTTAACTTCTTTAGTCATTTCAGCATTTTGAGCTTTTAAAGAAACATCCTCTTTTTGTGAAGTAATTAATTGACAACGACAAATATCTAATTCTCTTTAAGAAAAAAAGTTTTTCAAAGTTTTTAAAATAAAAAAAAACTTACGCTCCAAGTTGGGCAACTTTATCATTTAAATCGCCTATTATATGGACTTTTTCATTCAAAGTTTTGCTCAATTCTCCAACTTGACGGTTATAGGCAGCAGATTCTTCTACTCTCTTAAAAAATTTTTATTTTTTAAAAAACTTATTTTCTATTTACAAAATTATTTTTAAAGAAATATATTTATAAATTCAAGTTTTTAATATCATGGTTAGGTAAAACATGCCATTATGCCTAGATGAGAGAATTTTGGCTTGCCCTATTTTTTTTAATATTATGGTTTCCAAACTGATATTAGATCCTGGATAATTCCCATCAGTAGAGGTTTATAGTCTCAACTCAAAACGTTTTCACGTCTTGAGCCTAAAAGGTTTTCTTTCTAAAACATCTCTACAGTTCTCGATTTTGTATTTCAATTTATGCAACTTCTACTTTAAACTCGAATTCTCTTCATATTTAATTATTTTTGAGATATTTCTCGTCATGTTCCTTAAATTTGGAGTGTCAAGAACAAACAATCTTTTCAAAATTTTTTACTTAAAATTTCTTTTGCTTTACCTCCTTCCTTAACAATTCCAATTCAGCCTTCAATTCACGCTTTCTCTGCTGCCTTTCATTCTGCACTTCATCTTTCTGTTTTTTCATTTCTAAATCTTTATGTTCCAATTCTCGTTGTAATCTCCCATTTTCACAATTTGACATATTTAATTCAGTTTCAGCAAAATTTAATTGCTTAATAAATTTTTAAACTTTATTTTTGGAAGGTTATTTAAATTTTTTTAAATTTTTAAATATTATTCAGGCTGTTTTTAATTATTTAATCGAATTTAGCGAATAATTACTAAATATGATATTTGTTTTATATTAGTCGCCCGCCCGTTTTTAAAAAAAATAAAATTAAAAAAAAATTTGCCCTAGCAATTTTTTAAAATTTGCCTTAGCTTTCCGTAAAACAGAGGTTTCCCGTTCAATGGGTGTAGCCAACTAAAAATCCCCTAAGAATCCCTTGAAGTCAGATTATAGACAAGAATTAAAGTTTTTATTCAATCAACACTCGCTATCTCCGTTATAAAGAAAGTCGCTAATAATGAAAGTTTTACTAATTAAGCATTCCAATTTAAACACCTGTTGAAGAGATTCAATTGCTGCTAATCCTTGTTTTATTGCACACCTTTCTGGACGTCCTAGAAGCGAAAATTCAAAAGCTCGTTTCATTCCCCAACGTAAAACTTCGATTTTACGAGGATCTAAGGCACGTTTTCTATTTAATCCGACAGAATTCTTCCATTCATTATTATCTTCTTCCTCTAATTCCTTTTCATTTTCTTCTTTTATTGGTACAGAAATATCGGTCATTGTTTGCCTTTCTGAGCAGCTTGTCTTTAAATTATTCTAAATTTTATTTTGAATATTTAAATTTTATCCAGAGCCAATCCTTGGTAGTGGCATTATAACGGAGGTCAACCAAATAACCTGGGCTAATAGATCCCTTAAATCCGATAAATTCTGAAAGGAAATCGCCCAGGGACCTATTAATTATGCGGACGTAATAAAGAAAGGTGATGTCGAGATCTGGTAGACATCGAGGTTCGATTGATCACCCCAATCCAAAGGTCGCAAGAACCAAAATCAGTATGATTCAAAGCATCCCTGATATATCCAATCCCAAAATGTCTGAATCCCCTTAACCCTCCATAATCCTCTCAAGGTTAGTTTTTCAGACCATTAATTGATCTAACGATCTACAATATTGTCCTTTTTTAATGCAAAATTGTACTTTTCTATTGCCCATATTAGTAACCTCCCCATTTTCTAATTGTTGTCTTCCTTCTGTTAATTCAACTAATTGAAATTCTAATAATTCATTCTGTGATTGAACATTAGCTAATTGTTGCTGTAAAAGTCTCTCTCTTTTTCTGAAAGAATCTAATTCTTCCCTAAAATGGTTGGTAGATTCTTCCAAGTGATTAGCATTGTCTATCTACAAAATAAAAGTGGTCAGTTAAAAGTAGGGTTCGCCCAATGTCAATATGGATAGCGCAGATCCTCCCTAGAGCCTCGCCCCCCCCCCCACCCTCCTTAGAGCCCTCCCCCTTAACATGAATTCACTGATTACTCGACCCTCGTCTTCATCCTGCGGGGATCAGAGGAACAATTACACCATGTATCAGAGTCCACTACTTTTCCAACTTAATATTTAAAAAATTGCCTTAGCATTATCAATTTCCCTTTGCAATTCAACCAACTGATCGTTTGCTGTAGCCAATTGCTGTCTCAATATAACATTTTCCCCTACAGCCCCTCTACCATTTAATAACAATTCTGTACTTAAATCAACATCTTCGTCTAAATCCTCAGCTATAGTATCTAATCCAAGCGATCCACTATCCTCTACTGAACCTTCTGAGCCAGCAGCACAACTTTGCCGGTCACTTTCTTGTTGGCCAGAAGCTCGCATTCGCAGTCTTTTAAGTTTGATTATCAACATTTCTTGCCTTCTGTCTTTTTCTGCTGCAGATTGGCGAAGTGCTGTTATACATTTGGACATTTCGAGAACCTTAAAGAGAAATCATGAAATCTTAAGCTGGTCTATGCGTGGCGCGACACATGGGGATATGACTTTTGAGGACCAGACACTTGAGGACCGACTTTTGAGGACGCGACCTTTGAGGACGCGACTTTTGAGGATGCGACTTTTGAGGACGCGACCTTTGAGGATGCGACCTTTGGGGATGCGACTTTTGAGGATCAGACATTTGAGGATACTCTAATGTCAAAAAAATTAAAAAAATAAATAATTTTAATTTTATGTTTAAAAAATTTAAATTTTATAATTTTATGGCTTGCTCAAGACCTAACGAGCAAATAGTGATCATTATTAAATACATATAATCATTTCAGTTTACCAAAGTAGTTGAAATTTTGAAAATTTTGATAAATTGAATAGGGTTGTCGGTTCCTAGAAAACTTTGGATATCAGAAACCGAACTGATGAAACGAACCGATAATTTTCGGATATCCGGGAACGAACTAAAAATTTTTTCGAGGGTTAAGGATTATTAAGGATTAGCGGTGGTTTATATGAAATTTGTTGGATATAAGAGGTTTGATTATCGTGTAATAAAAGGGGGTCTGAATTGACCAAGGGGGATTTAAGTGCTATCAAGGGAAATTAACATATTGATCTTTCGATATCACGCCCAAATAAGGCTACCAGCGGATTCGAATGGATATCGGAAGAATACCTCGATGTCTGGAAGGATATAGGATTAAGAAAGTTTTGGAAGAATAAGAGGGATATGAGGTGTACCATTTATAATTATAATTTTTTTATAATTCCATTTATAATTTTGGAATAACAACCAACAGATTTCTTCCTTTTGAGAATTTCGAGAATTTCTGAAGGCCATGTGAGAAATTTCCAAATTTTTCCTTAATTTGTACATAATGGTCAGACTTTTTTCCTCGTTTATTTCCAATGAATTTCTGTGGCATATTTAAATGAATGATAGAGAAATAATTAAAAGCAAAAAATATTACTTTTTCGTGTTTTGTTTTTGTGTTGTCGGACACACAAACTGAAATGACAGTTTTGGAAAACTGAAATGATTATATGTATTTAATAATGATCACTATTTGCTCGTTAGGTCTTAAGCAAGCCATAAAATTATAAAATTTAAATTTTTTAAACATAAAATTAAAATTATTTATTTTTTTAATTTTTTTGACATTAGAGTATCCTCAAATGTCTGATCCTCAAAAGTCGCATCCCCAAAGGTCGCATCCTCAAAGGTCGCGTCCTCAAAAGTCGCATCCTCAAAAGTCGCGTCCTCAAAGGTCGCGTCCTCAAAAGTCGGTCCTCAAGTGTCTGGTCCTCAAAAGTCATATCCTCAAGTGTCGGGTAGCCGGTCTATGTCCTAGAAGGAACAATCTTATCCAGGCCGATCCTTGTATTAAAGTTTTCCTTCCATGATTGATAAAATAGATGGTAGGTTTTTAAATCTCTTCATAAGACTTGGAGGAAAAAATAAATCCTATGTATATATTTACAAAGGATGCTCCTAGTTAAGCAAAAAGTTTCAGGCGCCTAAAATTTTCCGAGTCGGTTAACTCCGAAGTAACCATAGTCCCGGCCCCTCATATTTTTAATACTAAGAGAGATCATCTTTAATCATCCTTCCTCATAATTAGTCAAATGATACTAATAATTCCTAAGTTGTCTAGAGGGTCGATTATACATGATTTTGTTTAGTTTAATAAAACTTTCAAATTTTTAAATAATAAATAAAAATTTCACTTGATTTCTGTAGCGACCCAATTCTTCTAATTTTTCAGGAAATGCCCTCTACAAATGTTTAAATTCATCAAAAATTTATTTATTTTTAAACAACCTGCTCACGTAGAGCTTCATTTTCTTTTAATACCCTGTCATATTGATCCCTAAGGCTTAGCCTTAAATAATCTTATTTTAAAAATTTTCTTTTTATTGTCAAAATACCATTCATCCTGAACAAAAGCCATCTTTTGTTCCAATTTTTTAGTTTCTGTTGTGGCTGCTTTTAGACGGTCATTCAAGCGCTTATTTTGTTCTATTAGAGGTTTCTAAAAATGTTTAATTTTTGGTCGTTAAATTTAAATTTTATTTGGTGATTTATAAAGGATTTTGTAGTATACTAAGAGGTCAGATTACAATATCTGGCCATACTTAAGTTAAGCATTATTTTGTACTATATCAAACAATGTGCAACTAGTCTGAGTGATTATCCACTGATGAGAGACTATTTGCGCAACTATTCCCAGGTCTATTATAACGAGATTTTGATTCTAGAACGGCATCTCTGTATTTTTATTTTGTTGACTCCTTATATCCTTAATGGATTATCGTCTTAATTATCATTAAGGCGAGAGTACCCCCAATCATAAGGCCCACATGAGGCCATTAATCCTCACCCCAAAAAATATCTGAAATACCGTAGTCCCTATTTCAGAAATAAAATTAAAATTGGTATAGTACATAACATCGGTCAATTTATTAAAAAATTTTCAAAAAAAATTCTTGCCTGGCTCTTTTCAAAGTCAATAATTTTTCTATTAAGTTCAGCCTTTGTCTGAAACAATTCAGCATTATTAGCCGCAGCTTCACAAAGTTTCTGTTCAGCTTCTTCAAGCTTCTTCTCCCACCGCTGCCTTTCTCTATCATATTCTTCTTTAAGAATATGAGTATTTTTGCCAAAACATTTGGGTGATGCTAGAGGTTTTTCTCTAGGCAATGTTTGTGTTGTTCCGCTAAATATTGTTGTCATTGACCCATTCATTGGGGAAGAGTTGTTTGTCGGGGTTTGTGATCTAGAAAGTGAATGAACTCGAGAATGGGTGTTGGAGGTTGGAAGAGGAGTAGCTGGGGAGGGAAGAGGGGGAAGATTATAATGGCAACCCCCTCCTCCTCCATTTGAGGAGTTTGAAGAAGTTGAAGTTGTAGAAGACGTTATTGCTGTTGAAGAAGTTATTGTTGTGTTACTATTGACGCTACTAAACATTATTGCTTCGTCGGCTACAGCCGTGTATAGACTTAAATCTAAAGTTAATCTTCTTCTTTTTTCGTTAGAATTTTGAGACTTTCTTTGATACCTTCTCAAAGTTGTTGGAATTTTGCTAAGGTGTTGTTGATTATTATTTGGGGAAGATGTGGAATTTTGTAATAAATTTTGTTGATTTAACTGGGGTAAAGGGGGCATTATTAATTAATTTTTTTAAAGAAAATATAATTTTCCTTTTCCAGAAAATCCTCGCGCGATTTATATATTTATTTTAAAGAAATGATGGTTTTATGGCGGAAGAATGCGGGATCAGAACTTTTAAGAGCAAAAAGAGGCGGGGCGTAAAAAGGCGGAATATTTATGCGAAATTTGTGTGCGTAGCCAAAAAGATGAAAAAAATGAAGAAAAAAGAAGAAAAAAAGGGAAGGAAGGGAAGAGAAAAAGTCTTTTTAGGTAAGAGAAAGAGAGGAGCGGCTGGTTTATATTCAGTCAACTGGCTTTTCATATTTAGAGTTTGGTTAGTGACAGGGCCGAAAAAATTGTGAAGAGAAAGGAAGAGAATATTGGCGAAATAATCATCATCATCCTGACAACAATGATGAGCAATAATATTATAGGTTTGGGAAAATGTGTTTGTGGAGGGGATTGTGGGTGGTTTAGTGAAGGGTTATATAAATATTTATTATTAGTTATGGATTGAGTGATCATATTCGGGAAAAAGAACCGCTTTTTGTTTTGACATAATGATTCTTGGAAATGAAGGAAAATGAAGAAGGATATGTGGAGGATAAAGGGAGAAGGATAAAGTGAAATTCTGAAAGAAATGTGAGAGGGTATTATTGTGTGAATTGAAAGAAAAGCAAAGTCAAAAGCTAAAAACAAAAGCCGAAAAGTAAAGTTGATCAAACAAAGAAAAATTATTTGGACAATGAATAAATAAAGACAAAGAAGACCACAGAGGAAGGAAGGTCATTCGGGGAAGAACGTACACAAAGATTGTTTGGATGAATGAATGAAGAGCTGGTCAAGGCGCGAGTTTCCGCTTGAAATGTTTGAAAATAATTTTATATAAAAATTTATTTTTATTTTTAAAGAAAATGGTTTTAAACTATGGTAGCAACCCAACCCCAATCCCCGACGAATTTTTAGGCACAAATCCGACCCGAACCCCGAAAGCTTTACCCCGACAGAGCCCGATCCCCGACGTCCCTCCCCCAAAGGCTCGGGGTGCTATCCTAGTTTAAACTAAAAATACCAATAACTGAATAGCTGAGAAATTGAGGGAAGGTCGCTACAAAGTTAATCTTCCTAAACGAGGAACGGAGACGAGAATTGAAATGAAAAAGATAAAAGGAAAAGCAGATAAAATGGAGATTTTTGACAAAAATCTAATCCTTTAAACTTCCTTTTAATATTTGGTTTACCCTGCGCGACCTTGTATAAATTTATTTTTGGACAAATCGATCTCCTTTTTCCTACCCAAGCCTTTATTTTTATGCAAAATAAAGAGTGAATGTCCATTTTTCGTTTGGGTTTTATTTTGGCCATAAAGGAGGAGGAGGTTATGACGATAGCTACTCGAAATGGTACTTAGAAATGGTTATATTGACTAAAAGGAAGGGAAGGAAGGGAATTATTGAGGAAATAAGGGAAGAGACTAGAAATGAGAAAAGAAGAACGGCAAAAACCCTGCGCAGGCAGATGTCCTCCATATCCTTCCATATCCTTCCATTTTTTGCTTCTGAGGAAGGGATGGACGCCACTTTTTATTATGAGGGTTAGGGGTAGTGTGAAAGGAACAGAAAAGAGAGATATTGGTTTTTAATGAGAGAATTTTTATTTTTAATCATTTATACCACACAAATTTGTGTTTTTTTATTTATCTGTTAAAATAATATTTTTTTTTTCATTTCTGATCATTTATGGAAAAATATATAAATGATTAAATAAAATGTATAAATGAATGATCAACAACATAACATTAAAATAAATACTAAAATAATCTCTTAAGAAATGATTGTTATCTTTAATTTTTTTTAGAATTTTCCCAAGTTTAGTTTAAAGTTTAAAATAAGAAAAGAATGTGATAGATGCTTTAAAAATAAATTCAAGCTAAGGTTAATTCCAGTCCGATCTAGTAGCCTTAAATGATTAGTGTTCGGCAAATGCAAATATTTTTGGTATCTCCTAAGCTCCTAAACAATATTAACCTAAACAATATTTTATCAAAGTCAAATTCCATTTTATTGTCTCCAGACCTTATACAAAACTTTTAACTTAATTTATAGTTACGTTTCATTTTATTTTTATCTGAATGTCACGTTTTATACGTATAAATTGAATTGAATTGAATCTATCGAAAAATACTGAACATTCCTGAAAATTTCAAAATCCTATCATGATTTCATAAAAAGAATCGTGCCGAACATTGTCGAACACTACAGAGAACATTCATATCCATTTTGTTATGGAGCAGTGGTCGATCGGAATTACGATTTCCGACATCCGATTTCCGGCACCCTCGCCATTTCCGATCGACCCCTGGTAAAAGCTGTAGATTTTGTAACTCTGACCATTCACGCGTAAAAACGGCTTAAAGTCATAAGGTAAGGATTAAAAGTCAAAACAACTCTTTCTAATTTAAAATAAGGGGTTCCAGTATTTAATCTTTTTTCTTCCCCATTTAACAATTTATTTTTAAAAGCTTCTTCATTTTACACAAACAAATCATTTACAAATCCAATTATTTATTTTTGCTACATTTAAAATAAATATTTTTAATAAAAAAATCTTCTTCCCCTTCCCTTCCATTTAAAGAATTTTTACACACAAAAAGATCACTACAAATTTATTTTTTTTCTTTGTTTGTCAGAAACCCTTATAATACACACACACACACACACAATCATTCCACTTGAATTACCCTTTATTTTTGACTTCCTTTCTGCTAAATTGCGATTGTGTTCGCTTCAATAGGTCAATCAGTGTTGTGGCTGCAATTTATATATTTTTGTTGGGAAGGAAGAGAATATGATAGAAGGAAGGGAAGATTGTGGAATTGTAAAGGAAAAGGATCTGGATTCCTTTTCTGGATATTAAATGTAGTAAAAGGGATTGATTTCTACAAATTAAATAAAGTGATTGGAGAATTGGGGTATTTCACCATTTTTACAATTCACTGACAAAATGGAAATTTTAGAATAAAATTTTTGGTAAAGATACAAGCTAGAGCATGCCAGTTTATTCCTACATGGGTACCTGTTATCAAGGATTTTTTAGTTATATTTAGATACCTATACAATGAACTTAAGATCGCATTTTACACCTTTAATTCTTGATCAATCCAGAACCGAAACATTTTCAAAACTTAAGATCAGCGAAATTTTTGTGTGATTTCTAAGCCCCGTATAAGCCTACAATTACTTGGTACTAATTAAATAATCCTAAATAATTTTCGGATCAAGAGTCTTGATGAGACTTATTTTAACCCAAAAAACTGCAACCCTAGGGTACTACTGAAATACTTAAAGAAAGTCCTGTATTAATTTTCAGATCAAGAGTCTCGAACGGTATATCTATTTTAATTTTGACAGAACGTGAATTGTCTAATTCGGTGAATTGTCGCGACAAATAGTTTCTGACAATGGGCATTGTGCTTTTGACGTTTGGGAAGGATAATTAAAAGGATTTGACATTCCATGAAGATAAAGAAAGGAAAGGAATTTTGGGGGAAGATATAATTGGAAGAAGAACAAGAATATTGAAAATGCCATTCAATCTTTCTCCTCTTCATTGTTCTATTAAAAATAATTTTATTTGTTTAGATATTAGCGCAGCTGGCGTCAAAAGTATTATATTAATTTAATAATGTTGACCGTTTAGCGATGATAAAAATTTAAAGAAAATTAATCGAGAAAGGAAATAATTAAAAATACAAAAAGGTCATTTATCCATTATTTTTCTCTCTTTAATCTTTTCTTTAACAGCGGGGGATGTTCAAAAAAATTTTTAGATGAAAATGGGGGCAAAAATAAATATTTGTAAATATAATTATTTATTTTACCACCCCTTTCTTTAATTATTTTTGTAAATTAGCTGGTGATTGAAAATTGTTTTTTTGTCATAATTTATATTAATTTGGGGCACTATTGTATTTTTGGAAAACAGAGGAATTTGATAAATAAATGGATTAAATAAAAATTATTGGAAGTGAAAACGTGTAAATATTTTAATGGAAGGGAGGTTAACTATTGAAAAATAAATATGTTTTAATTTAATTTTAATTTAATTTATTGAGTAAACCACAAAGTACATAAAAAAGTACAATTATAGTGGTAAAATAAAAAATAAATTTTTAAAATACTATAAGAAAATGTCATAATAAATTTATAAAAAAATGTCAATCTAGGAGGATAAGGGAGTTGCGAACTAAAACCTCTATTTTATAAAGTTATTAACAAGTACTCTAAATTTTTGCGAATTATATGTTTGTAAAATTTCATTAGGTAAGCTATTCCAGTTATTTATGATTCTATTAAAAAAATTATTTCTAGTTTTACCGTTAAACTTTTTGTTCCTTAAACAAAATATTTTCCTTTTAGCTTTTACTGCAAAATCAAAGTATTTTTGTGGGTCTAGATGCGTCTGTTTTGAAATAATTTTGTGCGCCATTACAAGATCGGCTACTTTTCTTCGATGGCTTAGTTGTTTTAGTTTGAATTTGTTAAGTCTTTGTTCATAAGGTAGTGGCGTTATTCCTGTGATTTTTAATGCTCTTCTTGTAAAATATTTTTGTACTCGCTCTATTTTATTAATTTGAAGAATTCTGTTTGGGTTCCAAATTTCAGTGGCATATTCAAGTTGAGGACGAATATAAGATTTATATATATTTATTAAAGTCTTAAATTCTCTAGTTTTTAATATTCTTAGTATTTGATAAGTTATAAAGTATGAATTTTTAACTATTTTATCAATATGTTTGTTAAATTTTAAGTTGTTATCAATTAGGATACCTAAGTCTCGTACGCAATCTGATGTGTTTAATGTTTGATTAAATATTTTATATTCCTGTTTAAGGTTTCCTTTTCCTATATAAAGTATTACACATTTCTTAATTGATATTTCTAAAAAGTTTGATATAACCCAATTTTGTAATATTGTTATTGATTCATTAAGATAATTAATATTAGAATCATTATTATGTGAAATATAAAGCTTTATATCATCTGCATATATTTTATAGCCTATTTCTTTTGGAAGGTTGACAGGGAAATCATTAATAAAGATTGTGAATAAAATAGGTCCCAAAACACTGCCCTGGGGAACACCTGAATATGTATGAAAAGATCTTGAAAACGAGTCATTTATTTTTACACGGTAGGATCGTCCTGTTACAAAATGCTTTATGAATTCAAAAATTTTTCCAGATATACCAGCATTTTTAACTTTTGTAAGTAATAAATTTATTGGAACTGTGTCAAAAGCTTTTTTTAAGTCGATATAAATTACATCTATATTCTGATTGTTACCTACTGCATTGTAAAAATCTTCTAACATTGTTAGAAGTTGTGTAGTAGTAGATCTTGATTTGAGGAAACCAAATTGATTTTTATCAAAAAAATCCTTATTATGTAAAAATTCTATAATATTATTAGCTATGATTCTTTCAAAAACTCTACATAATGTACAAGTTAGGGAAATTGGCCTATAATTTTCTGGATCTGTTGTTATTCCTTTTTTATGTATAGGTACTATAATTGATGTTTTCCAAATGTCGGGTATATTTTTACTATCTAATATTAGTCTAAAGATTTCTGTAATATATTGTGCGATTTGATCACACGATCTCTTTAATAATATATAGGGTATTTGATCTGGTGATGTTGAATTTCTATTTGGAAGTCTTTTAAGTAAATCTAGAATTTGCAGAATATCAAAGTTTATATCTTTGATAAGATTTTGTGAATTAGAGTTAGGATTTTGAGAGTAGACGTCAATAAATTCTTGACTTTGAGTTTCTTTATCTGTGAAGTTACTTTGAAAACTTTCTGCAAGTAACTCACATTTTTCCTGATCTTTTGTAAGTATATTTCCTTTTTTATCTATTAATGCGTCAATACATGCGTTTGTTTTAAGTTTCTTTTTAATAAATTTGTGAATTGCATTTGCACCTTTTGATATAATGGTGTTCTCCTTATTATAATGAAATTTTTGTAATTGAATTTTAAGTTGTCGTGAGATAATTTTATATTTTGTTGCTAGATTAGAATTAGGAGATTCCTTCAAGGTTTTGTGTAATTTTAGTTTTTCTTGATTCAGAGATCGGATTTTTTGTGGATATTCGTTTTTAATTATGGTATTTATAGTCCTAAGTGGTATGAATTTATCATAATAAAAATATAGTATTTCAGTAAAAGAATTATATTTTTCATTGATTGCATATTTGTCAGACATATATTTTATAAAATCAAGTTGTGTTAGCTCTATGTTTAACTTGGAGAAACCTTTTTCTGTTACTTTTCTTATATATATCTTCTTTTTTGGAATACGCATAGTGCATAAGGAAAGATTGAACTTTAAGGATTTGTGATCAGATGTTGAAAAATTTTCAGTGATCTCTAAATTTCTAACTAAGTCATGGGGTCTCGAAAATACAAGATCTAAGATATTATCGCCGCGAGTAGGTGATGTAACATGTTGTTTAATTTGGGTGCGATTAACAAATTCAATAAATATTTGTGTAGTATTATCGTTTGAACAAGAGTTTGTTAACCAGTTTATTGTGTTAATATTAAAATCACCAGCTATTATTAAGTTTTTATGGTTTAAGTCAGCAATATATTTAAGTATTTTATTAGTACTAGATTGATTAAGTGATGGGGGTCTATATAAAGTAATAACAATAGTAGGTTTGGTAATTAGAATCTCAATAATAATAATTTCGCAACCAAATTTTGTCCCACAGAACAAAAGTTTGACAGGTATAGTTGATAAAATTAAAAGACAACAGCCACCTCCCCTTTTATTTGGACGATTTGCAAAGTAACACTGATATTTATCACCCATTGAAAAATCTGTTTTTATACAATTAGATTGAGTAAGCCAGCTTTCGGTAATCATACAAATGCTAGGGTTATGTATTTCAAGAAAATGTTGCAAATCAGGCACTTTATTATTTAGTGATCTGCTGTTAAAGCAAAGGCATGTTAAATTTTTTATATCTATATCAATGTTAGAATTTTTTGACTTTCGGGGTTTACTCAATTTATCCTATTTAGTATTGAGAGGTTTAGGTTCGCGTAACTCCCTTATTTGTAGGTCAACTACATAATATTTAAAAAGTTTGCATGAAGCATTAAGTGAATATGCTTTAGACCGTTGTGAATATAATATTGCTAATTCGGCCGGGATCATATCCCTTCGAACAGTAAGATTTTGGGGAAGGGAATGTATTTTACGCAAAGTGTTTCTAAAAGAATACAAAAATTTGTCACGCGAAATAGAGTTTTTAAAAGAAATTTTAATTAATTTTGGTTTTTTGTTTATTTCGCTAGACATATTTTTGTTTTGTGGGTGACGGTGTGTATGTTCTGGCAAATATTCATTAGTAAGTCCAATAGAATCAATAATTTTTCCTACCACTTCCTTCTCATCCATAGATTCAGGTAGTTTTTCTAGAACAGCTCTACATGATTTTTGCTTGAGAAGATCCCCATTAGATGCTGCTGAAGATATTAGTTTCATAACAAGGTCAGGTGGAGGACTTAGGGCAGAAATAGGCGAACCCCATGATGGTTGGGAAGTTGTGTTGTTGTTATTATTGTCAATACGTGTTAAAATTTCTTCAATTTTTAATATTTTTTCTTCAATTTTTTCAATACGTGTCAATACAATTTCATTAGTATTATTTTTTTTATTTGATGTTGTCAAGGGAGTAACAATATTAGAAATTTTTGTTGTTAATTGCTCCAGGTGTCGACCCAGACTGATCTCTAACGACTCCTTTTATACTAGACCCAGCACATACCTAACAAAATCTATGTCCATTATTAAGTCTAGTAGGGTTTGTAAGTTATAATCCACTCATTAGTGCGAACAGTGATTCGAACAACGCGACACAATTCCTAAAAATCGTCCACCGACTAAATATCCTAAGAAAGTTTAAAAATCAAATAAAAGGAAGTGTAACATTAAATACGGTATATCCTCCTAGATCAGTATACTATAGAGGTTTTCGATGTTCCAAAAAGTTTTATTGCATGTCCAAAGTTATGTATGTGACTTTGAGATTTAAGGATTTTGAGTTAATGAAAAGAAAATAATATGCTCATAAATCTTCTATGAAAAATTTCAGCTCAAAAGCACAATCGGAACCTAGAAGCTGAAAATACAAGGTGGTATAATTTTTTAACATGCGAAAAAAATAACTCTGTTTTCAAGGTTGATTTCAGATTCTTTCCTATTACTACATATTAAACTACGTTTTTTGTACATATTTAGTAGAAAAATTTTAATTAAAGGTATTTTTTGAGGGAAAAGAGACTAACAGGTTTCTTAAATATTTTAAATATTTAAAAATTCAAAAAATATTTTTTTTTTGTAAAAAATATATAAATTTGTAATTAAGCTAAAAAAATGTTTGTTGTTTATTTCGTGACAAGTTTAGTTAGTTTTTAGAGAAATCGTCACAAATTGACTGACTAAAAGGAGAAAATTGAAATGAAGAGGAGGGAGGGAGGGAGGGAGAGGACAGGCACTCTCTAAAGGCTGATGATGATCCTCAGCCTAGACGAGGAAAAAAGTGAGGTGATGAAAATGAAGAGGAGAAAGGTGACAGAAATTGTTGTGGGGGGAAGGAATTGTTGTTGGAAAAAACGGGACAGAAAATGAGGGGATTTTGAGGGGGGAAATGAGAGAGGAGGAGAAACAAAAAAACGATTTTCGCACTGCCACTATTTTTGTTTCTTGACAAGTTTAAATGAGGAAAAAATGTAAAAATGAAGGGAAGAAAATGAAGAAAAATTGGATAGGAAGGATCATCGATTCTCTAACGGGGAGAAGAAGATTTTTACACATAAACGTTGTAGAAATAGGATATATGCGGTCTAGAAAGGTTGTAAGGGGGCCATAAAGGGTGAAGGGCACATTATAATACTCTTGACTAACGGAGGGAGTGAATGGGAGGGGAAAGAATTGAAAGAAAAATTGAATGAATGAATGGAGGGGGGGGGGGGGGGAGCTAAAAATATTTGTTATTAGAAGACTAAAAATGGAGAAAAAAAAATAAATTTAATAGATCTAATCAATCGGAGACCTCCATGTGAGAGAGCACGAAACTGAAAAAGCGGAGATGGCAAATATGTGTTTGGTAAAGATGCCGATGAAACGATAAAAATTATTTTACGTAGAGTTGGGAGATCCAAGGGATCAATTAGCCTAAAGATCAAAAGTGAGGTTATCTGAAATATTTTTAGTGATCCTTACATGTTAAGTTGAAGGATATTGAATTTAAAAACGAGATTTTTTAGAGGGGAACTGGGAGAGAAGAGAATGCGATATGTATCTGATTGATCTCTGAAAATTAGTGGCAGTCAGATACCGAGGTCACAAAAGTTCACAAATTTTATCCGTTAGCCTCGGATTTTTTGAGAAAGGATAAATTCCGAGAGATCCAGGGAATCCCTCAATTCAGTGAACCCCCCCCCCCCCCCCCCCCAATTCAATCCAGGTTCGGGAAACTCAAAATTTTATTTTGTGATCTAATGTCTTTGTTAGAAATTAATTGTTGATCTATTGGGTATTAGCTTTTATTTGCAATGCAGTGAAATTCTAAAGATTAATAAATACACGTATCTCGACTATGTATATGTACTAGATTTACTCTTTTCTTTTAATAAATGCACTTTTAAAAAATGTGAGTTATCCGTTTTTAAAATATTATAAGGAATTTTTTATTCAAAAAAATTTTTTTTTAATTTTATGTTGAAAAATTATTCAAGGTTAGAAAGTTATTTTATTTATTTTTTGGTGTTTTCCCAATAAATAAATCTTTTATCAAGCAAAATTAATTTAGTTTCTAGTAAATAAATTGCACGCGCACTTTGTAAAAAAAGATTAAAAGAAAATAAATAGAAAAAATAAAAATTTTGCAAAAATGAGAAAAAAAATATGTTAAAATTATTAGAAAAATAACCGATATAATATTTTATACTGCAATTGTAAATCCAATTTTAGGCTAGGCAGCACCATGGGAGACGGAAGAAAGGGGGGGGGGATTCTCAAAAAATTCTCAAATTCCCCGGATTTTAACCTCCAACTACATAGAAGAAGCAAAGTCGCAATGCGTGATCCTATTGCGATTTTTGTAAGGATAATTCACCTAGCAGTATTTAGAACGCAGGCGTGGGGTTAAACGATTAAAAAGTAAAAGAGAGAAAGTATGAGTCGATGCCACGGTAGCTCAAGGGTAGAGCTTTTGTATATGGAGAGCGAAAGCGCCTAGCAATAACTGCGAGGAGGTCGATGGTTCGAATCCTGCCCGGTGGCTTAACTTTTGCTAAACTCCTTCTTTTCATCGAAAGTCTCTGAATCTCAGTGAATTTATCTCATAAAATCCTGTAAAAGTCTCATTTTAATACCAACTTTTTCTATTTTTTCACCGATTAAAGTGACTGTGTTATTTTTATTAAGTAGGTATATATATTTAAATTGTAAAAATATTAAAATAAAAAGAGATATTTTATTGACTGTTAATATAAACTCGCAGCTGATTTTACTACTAAAAATAATTTTATTGAAAAAAAACTTTTTATTTTTTTTTTGTTTTTATTGCGTGTTGATTGCACGCATTCTTTGTTTAAAATATAAATTTTAGTCAGAGACGTAAATAATTTTTTTGTTTTTAATTTTAATTTAATTTTTTGAATAATTTAAAGGGAATGAATTAAATTGATAAAAAATGTTTTTTTTATTTCTTTTAAATTTTAATAATTAAATTTGTTTTTTACATATTTAATTTTTGAGAAATATTGAAGAACTTAGGTTTCTAATTAGCGTTTTTCAGTGCCATAGTGTTGCCTACATCAATACTTCAAGGATTGCTCGTTGAAGGAGTTGAGCTATAAATTTTTGACACTGACTTCGCTATTATTTTTAGGATTAGGCCAAGGAATAACCTTTAAATAACCTAGTAAATCTCTTAGAAATCTTCCTGTAACAACCTTAAAGGAGTACACAAAGAATGGAGAGCGTGTACGTAACTCTAGGTGGCATAGAATCAAGATCCGATTTTAGATAATTTGTCCTTTCTATTAGAATAATCATTTTAAGTAAATATGTAATTTTAAAAATTAATTTTATTTTTTTATTAATTTTACAAAAAAATTTAATTTTCAAAAAATTTTATTTAATTTTTAATTCATCTCTTTCTGTCCCACACTTTTCTAAATTTACGAGTTTTACGCGTCTAAACCCCCTTTAATTAAAATTTCTGTTTGAGTTGATTTAATGCTTAAATAAATTTTTTAAAATTGTTTTTGTATAAGAACGTCATTGAAAATAAATAAAAACTTTTTTTAATTTTTCTTTTAAACAATTCCGGCGTAATTAAAAATTAAAATAAATTGGCGGTTTAATTTATTTTAATTAATTTTTAAAGAAAAAAATTTAAAAAAAAAATATTGAATTATTTTTTGATATTTAACCAGCTTTAAATAAATCAATTTTAATTTTTGTTTTTTGGCCAGGAACTCTTTTAGATAGAGCAAAGAGTAAAACGGCTTTCTTAATAATAGGGTTAACCCTTAAGATCAAAATGTGACCGGAAGGTTAAAAAACGTTATTATTCACAGTCAAATACTGTATGTTTTGAAGTAAAATTATTCTGTGATTTAAAAAATAGAAACATAACGGGAATCGTGCCGTCCCGATTCCCGAAAATAGGTGATTTATTTCTTATGTAATCTGAATTAGTCCCAAATAAAGTGAGAGGAACATAATGCAAAATGAACAAGTTGGTTCAAAAATCTCAAACAATCTCAATTGTTGTTAAAGCAACAAGTATACTTTTAACGTCATCTTTGGAAAGATCTCTTAGGAAACTCAACATACAGTAAAATCTCGTTAATAATACATACTAATGATTAGCAGAATGATATAGGACATGACCACAATATGTAGTATACCTCAAGTATAATCTATGATTTTTTCTGTCCCGAGGGGTTATATTATAACAAGATCTGACTATATAATTATTTTGAAGAATCTGATTAACAAAAATAACCTCATAAAGACCTTGAAATATGACCTAAGCCTCAATAAATTTATCATGAAAAAATTAATTTTATAATCTTCGATCTTCTGTGCATCTTTATTTAAAATTTATCATCACCTTTAAAAATTAATTTCAAATCAAACAAGCGTAAATCAAAGCTTTTTCAAAAAATTTGTGTTAATTGAATGAACGTCGCGCAGACTTTTTTTATAATTTATTTTAACAATTTAAAGTGTTCTACTTTTTACTTTAAAAAAAAAGATTTGTTTAAATAAATGTAAAGAGAATCTTTGGTCAGAAAAAAAGATAAAAAGAGGTTAGATAAATTTTTAAAATAAATGGATAAGATTTAGAGTAACGACTCGGCAAGCAACTTCTAAAACCAAAAATTTTTTGGAAAGTTGGGATGTCCAAGGATTACCGGATATTTGCCAAAGTCGGCGAGCACAAAAATAACGGTTTATCCAAAGTATAATATGGGAAAAATGGAAAGAGCAAGGTCCAACTAATCCAGCTGATTCATTAAATTTCTGCAATGACACACAAGAACATAATATTTTTTCCTTTACTAAGTTGATAGAAAATTTTAAATGCCAAAAAGTTAACAATGAGGATTGTCAAAATAGACCGACTCGGACCGAAAGATCGAGTAGGGCCTAAAATATTTGGCCCGAAAAAGACTCGTACAAACAATCCCGAAAAAATGCCTCGACCGTCGGCCCGACTCGCAAACGACAACCCTGTTAAAAATAATGGAACGATTAACATTCATGAATCGGAATGTTCTCATAATCAAGTCCCTTCCATCTTTTGCTATTTTCTGAGATGTTGTTACATGATAAACCCACTTAAGAGTTTTCAAAAATACTAAAAATTTTCGAACACAATTTACAAGGTTTATATTACAACACAAATAAAGAATTTATATCTACAATGGGTCTCAGAAATTCAGAGATTTTTGGATAAGAATATTAGGGAAAACGAGAAAATGCCATTAATCAGTAAACAATCTATGTACAAATACAACCCTCACTTTTACGACACTCTCAACAGATTTTCTCTTAATTTTAAGTTTCGTATAAGTAGGTCCGTTTCATATTTGTCTAATATTTCTTCATTTTCATTAAATTGGTTGTTGTAAAGTATTATCCGGTCCTTTCATAATATTCGAATTAATAGCCGAGGGAAATGGTGGATGGCTTCCTGTAGTTATTGGATGTACAGTAACGCTCTTTCCAAAAATTTTTTTAAACATTCCGATACAGTCTCGTTGAATTGACGTGTTCATTGTTAAGTAAATGACAGGTGGAATTCCTTAAATTATTTTAATGTAGAGTTTGACTCACTGCTTAGCCCTTAGAGGGGACAGAGAACAATTCTAATTTATCGCAAAGGATACCAATCCGACCAAAACTTGCCAGTCTTAACACTGACATCCAAAAATATTAAACTTTTATAATGATAACAACCCACAATGTGTTTCTCTCAGAAAAAGGTTGCAGTCATTTAATTCAAGTTTATTTAGATATATTATCTTAAGTAAATTTATATTTTTCCAAAGTAAAATGTTTTAAAAATGAAGATTTTAAAATAATCTATCAACTGATTTTTGTGTTTACTTACATACTAAAGAATTATCCGATATTTGCAGGATTTGTTTATTTGCCTTACTTATGGTGACAGAAAGCAACCCTAATCGGGACCGAATTAATTTATATAGGAAGGAATGAGACGTGGGAGAGGGAAGGCGTAACAAAGGGATTCCATTGTGCACCTCAATTTAAGACACGTTTCTTAAATCCTTTTAGGCAGCCCTCCTTTAGGCTATCTTCCTCTATTGCGGAGGGAACATCTAATAAAATATTTAAATATGATGCAATCTTTTCATCTCTAAAGGAGTACATATCTTATAGCGAGCTCTATTTTTAAACTCTTTAATTTTTACCATGAGCATTAACCCAGTTAAGTTGTGCAAGTAAAATTAGCATTTCATTAACATAGAAATATTGCATATAAACATAAATACCGGCCGCAGATGCATTAATTAAACTAATTATCAAAACTTGTAAAAATATCTTTAAATTGAGAGGGGGGTGAAATTATTTTTAATTTTAAAAAACTCTTTTTTCTGAAAAAGTTTGTTGATCTGTTGGTTGTGATCTACCTCTAGATTTGGATAATAAAATGATGTAGAACATTAAATAAATAATAACCAATAGTGCCAATATTGCATTATTGTGGATTGAATGGAGAATATTCTCATACTTAATTAGACTGTTATTAGGGACCGAACTGAGAGCGTGGTAGGAGATCACTTTCGATATCTCGAAACATGTCAAGCTAGATAACCTAGATTTTTGTTCAAGATCTCGTTTCAGTTCTATCTCTATTTTATTTTTTTCACACAATAAAGTCAGTTAATTTCAAGCAGGTATTTTTAAATTTTGTTCTAAGCAATACCCAAGAATGTATCTTATAGTAAAGTTTGACTGACAATGAGTTATGAATGTGATAGGCTAAATAAAGATAATAGTCGGACATAGTGGAAAGTTCCCATGTAAGTTCCCATAAAAGAACTTACAACTTCATTAGTATCATCAATATATAACAGATGTGGATTGAAAAACCAGCTAAAGTACATGCTACTGAAAGTTACAGGCTTTGTATAGAATGCCATTGCTAGGCCATAAATTATAGGAATAACCATCCAAATAACCAGCTTTTTCCCTATAAATAAATCATTTTAACGTCAAATTTTTCTGCAAGGAACGTTTCGTACAAGTAATTTAATTTTTTATATTAATTACCGCTAAACCATTTATCTGCCAAAATATCAGACCAAAGTTCAACACAACGGTTTATTGCCAAAACGACCTCCATTATTGATTCAGCACACCAGCAACCTTTTAATTAAATTAAATACTAAAATATGTATGTACACCTAATTTCACTCTCGTAAGTTCACCTTTGAAATGTTAATTGGCCACTAACAAATGATGGAAGGATCTTCCTAAGCGATATCCAAGATATTTCCCTCACTTTTATGAACCCCTTTCTCATTAGACCGGACTGGAAGGGTCGTTATAGGACGAGATAGATATCTCGAAAAATATCAGTCTATATAACCGGAATTATTTCCCGAGATCTCGTTACGGTTTGGTCTCTATATTTCATCACCAAGAGTGTACGAACAATCGAGATTCAACTATAAATTCAATTTTTACCAAGTCCATAAGCTCCAGCAATATATATTAAACGGGGAGATGAACAAAAAACATAGCCAAAATACCCCAAATAACCAGTTAATAATCCATTACATAAAAGTGTCAACATATCAACAACCCCAATACAAAACATTATTTTGTAGCAATGGCTATTTTTCATTCTTTTCCATATTGAGAACATACAGGGAATATACAAAATCTAATTGAAAAGAAAATTTTATTTTGAGGGAGGGAGATTTAAATTGAATAAACTAAAAGTTGAAGTGATTGTAAGAAGGAAGGGAATACACTAATGAAGGGTTTAAGATCTATGAACGAGTGAGTGAAAGCTAAATCAGGAGATCCGTCGCTAGAATCGGGAGTATCATCGCTAGAAGATCCATCGCTAGAAGTGCTCTCAATACGTCGGAGAGCGAGAAAGCTTAGCAACCGGTCTCAGGTTTTCGTATATATGGTGTTCGACCCCTGTTTTTGGTACCGTTTTGGTTTGGATAAACGACCGTCAATAATTTTTGTTTGCTTCTAGAGCACGAATTTTTGTACCGATTTAAAATAAAATTTGTAATTAATTTTAGTTTTAGCTTAGTTAAATTTTGTTTTATTTTCAATAATTATTTTATGATGATTTTATTACTATGTTTTATTTGCAAAATTATTTTTGGAAGTTTTTACTAAAATTATTTTTGCATAAAAATAATTTTTATTAATTTTAAATTTTTATTTCCTTGTTTACCTGAATAAACAAATTTACAAAAATTAGCTATATTTAAATACCCAACTCCCTCTTCAAAAAGCAACAAAAAATTTATTTTAAAAATACTCCAAAAAATCCCCTCTCTCAACCAAAAAATGGCTATTAATTCACTTAAATTTCTAATTGTCTTTTTAATTTATTTAATTGTTAATTTAATGCTTTTGAGTGTTCCTTCTGTTGATTCGATCAAAGGAAAAATCCCTGGAAGTGGACCGTCAGGTGAAGGAGGCCGCCCAGGACATACTCATGAATAATGGAGGTCGCTAATTAATTAAAATGAAGAAGGAAAGTGTGAAAATCTAAAAACAGTAGAATCCATGGATGTCACCTTTGATATAAAGCTTCTGAATGAATGAAACAGATCAGAGGCCCTTCTTTTCAGCTTTAAGTAAACTCTTTCCCTTTTCTCTCCTTCGTTTATCAAATAGCAGAGAGGGCTTTACTCCGAGCAGCTCTAATTAGTGTTATCCCCCAACTGAAACATTCTAGAAGCTTTATACCTATCCGGATTCGACTGGGAAATATTAAAATATTACCATTCTATCTATACTTTTTAATTCTATTTCTTAAATACTTATAATATTAAAAAATAAAATTTCTTTATTTTTATAAAAATTGTTTTTAATTTTTGGATAAGACAGAAAAAATTTAAAGCCGCCTGAGCTATTTGCTCAGTATTCGCGAGCGGAAGCCGTAAACCTTAGTTATCTAACCGAAATGAGTTTTGTCTTCCATATGGTTTTTAATCCTCAGAGCCTAACTTTCGAAGTTTCTTCTACGATAAAGATTAATCCTTTCTAAAACCGGCGAGAGGATTAATCCCACGAGATTCCTCACGTTCGACCTTTTGAGCAAAATTCTGTTATTTGATCCCGGACTTGTTACGTTGCCTTATTTTAGCTCTAAAATTTAATAAGAATTACCTCATAAATTATTGAAAGTGAAAAGAAAAATATTCCAAGCCATTCATGTCGACGTTTTTCCAAAGGTATTTGGTCAATATTATAAGAACTACAGTTATATAGACGTTCATATTCGTCAGGTTTAAAGAAATAAACTTCCATTCTTTTATCTATTTAATTTTGTTAAAATTTGGGCTAGGAATTTTGAAAAAAAAATTTTGAAAAAATTAAAAAACTCCCTTTATTTACACGATTTTTAAAATTTTGTTGGGCAACTGGGAGAGCTATCCAAGTGACTACTCTCTCTCTTTTTCTTACTTCAACAGCCGAACTTCGTTTAAAATATCCCCGAGGATTGAAAAAATTTTATTTAAAACCGAGGGTAGCTTAGATTCAGATTATCGCTTAGGCAGCTCCCCAGGTCTAAATGAATTTAAAAAAGTCTCTATAATCATAGAGTATTTTATTTATTAATGGAGGCATTTAAAGACAAGCTCCGACTTTATATATCTCCTATTTTATAGTAATTAAATACCTCATACTTTTTATAATCTTAATTAATTTTAAAATGATTTTTTGACTTTATAAACGTAAATATTTCACTATAATATAGATAATAATTCCCTTGACAATATGGCAACTTTTGCTGTTTAAAAAAACGAAGTAATGGGTGGAAATTGGAAATTATAAATTTTTTGACGTTAATCTTAGTTTAATTGTTCTAAAAATATTTTTAGCCTTATTAAAGGATTTATTTCACACTTTTTTATGTTTAATTTTAAAAAATTTCACAAACGTTATACTAAGAAATACAAATAATGATACTAAAATGAATTTAAATTTACGGAAGGATGCAATTATTTAAAATAATTAGGTACATTGTTAAATATGTACGCATGTATGACACTATCAGTTTAGCACGAGATTATTTTCTGAAGAAGCGCGGGTGAAAATACATTCAACTCACTTGTAGTACCAGATCTGTGCATGGTCAGGTATCCGTATTCGGATATATACGGCGGATAGAGGCGGATATCAGCAGACATCTTTATATTATCTGTATTTTTTTCCGTGTCCATGCACAAGTTTGTTTAGAACACAAAGAAAAATGACGTTAGTGTCAGACTTCGCATCAGGGTTGTAATTACGAATTAATACATATTACGAATTACGGCGTTTTTTGAGTTACGAATTACGAGTACGAAAATATGAAAATATCGGAAAAATTACGAATTACGAAAATAAAAAATTAAAATTACGAAAAAATATTATTGCAAAAAAAAACCTCTCGCACTTTGCCAGTAAATTTTCGAAGGAAAATTTTATAACATCGAAAATTTTATTCGTCTTAATTCAATTACGACGAGACCCTGTTGTATAGGTTTAATCTGGCATTGGATCGAACGTGCCCAATTTCTGCCATCTTCTATCATATTCGCGGTTGGCCTTCGGAAAAAAATTTTTCTTTCTGAAAAAATATTCAAAAATTCAAAAAATTGATTGAACAAAAAATCTTAAATTCTTTGCTTATTTGATTTGATCTTTCATTTTTAATTTTTTAACTACGAGTATGTACAAGCAAAAAAGAAGAGGGTATTCAAACTAAGAGGATGTTCGACGCCGAGGCTATAATTAGTGTTGCGAGTACGAGAAATTTTGAAATTTATAAGCACAGTTCGTAACATTAATAATTATAACAAACATGTTTACTTTAAAAATAAACACCTGCCAATTTTTTAATTTTTTTTATAAATTAAAGGTCTGACATTATAAATTTTCACTTTAAAATTTATTTAATAATTAAATAAAAAATTATCAGCATCATTTTAATTATATATTAAAGTACTTGTATTAAAGTATATATTAAAGACTTTTATTTAAAAAATTGAATTTAACCTTAAACTTCTCAAAATTCTCGCCTGCGGCACTAAAAAAAAGATTAATTTTGTTAAAGAAATATCAGAGACTTGAGCAAGAAGCATACTTATATTTTGAAAATTCTCCTCATTTACTTCTAAATTAAGCTTTTTGTATTTGTATTTAACATTTTTCGATCAGAGTCCTATATTCAAATATGTTTTACAAATAAATATCATTTGTTAACATGGATGGCACCTTTTCCGTTGGCCCAAATAACTCTTTTCCAGTAAGTCTTTTGTGGTACTAAATTTGTTTTTTTCATCAAATTTTTCAGTCAATTTATACTGCTTATAGTAGTCCTGGCTTCCATTTTCCTCTATTCTTACCGGCATTTGTTCTTGGATTTGTGTCAGTTATTGGAATATTTTTTAATTCAAGTGTTTGTTATATTACCTGGAAATATTGGTATTTTATACTATAATTTGTCAGTAATTCTACAATATTGTAAAGCAGCCTCTCACGCCTCCCATCTTTTGCTCACTTTTCTTTTTCACCCATTATTAGGGGTGTATCTTTGGAACCGGTTCTGGAACCTGTTTTGGACCTTTGCCGGTTCCATGATTTCAGTTCCGGAGCTGGGACTCCCGCATCACTGGCAGTTAGCTGTTTAATTCCTAAGCTATGCAGCATCTTCAGTTGACCGAACACCTCAGTCCAGTCAACTGAAGAATGCTGGTCCCCTTCCCAGCTGTCAAATAACCCTTTTACATTAGTTAAGGAGAAATAGCTAAAGCCCAGTTCATATAAAAAAATTAATTTAGGGGAAAGTATACAACATTCAAATGCAAAACACCTGTTTTAATTGCTATCAACTCCTTCCTCGAAGTTTTTCATCAAAGCGGACATTTTGTCTTCCTGTATATCGCAGCTACTGGCAAAAATTTTATTCAGTCCTCTATGGCATTTAAACTAGAAGCACATTCAGTTATCATTGCAAATTGTGTTAGCTTTATGTTTATGACTTTGAGCATTGATAGAGTTCTTGCTGTTGCTTTTCCTGTATTGTAAGTTAATAAGAAATTTTATTTTTCCTTAATTTTACTAAATATAAATTAGTCTCTATTCATTATATATACCAGGGATCTCTAGCCGACAAAAAATTCAATTCCAGATTTTCGGGAATCAATTCCCGATTTTCCCTGATATATACTACTATACTTTGGAGCATAATTACTACATATTATATATAGGCGGGGTATGGGCCAAAGGCCCGAAGTAACCCTCACAGGCTGCAGGCAGAGAAGTGTAAGGCAAAGTGCATTTAATGTAAATCTTCAAGTAATCTCCAAGCAAATCCGCAAGCTTAACGCGCCTCCAAAATGCTACCAAACGCTCCCTCCGACGTAACTAATCCCAAAGCACAACTCATCCATAGCTGGCTCTAAATCATAATACTTTATTTATATCTTAATCTGGAAGGCCGCTTCCTTATTAAGAGAATAGTATTCTCCGGTCTATGAAATAGTATATTTTTAGGTAATTAAAGAAAAAATTAAGGATCTAGTAGATATTAAAAGATAATTTAAATTTTCAGTTATGTCCAACTCAACTTTCGTTTGTACATTTGTTTACATATAATGGCAATCGTTATATTTTTTATCTTCAATATATCTACTTTAATGATATCAGTTAATGAATACCCAGATTGGCCAGTAACAGGGTACATTAGTGATCTATTTATTGGTGTACCATCTCATTTTAATATCGCTATTGTTTTGCTCATAATTCTAATTGTTTCAACATTGGCTCATATAATTGTTGGAATATTGGCAAAATATAAAGGAGGCAAGTATTAGGTTGTAAGGTTGTAGGTTCCGGATATCCAGAGTCATCTAAAAAGAATCACCGAACTTATTAGGGTGTAAGATATATGTTCTAGTATAAAAATTTTTCACAAAATATACATAATATGTTCAAGTCAAGATTTGAAACAATTTCAGAAAGCACATAAACGGGGATTGAGAAAAATAAGTAAAAAAGGGAGCCTAGCAACCCCAGCGGTATTTATCGGTATTCCGATCGGTATTAGAGTACGGAATGCAAAATTCCGGGCTTTAATTATGCATGTGCTTTAATTTATAATTATCTAATTATGCTATAATTATGTATTTTAATTATTTGTTTTAATTTTTTTCTTGAAATTTAATTTCAGATTTGGGAAACGAACAAATTCGTAAATTATTTCGATCACTTTCATTAATTATTATTGCCAACCTTGGTGGATATATAATTTTTATGATTGGTATTGTTTTTGCTACTTGTGTTTTTCCTGAGTTATCTCCTAATTTGTGGTTTATAAGTGTTTATCTTTCAATAATTCTAAACATAACTGCTGCATTAAATGCTCCTATTCTCTATATAAATAGGTGAATAATTTATTTTTTGGGGTACAGCTAAATAAGGTTTGCATCATAGATGTCAAGGATTACCGATACCCGAAATCCTGATTTTTTGCGACCTCTTCTGAAGAAAATTTTGAAAACCCGACCCGGCTTTTTTCTAAACCCTGAGATCCCTGGTGTATACTTACATTCATACACTTAGTCACTTTACACTTAGTCTAGTAACCTTAAAGTTTTTGGTGTTGATTCGATTCTGGTGTTAATTCCATTCCAAGAATCTTGGCAAGTGATACTGGTATATATGGCCTGTTCTTTTCCTTATGAGGACTACCTTAAATTATAAAAATATTACTAAAATATCAGAAATCCCATTATATTTTCCCGAGTGCTCATTTAAAAAAATAGTATGAGACATGCTAATTACTTGCTATTGTTAATTAATTTCTTCGTAAAATTTTAGTTCTGACTACAAAGCAGCATACAAAAAGGAATTCGGCAAAATTAAAGCAATTTTATTGAAATTCAAATCTTACTTCTTTAAAAATACTCAAAATATAACTAAAGTAACTCCTTATTAATAAAAAAATTGGACGACTTAAGAACGACAAACTTGGAACAACTAAAGATAATAAAGTAGTAAATCATAAATGATGTTCAGCCTGGTACAAACTTCCAAGCGATTGTTATCTCTTAAAGTTTTTGAGGTTGGAATCAAGACATGTCCTTCTTTTAGTTGAAGTAGTGATCGAGCAGAGAATCTCATTTAAGGATTAAAAAAATTTTTAATACAATTTTGTATAGATGGTGGGGGACATATCGGAATTGACGTGAGAAAAATAATCTTGTGTGTGTTTACGCTGCTTCTAAAACAAACTTTTTTCTTCAATAAGGCAATGTACTACTCCATAACCCAGTAGCCGTAGGTCCCAAAATCAGTAGAGTAACTGTTCGTACATTGAAATATCCTGCAGAGGTGGGTCGGAACTCCGATTTCCGACGTTTTTTCCTTACGATTTCCGAAATTTTCGAAAAAAATTTTGATTTCCGAGTTCCGAGTTCCGACTTTTGAGCCAGTTCCGATTTCCGGATCTTCCGATTTCCGACCCACCTCTGATGTTCCGATATGTTTGCATGCCGTCTCGATCTATCCTCAATTATGTTCCCCTGTTTAAATGTCAGTAGTGAGTCCTAGGGGACCGTCGTCAAACGCCAATTTTTCGCGCACTTTTCAAAAGGTATTGGACGGGTTTAGTGGTCATTTATTGGCGAATCCTAAGGGTAAGGAAGGGGTTTTTAGCGGTAATTAGTATTTTAACGATGACACAACATTTTTTCGCGCATTTTCCAAAAAGAATCGCAATGGTTTGGTGGTCATTTGGGGATGAGACCTGAGTGTAAGGAAGTGCTTTTACGGCAATTAATTTTATTAAGGATGGATGGCGGTCAAAAGGTGACACCCTTCAAACAACGTCGACCCCCAACCACTAGAACCTTTTTAGCGTTTAAAAAAATAAAAATTAAAAAAACCTGTGTTTAGTGGAAGTGTTTTTACCATAATTTAAATAAAGAAATGATCATTATTGTCGTCTTAAATTAAAGAAGAGAATTAGCTAATATATTTATTAATAAAAAATGAGTCGTAGAAAGGTAATATGTTTTTTAAACATTTAAATCTAAATAAATTTAATCATAAATAAAAATTTAATTAAAACAAAATCTAAATTAAACAAATTACCATTATAATAAAATAAACAAAAAATTATCTTAAAATAGCTAAAATGGTAATTAGGAATCAATTTGAGGGAAGGGCAAATTAATTGAGGCTAATAATGATTCGTCAAATTTCTTTTTAATCGAATCACGCCAAAAACAATAGCGACCTTTATGTTCAGCATCGGCATCATCTATGCCGTCTATGCGTTTTGCAGCCCTATTAATAAAGTGAAATTTTTTTCAAAATAACAATTGAGAAAAAGATACAAAATTAAAGATCCTAAAGTAAATACTCAAGAACAAAATAATTTATTTGGAAAATATTCAGACCTGTGGCATAGCTCATGAGAAATCATTCCATAGAGCTTATGCCCGACATCAACCCAATCTGCTTTCATGACAATCTTGTCTTTCCCGCAACCATGCTCAAACTGCCCACAATCTTCACCATTTTCCCAATCCTCATTCTCAACAAATTCATACTCAAGCTTCATGTCATCATGACCAATTTGGTTATTCGAATGGAATACCTGGCTAAACACAAAAAACATACATTAGGATTTCTCTATTTACTAATCTATGAATCTGCAATTTTTCCTTATATTTTTGGAATCGTTAAAGAAATAGTATTGTAACAAAGTAAAAGTCAATCTAAAATAGAAAGATAAATATAAACCGATTAAGCAAAAGCCGGGTATCTCTGCAGAAATTAGCCCTATTACCAACAGTGATCTTTTCATTCCAATTGTCAACCAACCATTTGACATCAGTATCAAAACACTCGATAGCGCGCTTCTGGCGTAATCTAAGCTGGTTATTTTTAGCAGCGATCTGTCTTGCGGATTTTGCGGGCATTTTTTAGCAAAAAAAATCTATATAGAAATGAAAATTAAGATTAATTAAATTAGAGAAAAAGTAAATGATAAAGATAACAAATTTAATTGTAAATATTTAAATTAGCAGATTTATAAATTTCTGGCAAAATGTCTAATTTATAAAATGGGCGGTCTCTTTAAATATTTTTATGATGGCAAATATATAATCCTCGATTATTAGACTTTCATTTGTAAAAAAAAACCTATAATATAAATCATTAAATCAAATGGCTATCAACATGCGTGATAAACGTTATATTGCAGAAATAATAATCCCCGAGATTGAATTCAATGTAAACACTAATGGAATAACACTTCAAGCAAAATCTCGTCTTAGCACTCCACGTTTTCTACCATTTGATCAATGCGGACGTTGTAGAGAGTGCAAATCTATAGAAGTTGAAATCGACTTCGTTGTAACAAAAGAAGGAGTGACAGTATACTGCAATCGGATCAAGGGGAACCGCTTTGTCCCCTTTGATTCAATATATGATATGCCTGGCCATTGTTTCTTTAGGGTTTATTTAATTTATTTATTAAATTTATTTAGTATTTAGATCAAAAACAAGGGCCGTGTGCTCAACATTCCATTTAATGATCGAGACTGTGTTGAACAAAATAAGCCTATTATTCAACCATTGTCAAGCTATCCAGACAAGAGCGATCAAGTAAAAGTTTCCGACGTAAAAATGGAGCAAGAAGTGAAAACTATAATCAACTCTGCCATGGATTTAGAAGACAATCAGCAGACCGTAGAAGCAATACAAGAAAGTACAAATGGAAAGATCAAAACAATAGAGGAAGACTTGGATGATTTTTTCAAATCGATTGGTGATGAAAAGAAGGTTGTAAAGCGAAGTATTAGTAATGAAGAAAAAATCAACGAGCCATTTTATAATGATATGATTGATCCTAATACGCAAAAATTTACAGATATTGTAAACCCAAATTCAGTTTAATTTTTAAGCATTTTAAACTATAAGAATGTTAAATAATAATATAATCTTGAATAAAAATTTAAAATTTAAATTGCCTTTTGGAATGATTATATCTGGTCCTAGTTCTTCTGGTAAAAGCACATTATTAATCAAGTTAATTTCACAGGCCTTTGATTTAATAGACCCTAAACCTGTTAGTATTCTCTATTGTTTTGGGGAAATGAGTTCAATAGTTCCGATGCTTCAACGATCAGGTATTAATGTATATGGTGGAGTTCCATCAGAGGAAATTATAAAGCGGCAACCAAAGCCATTATTATTGATTTTAGATGATCTATTACTTTCAATTGATGAGAAATACCTCTCCGAGTTATTCACTAAAAAATCACATCATCAAAATTTTGCTATCATTTTTGTCACACAAAATTTGTTTGAAAAGAAGATTAAAGTTGCCAGACAAAATGCACAATATCTTATACTTATGAGATCACCAAATTCAGCTTTAAGTGTCAGAAACATAGGAACGCAACTCTTCCCACGAAAATTGGATTTTTTCTTGGACGCATATAAACAGGCAACCAATGAACCTTATGGATATTTACTAATCGATATGCATGCCTCCTCAGATCCAATATTAAGATTGAGGTCAAACATATTTACAGAAGACAATGAAAAACTAATTTTCATTCCAAAAAATGGAACACAATAATTCAAAAATTAGTCACCTTGTAAAAGAAAATATAAAATTTTTAAAAGCTCTAGCTTCTACCAGTTCTGAAAGGAAAAAAAGAAAATTATTAAAAAAGGCGACAAGAGAACAATTGCTTTCTATTGCAGAAATTTGTATTAATATAGTAAAATCACGTTTTAATCTAACTACACGACAAAAAAAGCGCCTAACACCTTACGCAGATTTTGTACGTAAATTAAGTCGAACAAGAAGCGAAAGAGGTGCTCGCAAAATATTAACACAAAAAGGCAGTGGTGTGGGTTCAATATTTGCAGCTCTATTGACACCTATAATTATTGAAGCAAGTCGATATCTACTAAGTAATAAAGATTAAGATAGTGATGGCCAATAAACTTATCCTCGTCCCCGAGGATTTATACAGAGGTCTTACGTCATCAATTACTTCGACAGGAGAACCTAATCTCGATTTAGTTAAACGTGAATTAGACAATGTTAGAAGAAGAAGAGACAGTAAAGGAGTCAAAAATGCAAATTACAACCAGGAATTGAGGAGATATCTCAACTTAAGAAACGAAAGGGAAAATAAACCAATTAAAGTCGAAGTTGTTGATAAATCTAAAGGTGTCCTTTTACCGAAAACAAATTCGCGACCGGCAACCTATATAGCTACTGGAGATGATGATTTTGGAAATGATGACGATGATAATGACTTTTGGATGAGTGATGATTTTTCTTTTACAAAACAACAACAACCTAAATATTCCCCAGTAATTTCGCCACCACCACCTCCTATCCCACCTCATGGGCGAAACATTAAAATTAAACCACCATCCCCACCACCAGTTCCACCTCGTGATTGGGTCAAAAAAGTAAGGACACCTTTGATCTTCAATCGAAATCCTAAAAGAAAAAGAGAGGAAGAGAATGCCCTGGAAGAAAGGAAATTAATAAAACCCAAAAAAGAACCAAATAATGAAATTAAGGAAGAGATTGAGAAAAGGAATATCAGAAAATTAAAAAATAAACTAAAAAAAGAAAGGGAAGAGAATCGTTATTTAGAAAGCATTAGAGAGAAGAAAGAAAAGAAAAGACAACACATAATAAGGAAGCAAGATATTAAAAAATCGAGAGTACCTTATATGCCTAGTGATCTAATAAATAGATCAATAAAAAGTGAACATATCAACGAATCATTAAATGCTCCGCTTACTTCCCAACCTCATGATGCAACAGGGAAAGTAAAAACTCCAATAATTAAAAGAGAAATAAGTGAAGAAATACCGGAGGAAAAGAGAAGAATCGAAAAAAGAAAATTACGCTATACTGAAGAAGGATATCCGGACGTTCCAGTGAAGAAACGAAAACTTAGAATTATTAATAATTGGGCACAAAGAATACCATCGAAAGCTAATATTCAGCGAAAGATCTGGGCTCAGAGAAAACCAACGCAGTCAGATATTAATAGATTTAAACCAGGTCTTTGGTAATATTCTAAAATGGCAGATCCTAAAAAATTACTTGAAAGATTGTACAATGACCCAGAACACCCTTCAGCATATGCAGGAGTTGATAGTTTATGGCGAGAAGCAAAGAAAAAATATAAAAATATTCCAAGACATGTGATTGAAAATTATCTAGACGGACACCGAACCTATTCTATCATGAGACCAAAAAGAGTACGTTTCTCTAGAAGTAGAACGGTTGCAGCCGGTTTTATGACTGATCTTCAGGTTGATTTGGCTGATATGCAAGCACTTTCAAGGCACAACAAGGGCAATCGGTATATTCTTGTAGGAGTCGATGTCCTTTCAAAACGTGTATTTACAACCCCTCTAATGACTAAGAATGCAGAAGAAATGTTAAAAGCCTTCAAGAATTTAATATACAAAATGCCAATGAAACCACATAGAATTTTTTCAGATAAAGGCACCGAGTTTAAAAATAAGCATTTAAAAGAGCTTTTTGAGAAAGAGGATATTGAAAAATATGAGGCAAATCATTCTAAAGTAAAAGCATCAATAGCTGAGAGAGCAATTAGGAATCTAAAACAACGTTTATATAGGTATTTTGCACAAAAACAGACATTAAAATGGATAGATGTCCTGGAAAAGATTGTTCATGGAATAAATCATTCAGTATCCAGAGTTCATGGATTGCGTCCAATTGACGTTAATTTTAAAAACGCTCAAATTGTATGGAAAAAGATTTATGGGAATATTTTTTCAGGGGTCAAAAATATTAAATCGAAATATAATAAAGGTGATTACGTTCGATTAAGCCGAGACAAGGGACATTTTGAAAAGGGGTACCTACCAAACTGGGGTGATGAGATATTGCAGGTAGATGACGTGAAGAGCACTCAATCTCCTATCACATATAAAATAAGAGATGATAAAGGAGACAAATTCAAAGGGTCTTTCTATAGAGAGGAGCTAACAAGAGTAAGGAAAGATGACGAGACTGAATATCGTATTGAGAAGATATTGCGTAAAAGAAAGCGTGATGGAACTAAAGAATTTTTGGTAAAATTTATTGGATATCCAGAACCCGAATGGATTCAAGAATCACAATTAGTATAAAAAGTCATTCATTTTCATAAATATTTGTAAAAAAATTTTTTTAATTTTAAATAAAATGTCAAACACATTTTTTATACATTTACCTAGTAATGTCCCAGTTTATTCTATAAACAAACCAAATAAGTTCCGTGTTCAATTACCCAAGCCTATTCACTTCAATGGAAATTGGGTGTGTGGATTACACAGTATAACCTATCCTTATTCATGGCCTTCAACTATTGGCACATTGGACGATCAATGGCTAAAAATTCATTTCACCGATGATCTTGGACAGAAAAGTATTCTACGTGTACCTATACCTAAAGCTTCCCACACTAAAGTTGAAAAATTACGGGATTTCTTGAACTCAACACTTGAACATCAAAGTAAGGCAATCGATTTGGTTTTCGATCCTAATAGTTCAAAGAGCAAATCTGTAGTCTCTCCTCCAAGGCTGGATAGAAAAAGGAAACGAGATCTCGAAACACCTCCAGGTGACAATAATCTACCATCACCTCCAAAAACATCGCCACCAATCTCACCTCCAAGGATAGATGGAAGATGGAAGCGTGATCTCGTGTCGCCTCCAAGGGCCGGTAATTTACCAGAGTCACAACCAAAAGGGAATACATTACATAAATCACCTCCAAGGATCAATAATTTGCCAAAGTCACAATCAAAAATAAATACAGTACCAAAATCACCTCCAAAAATATCACCACCAGCAAATGATCAATCAAAGATTGAGAAAAATAAGGTTATTGATATAAAGGAAAAAGAACCTGAAAGAGAAAAAGGGAAATCTTCAAGAGTCGATAATTTAACAGAGACAGAATCTAAAATAAATACTATACCAAAATCGCCTCCAAAAATATCACCACAAATTGATCAATCAAAGCTAGATAAAAATAAAGTTAAAGATGTAAAGGGAAAAGAACACGAAAGAGAAAAAGGGAAATCTTCAAAGGTTGATAATTTAATAGAGACAAAACCCAAAACAAATACTGTACCAAAATCACCTCCAAAAATATCACCACCAAATGATCAACCAAAGTCAGAGAAAAATAAGGTAGACATAAAGGAAAATGCACTCGTTGGAGAAAAAGATAAGACAAATGATATAAAGATATCAAATACTCAACCATTGAAGGATAGGCAAAAGAAATCAGAGGTACCACAATTGGAGACACAAAATAATACTATTCAATCTTCCAACTCTCAGACTGTAAAGGAGACAAATTCAAAATATATTGTAACTCCTCTAGTAGCTTTAGGATTAGCGGATGTTCGAGATACTAATAATAAAACTCTAATAAAAGATAATAACAACGAGATTACAATCCAAGATAATGAAGAAAAAAATACGGATAATGTTGACACTAATAAATTTTCATTATGGAGGGGAGGTGTTCGACTTAGCGGTAATTTGACACTTTTAAAAAATATGATCAACTCTATTACGTTTGAATACAATACTGATTTTGCTAAATTTTTTCTAAAAATTGATCATCCAAATATTGATTACATATCATTATCAACACAATTAGGCTACGTCCTAGGATTTGAAAACCCCCAACTAATTAAAAATAAAGAGGTTGCAAAGTATGGAAGTGATTTACGTGGAGGTTTTTCTAGCTTCGGTGTATATGTAAAGGGCCTTACAGAGAAGATGATTATTGGTGATTCACTCAGCTCATTACTGAGAGTGGTCTCCATTTCAGGTGCTACTCCTGGAGAGTATAATGAAAAGATTTATGATACACCGATCTATGCAAGAGTTCTTCCTAAAGAAATTAATGATATTGAAGTTGAACTAAGAACATTAGACGATGGACGATTAGTCCCTTTCTCATATGGAACAGTACTAATAGTGTTAATTTTTAAAAAAATTATTAACTTTTGAAGACTATATAAATCTATTCATTCATTTTTGTATTCATTTAGTAAAATAATAATAAAATTTATAAAAATGGTACATATTATATTTGATACATCAAAGGTAGGATATGATGATTTTGTTCAAAATATCCAAAAAGGTGGTGGTTTCGAGAATTTAAGTGAAAGCAACTATACATACTTCAAAGGAGCGCCACCATTTCAGAGAGGCTACGGCATTCAAAGTGGTGCGGGAATTGGCGATGTCTTTAGAGGAGTTTGGCGTTTCTTTCTTCCACTCATGAAACGTGTTGGCACCACTGTATCACAAGAGGCGTTAAACACTGGTCAAAGAGTGTTAGACAGAGTTAATCAAGGAGAGACCCTAAAGAGTGCTTTTACAAGCGAGGGAAAAAGAGGAATTGATGCAGTACTTGATAAAGGCGGTCTACCAAAACAATTTGGTACAGGACGTGGAAGAAAGAGTATAAAAGGAGGAAGAAAATCGTTAATTAATCAACATAAAACAATTATTAGTAAAATTATTACAAAACCAAACGTTCCAAAGAAAAGAATTAGATCAGACGCATTTGGTTTATATTAAATAAAATGGCGTTTCATAAGATAGACAGCGATAGCGTTAATTCAATTACTAATGCCTTAGATTTTTTCCAAGTTCCGCCAACGAATGTAAGTATTTCATCAGCTAAAGTATATGAGATATTGACCAGCAATCCATTAACAGATACTCCTTATCATTTCAAAATACATTCAAGCCAAAATTTCATCGATCTTTCCAAATGTTATATATTATCAGAATTTCGGATACGAAAAGAGGAGAATGGTCAATTAGTAAATTTAGCTCCAAATGAAAATGTGGCACCTATCCAGTTAATTGGTTTGACATTTATAAATAATATGCGCATAAATATTAATGGAAGAGAAATATTTAATTCAAATTCTCTATATGCATATAAATCCTATCTTTCACACGAATTTTCATATCCAACTACTTCAAAAAATTCACATTTAAATGCAGCTGGATACTATGGTAATAATGAGTTAACTCTAGAGGCTGGATCAGGATTTGATACGAGAAAAGCCTTGTTTACATTGAGTAGAACAGCTCAGTTTCTTTCAAAAATAGATGCTGATCTATTTAACCAGCCTCTCTATCTAATTAATCATTGTGAAGTTGATATTGAAATAATCCCCAATGAGACTAATTTTGTTTTAATCGGTCAACGAGCAATTCGATATCATTTTGAAATTCTCAACTGTAAACTTTACATAAAAAAGGTTGACTTAATGGATGGTTTGGCTCTGGACATAGCTCGAAAGCTTGAAACAAAACCAGCTCGATATGCTATTAGGAAAACAATGATGAAGTCGCTTTTTATTAGCCCTGGGCGATATGAATTTAATGCAAATCTATTTATGGATCAAGTACCTCGTCGAATTACACTAGGATTGGTATCTAATGCAGACTATGTTGGAAATATATCAAGAAGCCCATTCAACTTCCAACCATTTAATGTTAGGGAAATAAGTATTGTAGCTAATGGTCGAAATTACCCTCAAGCTCCTTATGATTTAGACTATCCTAATGGTAAGTTTGCCCGAGCATTTAGTGATATGAATGAAGCAATTGGATTCAATAATTCCATGGAAAGTAATGGAATTAGTTTGCCTCAATTTGGAAACACTCATTGTGTGTATATATTCAACCTGACAAACAGTGGAGATGACCATGGAGGCCTCTTTGATCTAATTAGAAATGGAACTACAGCTGTAAACATTAAATTTAGTAATCCAGTACCTGACGGAGGATTGATGCTGATAGTGATGGGTGAAGCAGACTCACTATTAATGTTAGATAAGAATCGAACTATTTCTAGTGATACAACAATTTAGTATTTAAGCTCACAAATTTTTAAAAATTTCTCATTTATTATTATTATAATTATTATTAAAACAATTAATATGTATTTCAAAATATTATTATTAATAAATATTTTAATAAATGTTTCAACATATAATATTAAAATTAAGCAGCAGGATTTACCTGAATATTCAGAATATTTGCGCCAAAATTCATCTAATTTAAGAGAGTCAAAAATTAATATAAGACAGTCCCCCCTTTCATTCCCCCAATTCACGGCGCTTAGTCTTTGCACAGAACCAAAAAATAATTTTGAACATGTCTATTGTTGGGTCATGTTTGTAATTTACATATTGATGATCACTAGCCTTGTAATTTACCAAATAAGGTCAATTATATGGTTTAAGGTTAAACTCCCACGACAACAGCTACAAAACGAAGTGTAACCTATAATTAACAATTTTATGTTTTATTAAAAACTAAAAATATTACTAAGGTTTTATTTCTTTACATTGTCGGTTATAGATCAAGAGGAAGGTCTATAATTTAAATCGTAATATGGACAGCCAGCAAATTTCAAAAATACTACGATCAAATGAAGAGACGGCAAAAGTTTTTAAAGGTTGTTTTCCTTGTGATCTCATGCCTAATCCGTCACATTTGATATACCCGGCAGCGCTTGTAGTAAACCTAGATCGCCATCAATTAAAGGGTTCACATTGGATAGCAATCTATGCCTATGATAAGAGAAAGGAAGTGATTTACTTTGATAGCCTGGCGCTGCCAATCAACTCAATAATAGAGGAAAACTTCCTAAACAAATTCTCGAGGACAATTAAGAACAAAAAAGCCTATCAATCTATATTTGAAGATACTTGTGGACATCATTGTATTTGTTTTATTTATTTTTTATCAAAAGGATACTCTTTTAATGACTATATAGAGTATTTGGAAAGATATCCTAAATCATGTGATTTATTAGTGAAAAAATTTATGAATAAAATGATTACTTATTCTTAAAAAATTTTAAATATTTCAAATTTAATATTTATTCGATATTTTAAATTAACAAATAATTTAGTAAAATTAATAAAATAGAGTTAATAATATTAATTAATTAATATCAAATAAATTACGTTCATTCAATTGTTAAGTCTTCAATTGGCTTTTCGCTTAGTTCCAGTTTGTTTGAAGGGAGCGAGAACATCTGATGCACGGCAATTAGTATCAATACAGTCGTTGCATAAGTCAATTTTTAATGTGACTCCTGATGCGTAGCGTATAAATTTGTCTTGCATCAAGAACAAACGATTCTGACAAGCTAAAATTTCAAAATTTAATTAAAATTTTAAATTAAATTCTCACCTGAGCAAAGTTTAATTGTCAGGAGATATTTACATCTGATTAGTTTCCAGAGATATTCATTCTTTGTTGTCTTCTTATCTTCAGGTGTCTTCTTATCTTTTGCCTTAGCAAGTTCTTCCTTAGTAAGTGGTTCATAGAACGGTGTATGAATTTCTATTAAATCTTTAGTTGTTTTTGTCGTATCAAGACTCGAATCAATAGCTTCGAGTTTATTCTCTTCTGTGATATTTTGCACTTCTTTTACTTCTTTAGCTAAAGAAGTTTTGCGAGGCATTGTTGATTGATTAAAGGACGTATTTATTAGCTGAATATTAGTAAAACTAGTGAATGAATAGAAAGATATCCTTTTATACTCGAAAAAGTGGGTGGTATCTTGAACTTTAAGGTTGTTAAATAGTAATTAATATAAGCCCGCCCTCAATTTTGAAGTCATCAGATATAAATAACCTGTAATAATCTAAAAAGTGGGCGGTGAATTGACTTTCAATTTATTGATTATCAATTAATATTTAAGCTACCCCTCTATTTTGAAGTCATCAGATTTAATAACCTGTTATAATCTAAAAAGTGGGCGTGAATTGACTTTCAATTTATTGATTATCATTTAATATATAATCCGCCCCTTGATTTTTAAGTCCAAAAATTTTAACAAATCATTTAAAAAAATATTTTATAATAGACCATAATTTATTAATTCAATTAAAAATGGTACTTCTAATTGATGCGTTTTCTAAAATATTAAATTGTCACCCTTCAAAACTACGCGAACGACTCCATCATCCTAAAGATCGCGAAGTCATTCTGGAAAATTTTAGAGGAAAATTAGTTCGTACTACATATAAAGACAGAAATGAATTCAACAAAACTTTTAAAATTGGAGGTTTAAGTGAATTTGGTGCAGACAAAATTAATGCCTATGGACGACTACCACGACCTTTTAATATAAGCGTCACTGCACATTTTTATTCACGACATCGCATACGTCTTCATCACCCTTATACACATTGCATCATTGAAAAATTCAGTGACAAGAAAAATGGTGCTGAAGATCGATACTTTCCCCTTGAATTGTTAGAACTTGTCGATGAATCTTCAACTAATTGTTTCAACACATTCTTGCGAGATGACAACAAAGAAAACTTCGAACTGAAGATAGAATTAAATGATAATGGAGAGGAAGCAAAGGATAAAGAATTTGAAACTTATGCTCGTGCCAGAAAGGAGTGTAATCAGCTATCATACGATACATATTGGTAATTTTTTATTTAATATACATTTAAGTTTATCTTTTATTCAATATTGTATTTTACCCAAAAATTCCCAACTTCAAAATATTAATTATTTTACAAATTAATTTATAAAATAATAATTTAAAATTTTTAAAAAATCATTTTCTATTTGCTAATATTGCTCATTTACCCCTAAAATTACCTACTTTTAACTATTAATTATTTTTAAATTTCATCTTCTAAAAATATTATTTGCTAATTTTTCAATTTTAAATAAAAATAACAATTTTTTAAATTTTATTCGTTAATAAAATTAATTATTTCGTATAACCAAAATCTAATACACGGAAATCTTGAGGGGAAATGATTCCCTTTCCTACATAAGGCTTGTATACTTTTGTCATCGGAACTGAAGTTATAGTTCCTTTAGGTATTGATGGCCTAAGAAAATTTGAATAATTGACAGGAATAGGATCCAAGTCAGAATCTTTTGCATATTTGATGACTCTTTCTTTGAAATTTTCATATTGTAAGCCTTGATTAACAGTAACGTCATGATTTAATGTAATTCCACGTAATTTTAAAACATATTCATATTTAATGGGAACAGTATCCTTTTTCATAAGTTTTAATCCATACTGTTTACATCCGCCACAGGTAAATTCAGAAATTAAATGATTTGGATATTCATCAGTTAGGTCACCCAAATGTGGACCCGTTTGAAGTGGACAATATTCTTGTGGGTGAGCAAAAATTAGCGAATCGGTATCTTAAAATTTAAAGTAAAATATTGTTTATAAAAAAACTATAAATTTTTTAAAATTTTTAAGTATTTCTTTTAATTTACAAAAGAAATATAATTTAAAATTTTTTAAAATATTTAACTTAATTTTTTATTTTAATTAAAACGAATTTTATAAATAACCTGTATACAACAATTTACAATTGTTCGAACGAGCAACTTTCTGCATTGCACGCAACAAGTGCAAACGAGCAGCCGAAGTCGTCCACAAAGATATGACTAAATTTAATATTTAAAGATTTTTAGTATTTATTTTAATTTTTTAATATTATAGACGTTTTTAGTAAACTTAAAATATTAACCTATGTTGCTACATTCATGTTCTTCGACCCATTCCTTTTTTTCCATATAAGTAAGTAGTATACATTCAGGAGTCAATTGATCCACAGTTGTAATTTCAATCTTGTGACTATCAATAAATTTAGCAAGTTCACAAGGATCATCGATAATTATTGACTTAGAAAGGCCGTGATTTCTGAGACTAAACCTTCCCCCTATATAATCGTAATAATAATTTCTTCGATAGTTTTAGACTTACATAAATTATTTAAAGCAAGTTTTGATAGTGCTCTTCTACCTTTATTAGGTATCATTTTTTCACGATCAACTTTAATACCAAATCGCTCCCAACATTCATCAACAAATTTTCTTTCAGCAACTTCACCATTTATTTCCTTATCAAAACCACTAGCTTGAATTTTTTGGGACATAAATTCTGCTATGTATGGTCTAAAAAGATCTTGATCGCCTTTCTCATATTCCAGAACTCTATATAATTTAGTGACACAATATCCTTCATCAAGGGCAAAATTTAATTCAATTGAAGTACATGTGCTAATCCAACCCCTTTCTTTGTCAGAATGTTTACAAGAATAATCATATATTACATCTCCATGAGGATACTTTTTCCTTTATTTTAATAATTAAAATTATTAATTAATTTTATTTAAATTTTATTTTAAATTTCATTTAGATAATTTAATTAAAATTTATTTTAAATTATTACGCGCAAGTTGAACATAAGGGGAATAATAGACGATCATCCACTTTCATTGGAAGAACTGTCACGTCTATTTTTTGTGGAGGTACAACAAAAACTTTTAAAATAGCTAAAGCATATGGATTGTCAGTAGAGCGTTTCCAGAGCACATCTTCATTAAATACATGTATTTTGGGATGGCCAATAGGATAAATCGTAGTACAACTTTATGTAATTATTTAATTAATCAATAAATTTATTAATAAATTTTAATTATCAATTTATTTAATAATTAAAAATTTTTTATATTTAATATATTTTAATTACTTTATATATGGGTAAAGCGACGTTACGTCGAAATAGGATATTTTTTCTTCAATTTTTGGCTCATAATATAGCATGAGGGGTCCAGTTCTTCCACCATAAAAACAGGATCTAATATCTAGTGGACCTTCATCCAAATAGTTATCAAATTCTAATCTCATATCATGATCTTTTGATAACATATTGCTAATTTCACATTCCCAAAATATTTTTAGTTCTTTAATATTGGAACGAATAAAAGCTGTTCTCTCCTCATTAAGCTGACGAGTAAATCCCGCTGTCTTTCCATTTGGTAATAATTCATTCTCTTCTGGATAATGAATTGAACAAGCGTGCCAAACACAACCATGCACTTCAATACCCAGCTGTAAACTTTCCACCCACCCATCCAGCTTGTATTTACCAACTCTTAACGAATTTAAAACAATATTATTTAATATTGCCCATATTAAAAATTATTTTTTAATTAAATTATAAAAAATTGTTAAAAATATTTTTTTTTATGAGATCTGCCTATCCCGAGTATAACATTAATAAAGGACCATATAAGCTTTAATTTAAACATAAAAGAAAATTTTTAGAAAGCCGAGTTCAATCGCTGATAGACTTAGAATGAAAATTTTCAAAAAAATTATTGAATTTTTAAAAAATTTTTTAAAAATATTTTATTAAAAGATCTGCTTATCCCGAGTATAACATTAATAAAGGACCTTATGAACTTTAATTTAAACATAAAAGAAAATTTTTAGAAAGCCTAGTTCAATCGCTGATAGGCTTAGAATGAAAAATTTTTTTAAAATTACTGAATTTTTAAAAAATTTTTAAACATGTCTATTAAGAAAAGTATGTTATTATAATAAACAAACAACTTTTAAATTTATTTTTAAAAATTATTTTAACACTTTTATCAATTTATTTTTCTACCTTTTTTCACCATTTGCAGAATGTGCCGTTTGCACAATAAGATTATGCTTATTGCCATACCACTGAAGAAATTTAAAAGCCAATAGGCTTTGCTTTTCTGCACTATCATACCCTCTTTCAGGTACGATTGCTAAATATTCAGGTTTGAGATGATTTGCTCGATAATATCGCATGCATGCAGATGCTATAGTAATAGAATCATGAAGTACATCGATTCCTCAAAAATGAGTAATTAATAATAGTAGTATAAAATTAGAAAATAAACACAAAATTTTAAAATTTTTTATTTGAATAATACCTTCAAATCCCCCATTCTTACGTGAAACATCAAAGAATTCTTTTCGAAATTTAATAAGAGCACTTAGCAAAATATCAACGTCATTTGAACAATAGCTAGCAAGTGCTTCATTAAGAAAGAACGTATCATTTTTGTGTTCCTCATACCATATATCAAATTGTTGACGTTTAGATGGCATCATACCATTACACAAATACTCATCTTTAGGAGGGAGATGTGCCATTTTTATATCATAATTTTCAGTTCTATTAGATAAATGAGGAAAGAAAGGTTTTTCCTCGACTTCGAGATCAAAAGATGGTACTAAGGAAGCCAATGAGGTTGGTAATAAATTGAATGAATCTCGAAATATTACTTCGGGATTATTCTTTGATTTAGGTACACGAAGTTCATATAATTTATTTCCCTAAAATCTCATTTTAAAAGATTATTTTATTAATCAACCTTTCGTATCATAGAAGGATTTAGGGAATTTGAATAAATTTCTTTGAACACAAAAATCATATCAAATCTTCCTCCAAAATGGGAAAAACAAAGTGTCTTGAATTTAATTGGTAAATCATAAAGTATCCATGAGACGAATTTTTCAATAGGATTGGAGCAAATAACCTTGAAGATTTATTTCAAGGAAAATATATTTTAAAAATAATTATTATTAATTTCATTTTAAAACGATTAATTTAAATTTAAGTTAGAATAGGTTCAAATTTAATTTTATATCTTATATAAAAATTTTTAAAGTAAAATATTACTTTTTTATCTACAAAAGTTTCACTAAAATCGCGTTGAGCAAAAGCAATTGAACGATTATTACCACAAACATGACATTGTATCAAAGAATCTTTTAGTGTTTTGCTCCAGTTACCATTTTCTATACAAAGGGAGCAAACAACTTTCGCTGATATAAAATTAACTTGATGGATTCTTCTTATTTCATTTATTTCTCCAGAATCCAATATTTTATTTTGTGTTGTTTCAACATCAAATACAACAATTCGGTAAGGTTTAAGAACTTTAAGATCAATTGTTCTTATATAACATCCCCTTTTCAGATCATGAAAAGCCTTGCAATTAAAACAAAACTTCTCGTTACAGACATGACCCTATAATTCAAAAATAAATTGAAAATTTCAAAATTTTTATGAATAATTAAGTTTTGTCATTTTTAAATTTTAACCTTCCGCCCATTTCTTGTATTTGTATGAACATCCCAAATTTCACCGCAGTTATTACATTGCTTTGATTTTTCACAGATCCTCGATTGAGTATGAAAATTAAAGCAATCAGCATTATAAAAAGTTTTTCCACAAAAAGTACAAAATTTTCGATAAATTGTTGTTGATGAACAGGGGAACAAAGGTCCAACACGAGTACACCGTATACATCTAGATCTACAGTTTTTATTATGTTCAAAGGGCCTATTATAGGTTGATTCACATTCGAGACAATACGGACGACCAAATAAATTTCCACTTTTTTGTACTCCATAAAAATGTTCATTATTGTAATAAAGTATAATAGGAATTGTATAGTCATTAGGACCATACTTAAATAAAGGTTTGTAATGTCCACTTGATCCAAAAATAAAAGCTTTAAAACGATGTTGAGAAGAATAAAGATAATTGTTCCAATAATCAATAATTTTTGGTATATAAATTTTAGCATCATAATTACATAGACCAGATTTTGCGCCAATTTTTTCCATTAAAAATTTAACATCATTTTTTAATTCTTCTTTTTGTCTACGATCATGAAGATATTCATAAAATTTCCATCTCTTCCATTGTTTGATACTACGAAAAAGTGTAGCTTGAACTGCATAAAAAAGACAATGGTTTTGACCATCATGATTTTGTACCTTCAATAAAATATTAAATTGAATATTTTAATTATTTAGTTCTCTTATAATTATTTCATTGATATTTTATTATAATATTAAATAACATTAATTTTTATTTAGCATCCATTAATTCAAAAATATTTTTATCCATATTCTTTATTTACCTTTATCAAACATTGATCGTTAATATTGTGATGTATTGGTGCTAAACTTCTTTTTTTCCTAATATTTACTCCTCCGATTATTTGTTGTTCATTTGGTAAATCATTACGTCCTATAGTAGTTACCGATACTTCAAAAGGCTTCCCCCAAAGGCTTATATCATCTTTAGCTTTACTTTGAGCAATATGATTGAATCGATTTAGTAAAGCATCCACCGTATTCTCGTTAATTTCTCTTATTGGTAACCATAAATCAGGCTGTAGAAGCTCACTTGAAATAATTATTCCAATTTTGTTCGCTACAACACCTCTTTTGTTACTCTCATTAAGGGATGATTTGATACAATAATCAAAAATTGCAGCAAGTAATACTTCTGGGTCTGATGGGATATTTTCGATTAGAAAGGAGGAACGATTTTTGAGCAATTTAAACTTTTTATTAAATTCAATATCCTTATCAAGTATTGTAACATAATGAGATGGTGATAAATTTAAATTATTAATTTGTTGTCCATTTCCGGTTTGAAATGATGGAATATCTGATAACAATTCCTCAATAAAAAATCGAGGACGTTTTGACGGGGGTTCGTTTTCCATTATTTAAAATAAACGTTATTCTTAGATTAAATATAACTTATTAAAATATTTTTGAAAATTTTTTATATTTTTAAAACGATTGAATGAAATTATGAAAATTAAAAAATATTAAAGAGATAAATATTTATCCTGAGAATATGTTGCTAAAGGATTGATTTATTGTTAGTAAAATATTCAAGAAAATTTAATAATAATGGAAATAAGTAAAATTATTTAAAATATTTATTTTTATAATATAAATTATTAAATATTATAATTTTGTAAAATTATTAATATATTTAAAATAATTTTTAAAAATAATACTAAATTGAAAAATACCCGAGTAGAAAAAAATTTTTTAACAAGAAAATATTTTTTCAACTGAATTGAAATATCTTGAAATATCTAACTTGTCGAGAAAATTGTTTGTTTATCTTTTCCAATTTGACACAAAAACACTCCCCCTTTTACAATATAATTGCAGCAAGAAATTAGAGAAACTTCAAAATTTATTTAAAATTTAATTTTTAAATTTCAAAATAGTTAAAATAAAAATAAATTTAAATATTTTTTCACAAATATTTTTTTCCCTGTTTTAAATTAACTTTAACAAATTTATTTAATTATAAAGAATTTTTTCAAAAAGTACCGATTTCTTTTAATTGTTTTTTACATGCCAAAATTTTTTATAATAAAAGTTTAAGGGAGGAAACGCCGACAATTGTTTATTTTTCACCAGTAAAATGTTAGAGAGGAAATGTTATAAAACACAAAAATAAAATTACACCAAGTAAAGGGTAGCGAAAGTAAAATTGAACTCTTGAATTGAAGGAACAAATTGTAAAATCTTCGAGAAATTTACTTTGATCAAATACTGACTTTTCATTCATTCTTGCGATTCTCTATATTTTAAACTTTTTACTTTTTCTCTAAATTTTTGTATTTTTATAAATTTTTTTCTAATTTTCCTTAAAATTTTAAATTTTGTTAGTAATATTAATTACATTAAATTCTAATATCTTTAAAAATATGGTTAATATGTCACGCATTGCTCGTATTTCTCGATTGTCAAATCTGACTTTCTTCGATCGAGATAACATCAACAAATTTGTTATTTTAATTATATAATATTTTAATAAATATAAACTAATTAAATTCATTAAAATAATTTTAATATGTTTTTATAAGCTTTAAAATTTAGGGTAAACGCTCGAGATCTGTAGAGCTTCCAAATCGCGTTAAAGAAAATGTGGTGATTTAAACTAGAATAATTTTTTCTTTCTCATATAAATATGTATTTTTTAGAAAAAACGTTCAAAATCACTCAACCGTTCCCAAAAGTTTAAATTTAATGGAAATGATGAAGATGAGGATATTATTTTTATAAAAATTGTGGTTAGATTTTAAATTATTTCTATAATTAATTTTAATTTTAGAAATGTCAAAATAATACAAAAGGTATTTAAAAATATATTATTAATTATAAATAATAGTTCAAAAACGCCGAGCCGTCGAAGCTCCAATGGCACCAAAAAAGAAGAAATATTTTCCTATTTTTTATAATAAAATTAATATTTCTCCAAATGGACCAATTGTCGGTCTGTTTTATTTATAAGTAAAAAAAAATAAATTTGAAAAATTAAGAAACACCGAAGCGTGTTTTCCGCCGAGGGAAAAAAATTTCTTTTGGAAATTTACTTAAAAAAGATGAATAATAAATGTGAATTTAATTTTCATTTATTTCATTAAAATAATTTATAATAATTAAAATCCATTAATTACTTAAAATTAAAATTTCATTAATTACTTAACTTATTTAAAATACCAAATATCGTGCAATTATTATAATATTATGATAGAACGCCAAAAGAAAATTTAAATTAAAATTTTTAAATATTATATTTAGAAATCTTATTGAATAAAAACAACTAAAATTGAGGCGTTCTATCATTACAATTATTTAAAAAATTTTACTTAATATTCAATTTTTAATAATTCTTTCCTCAATCTTTTAATTAATATTTAGCATTGGACCTTTAAATTAAACAAAATCTTAATATTTGTCTGAATAAAATTTAATATTTGTCTTAATAATATTTAATATTTGTCTTAATAATATTTTAATATTCTTTTAATAAAATTTTAATTAGTTAAAATCTACCTTATTAATAACGAGTTTTCTGTAATTGAGTAAAATTAAGTATTTAAAAATTTTTTAAATTTAAATTAATTTTAATTTAAAAATTACCGAAGTCGACTCTTTCAAAATTCCTAAAGTAGGATTTTGACGACAGTCAATCGTAAGTGGTCGAAATTGTTTGAGCTCAATTTCCTCCACTTTATTTTCCTTTACATTCTTCTTCTTCTTCTTCTTTTGTGTAATAGTATATTCACTACGACGAGTTTCACGTTTGACGATAAAACATAGATTTAACAGCTTTAAGAAAATATATTTTAATGTTTAAATAATTTTAATTAAGGATAATTAGAAAGGACCTGTAAAAATAACACTAAAAAAGCTAATCCAAACACCCCATAAAAGAAAAAGCTATTGTCCAAACAAAAATTTGTATCTCCTTCAGCTAAATACTTTAAAACATCTTCCGAAAATTTCTCGCTAATGCATTCGATCGGCTTGCTGTAGGTGGATGGTCTCATGCAAACCCCTTTCGCGCAAGAACAATTATTAACTAATATCCATTGAATTTTTGTTGGGAATAATTCAGTAAAATTGGACATTTTAAATTTTAATTAAAGAGAAGAATAATATTTAGTAATAATAGGCCAAAAAAATATCAAAAATGCTTATAAGAGAATTTTAATATTTTATAATAGGCCAAAAGTATCCAAATTGTATTTTTTGTAAACGCCCATCCTTAAGCTTTTTCATATGTACAAATGTTTATATTATTTAAGATTTAATCTCGCTTTTTGTTTTTTTGCTATTATTAATAAATAGCTGTATTATAAACAAAGGATGACATGGCCATAGAATTTGAAAATTTTTAGGAAATAGTTTTATCTTATTTGATCAACAAAAATATACACATTGTATCGTTAAAAAATTTATTAAAATATATATTTACAATAAAATAAACATAGAGATTATTGTAAAAAGATAAATCAGAAATGTAAAATTAAAAAAGAAATTTTAAACATTAAAATTTAATTATTTTTTAAATTTGTTCCACTTCCATTAATAAAATTTTTTCCATCAATTTAACCCTTTCTACAGGCATTGGTTACTTCTTTTCCTCCATTTGACCAACATCCTCACTCGTTCTCTTTTACTAATTACCTCCAAAAACACCCCTCTACCTGTGGGTTTCACCCACAAATGACCACCAAACCATTCCGATACTTTTTGGAAAATGCGCGAAAAATACCCTTTGACCGCTATCCACTCTTAACTAATTACCGCTTAAACTCCTTCCTTACCCTTAGGATTCGCCAATAAATGACCACTAAACCCGTCCAATACCTTTTGAAAAGTGCGCGAAAAATTGGCGTTTGACGACGGTCCCCTAGGACTCACTACTAATGTCCATTCTGATCATTTAGCCGATTAAATACAGACCGGGAAAAAGAAAAATTACAAAAAGGAATGTCAAGAAATATAAGTATAAATTCTTGTAAATATAAACAAATTTTTTGAAATTTTCTTTAAAAAAATTATCTAGCACTAGCTGCTGTTTTCCCATTTAAATTATTTCCATATAATTCAGTCAAATCACTACTTTGAACAACATAACCATTTCTTTGAGGGAGTTGTGAGGAAAACAAAATTGTTTTGCTTTCATTTCGACGATTATTTGGGGGAGAATGAAGAAAGGTTAAATTTTGGAGGGGAGGTTAATGGTGTTGTTGATGTTCAACATGTTGTTGTTGTTGTTGAATATCGTCAAATGGGCCAAACATTCTTTGAACATTTCTAGGTGTTGTAGGCTGTGAAAGAGAACAGCCAAATGTTACTTGACGAGGTGGGTTTGTTGAAGAAGTTGTTGGAAAGGCTAAGAGAGGCATTGGGGCTGAAAAAGAATTAAATTTTTGAGGATTTCTTAATTCTGAACATGTGAAAGCGTGTGACTTATGGGAATGACTTAACAGCAAACTATTTTTGTTTCAAGGTTAAAAATGTGTCCTTATACTTACAGAAAATATATTCATGCATGAACTGGATGCAATTATTTCTGTTACGTCTTTTAATTTATCCTTTCTAAAAAATTTCTTCAAAAATCCCTTGAGTTAGAAGAAGATCCCGTCCAAAAACCCTCTCCTAGTCTCTTAAAACCTCTCCTATTTCTCTCAAAATGTGTGTCTCCCATACAACGAATCTTTCCAAAGCAGACTAAATACTAGAGTTTCACCGGAAGTTCCGGTTACGGGCCGGAACTTAGAAAAGTTCCGGTTCCGGTCAAAATTTCGGTTCCGGTGAAACACTACTAAATACACGTTGTTAGAGGGTCCCAGATTAGTTTCAAAAATCAATTATCTCAATGGGTTCAGAAACAATCTACATAATATACCTGGAGGAGGCGGAATATGACCCATAAGGTAATTAAGTTCTTCCACATCCTCCTCTTTTTCTATCAATTCTGGCGGTTCTCTAGGCAGTTGAGCTATTATTTGACTGGTCCTTCAAAATAAATTTTTAGTCAAAAAACTGGAATTAAAAAGTATGCCTGTATAGATTTAGTCTAGGAGGTCCTCTATCCGGCACTGGATCAACTCCAAAAGAGCTATTTCTGAATTGGACATGTCCAGTAGATTCTCTTTCTCTTTGATCCTAAATTCAAAATAGAGCTTCATTTTACTGGATAAAATCCAAAAAATTACAATTTCCCTAAGTTTTGGCAGTTCTGTCCCGCTTGTTGGATTACTAGTCATTGAGGGATTCCTTTGTGGTCTTCGCAATGTGGCAGAAGACGTGATTGCAGCCGCGTTTGAAGAACAAGGCCACAGAGTTGTACTAGGCAGGATATTATGTGAAGGTAAAGGTTGAACTGATGACACTTTTTGAATAGGTTTAGGCTTGAAAGATCTTGATTCCTAAAGAAGTAAATTTATTGTAGGGTTGTTATCCATCATCGTTTATACGCGAGTAATCGGATAAGAGAGTCCCTTCCTGTTTTACCCAAAATAACCCACCCACCTCAATCTCTCTCATTTTTCTTCGAATTCTCAACTACCCGTTTTTGCCTCCTCATCCCGAAATTTAAACCCTAATTTAAATTACACTTTGGCTTAAAATCAGGGAAAAAATGTCTCATAAAACAAAACGCCAATAGACGAATCTTTTGAATTAAAAATATTTCCAACCCTCAATTTTCTAAGTGCCAGCCATATCCGTTTTGCATGCCCCAACTTCTGCACGCCCATATCCTCCAAGTCTTCAGCCTCTAATTGTTCCAACTCTCCAACTGTCAAACACCCCTGACGTTCAAATTGTTGGATATATTGTTTGAGACCTATGGCAGTTAGCCAGTCACGAGTGGGCGCTTCTTTAGTTATGTCAGTTGGCCAAGTGTCCTTAAAATGTAGTTTATAAGTCTTATCAATGACTCGGACACTTAATCTAAGAATGTTTGTAACATTTAGTAGGCCCCACAATTCAAAAACCCTCATTGGAAGATAAAAATTTTAGGCCCAAGCTATACTGAGTTTTCGTACCGCAACATTCTGCCAACATTGAATATCCTGAACCAAACATTTGCGATCATCTGGTTTTGTAATTCCCAAAGTGGTCAGATCCTCAGGTGTTGCCCTAGCTAAAGTGGGTAGATCATATCCTTGGGACAGAAAGAGTGCCAAATATTCAGAAAGACATAAACGTTGGAGCCATTCAGCGAAGATTTCTTGCTCCTAAAATATTAAGTTTCTTCTTAAAGACCCTTCCCTTCAAATAACTCACAGGAATTCCTTTAGCCAACATTTCTCCAATATTTACACGTGAACAATTTCCTCTTCTTGCTCTTTCTGTTTTGGAAGACCTTTCACCCTTCTTCAATATTGTAGTTAAAGTACCACTTTCAACATCCCCTATCCCAGTTGAAGACAAATCAAGTCCATCAGAAAGCGAAAAATAAGCAGAAGAACGTCCTCCTTGTGTAGTAGCTGTAGATGATCCAGTAGAGGAAAGACGTGAGGAAGGGGAAGAGATAGAGTTATCTTCATTTGGTGATATTTGAAAGGCTTGAGGAGATTCGTTTTGTTGTTGAAGTTGGTGGTGGGCAGGAGTGGAGTGGCAAGGCTGGGCTAATTGGTGAGAGCTAGCACTCTAAGTATTATTGAGATTTAAAAAGTCTTGAAAGGCCTCTATATAATCTACATCATTAGAAATACTATAAAGAGAAGGTGAAACGGTATTGGTGAAACGGTATAAATTTGTGGCAGAAATTTTGTGACAAAAATTTTCAAAAAATCTCTTTTTAAATTAGAACGACTATTCCCTTTCTCATAATTAAATTCCTAAAAATACCAACTTTAGAACTTTCAAATCCAGAACTTGTTTGGCTGCTATTTGTAGAGCCTGTAGAATTACGATTAGTGTAATTTACTTTGTTGCTTTTTTCAATTCCGTGTGGCTGTTGTGATTGGCAACAACGGCCATTCATTATTAGACGAGCTGAACCTACTAAAAAATTTATGAGAGTTAATTTTAAAATTTTCAAAATTTTTTTTATCAAATCTTCTCAGGAAAAGTCAAAAATGAGTAGAATATAGTAGAAAATCGTTTTAATTCGTTTCCCTATAAATTAGCCAAATGAACAGCTAGAAGTGTAAAATTTTGTAGAGATATCCTCAATAGTCTTAATTTATCTCTCCTAAAATCTCAGATTTTTTGGTCGGATATTTTCCCTGTTGTGATCAAAAACTACGCAAATTGCTCCAAAATTCAAACATTTTTGACCATAACCTAGGAAATATTTCCCCAAAAATTCTGAAATTTTGTCAGATTGTAATTAAAAGGATGTAAAAAAATTTAAAAAAAAAACTTTTAACAATATCCCCGCAAAATTTCATCCCTCAAAGCCTTATTTTAGCAATTTTATAAGCTCGCGCCGAGACATCATTTTACCCCCTAAATATCCTGACATAAATTAATTTTTCTAGTTTTCCTTCCTAATTAAATTAACACTTAAACTATAATTGAATTAACACAAATATTTTCTCTTTTTTAAATAAAAGAATAGCTTTCACTTTAATTTTTGTAAATCAAATCAATTTTAGTTTAAATAAATTAATTTGTCTCGAAAAGAATCGCCCCACTTTAAACTAAAAAAATTGTTTTTTTTTCAAATTGTGTGGTTTAATACAAATTAATAAAAGAACGAAGAACATTGGAAAAACGTTTGGGAAATTTATAGATGTTTTTGTTTAAAGAAAAGTAATTTATTACATTTAAAAATTTTTTTATTAAAAATTATTTATGCCCTTTTTAATGAAAAATAGGGAAAAGGGAAATTTTGAAACAAATATATAGTTAGACCCAAAAGATCGAAATAAAATAAGGTGATTTTGGAAAAAAAACTAGAGTTTTTCTTCGTTCGGTTCCCAATATCCGAAAATTTTTCAAAGGCTGACACATTTGTATTCATGGAATGGTTAGACGATGGTTACAATGAGTGTAAGATACAAGGGAATCTGTCATTAAAAATTGAAATTTATCCATGAGAGAAAAAGCGGAAAGAAACGAATTTCGAATGTCTGGAAAATTTTAATTTTTGGTAACCAATTCCGTTTTATCTTAGGGTTATAAGGCTGTGATTTATAGGCAAATGCCTATTTTTTCTGCAAGCTTGGGATGATGTAATACGTTGAAAAAACGTGTTTTTAGCTTGGTCGAAGAGTCTAGCGTGACTTTTAATTTGCCTATTTCTGCCTATTTTGGACTTTTTGTGCCTTCTTGCCTATTTTGAAATTTTTGGTACTATTTTTGCCTTTTTTAGCGATTTGTCCTAAATTTTGCCTAAAAACCGGTGAAAAATCTAAAAGAATCAGTCCCAGATTTAAAAAAATCAGTGCCGACTCCAATTTTTAATTTATAGTTAGACGAATTGAGTATTTTTACTCTGTTGGACATTTTGAGATTAGGCGTTTTGGTGGTGTTTTTTAATTTTAAAGGTCTGTTAGCTCATTTTGCCTATTTTTGTGCCTTTTTTGGCTTTTTGGTGCCTATTTTAGGCGCCTATTTCACTGATTTTACATGCCTAACTATCATAGCCTTAGTTATAAGGAAAAAGTCTGGCCTATCGTGAGCCCAATCTAATGTGTTTGATCTCCTAATAAATATCAATAACGTTTCGATTTAATGAGCTAACCCTTAAAGAAACCCTAAAAACACAATTTAATGAACAAAAGACAAAACAAATTGAAAATAAATAGTCAACAAACAAAACTTGCACAAAAACTAAAAAACATTTAAAAGTTTAAACGAAAAACACATATTTATTTTCCCCAACAAACATGCGCGAATCTCTCTTTACCCGAAAAACAAATAAAAATAAAAACCAACCGGGAAAATCTTCTTCAACATTCATGAATGCCGTCTCCGCCTCTTCATTATTATTTCTTTCCGTAATATTACTAGAAAATTTCATGCCCATCTGTTGTAGTAAAGGCGCTCCCATTGAACGAGGTCTAGTAGTAGTTCGTCCACCACGCTGCAATAAAGGGGAGCGCCTTGGAGGGGGTGGAGGAGGAGGTTGTGGGGGTGGAGGGGAAGAAGTAGAAGAAGAATGAGCGGAAGAGGTTCGAAGGCCATTTCTTTCTTCTTCCTCTTTCTTCTTTTGCTGTTTTGAACCTCCCCCAATTGTCGCATACTTGTCATTTTCGTCTTTAAATGCTGAATAATAATTAGAAGAAGCGGCATTTTTCTTTTTTGGCCCATCAGCGGCAGCAAAGCTTCGTCTATTTAAAATACCAAGAAAAGGGAAAGAGGATCCAGTAGTGGCAGATGCAGAAGATTGAGAAGAAGAATTTGATGAAGCTATTTTTGGTTGTTGAAGAGGGTCATTGTTGTCCTTTTTTGGAACAGATTTTTTGCCGCCTTCCCCTCCTCCGAGAAGAAAACGGCGACGCATTTTTGAAAAATATTTAAATTTTCTTTTTTCAAAACACTAAACACAGCGCAACAATAACGATACACAACTAGAAAATTTTTAAAAATATTAAAGAGGACAAAACACAATTATTGACTTGATAGAAAGAAAGAGGTTTCAGTAACCTTTTCAAAAATGAATTTTTTATAGGTTTTGGATAAGAAATAACCTAAAATCGGAAATTAATTTTATTTTCAGTAACTCTCCTAGTTCTAGATAGGTAAATATACATATGTATCTCTCGGTATGATACTCTACGTTGGGAAATGCTGGTATGTAGGAATAAACTGAAACAAGATTTCGTTCAATAATCCTGGTCATAGTGATTGAGATTTTTAGGGAGAACGATCCTTAATCGGTCCTCAACTCCACAATTTAAACAGATGGTTATATCCTTTGAAATTTAGGCGAAATCTCAAGTCGGAATGGCATTTATGTAAATAGAGGTTTGTGCCAAACAAGGCAAATCGAGGGAGGTTTAACGAGAATCAAAAATCGTGTATAGCCCATTCAAAAAATTTAATAATCAAATTCCCTGGTTAGAAAAAATTTTTGAAATTTTTTATAATTTTTAATGAAAAATTCTTTACCCAAAAATTAATTCAAAATATATTTATTAGTCGTTAATTTAAAAAATTCTTTTTTTAATAAAATAAATTTGTTGTTATTCTAAAAAGGATGCTGCGGTTTGCGCTCCCCCAAACTGACAGTTCTTTTTGACAGTTTTTTGAATTGTGGCGTTGGTTGAATTTTTTGATTATTTTTTTGTCTTAAAATTGGAAGGGAGATTGAAGGGGTTTTTGTTGAAAAGGAACAAAAAATGGGTAGAAGATATAGATTTTTAAAGGTATTTTGAAGGGAAGGAACGGTTGGAAGGAAGAATAAAAAATGTGAAGGGAAGGAAGGAAGGTCATCTCTCTTTATGCTAACAACATTTACTTGGTTTAAGCATTACAAAAAGGGCAAAAAAAGAGAAGAAGGAGATGATGAGTAGAAGAAGAAAAAATGTAAATATATTTTAAATAAAAGTGTGTAAATTTATTCTTAGGCTTCTTCTAAACAGGGCCAAATAGGGGGCAAATCAATAGGGAAAGGGAGATTGTGGGGGAGGGGGTTGTTCTACAAAAGATCAAAAAGCTAAGAGGAATATTCAAATCGGAAAAATTTAAAGCGGATCTGCATAAAATTGGGTGGACGCCAAGTAAATTACAAAGAGCAACAAAAGTGCACGAGAAAGTAGAAGATATAGTTTTTTAAAGGTATTAGGATAAAGATCATTGATATTAGGATAAAGATCATTGATATAAAAATCGCTAATTAGAGACGTCCAACTACGAGGCCAGAATTTCCCCTTTTTGGCCTTCTTTTCTGGCTTACACAAATCAAACTAAAATTCAAGTCCCAAGAATAAGTGCCAGATATAAAATAAACCCATAAATATTACCAGTCCCTGTAAATTATCTGCTTTAAATGGTGTCAAATTATCCCATTTCAAAAAGAAAAATTCGATCGAATATTTTTTTCGTTTAAAAATAAAAAAATAAGAGGTTTATAACGACTATTTACATTTAATATATTTATTTCTATACATATTTAATGGGAATGTGTAATATCTGTGACTTTAAACATGCGCAAAAATTTCCGTTAGATTTTGTTGTATAGTGAGAATATTTTCAACGTATTAATCGCTTCAATACCCTTAGTAAAGAGCCTGACTATATTTACGCCATCATATTAAATTAAAGTCAAGGTAGAATGCGTGAAATGCGTGTGGCGCAGAAAATGAAGCGGAAAATATTTTTACATTTTTCTAAAATGCTTCTTCTTATTAGAGGTTATTTCGGCGCGAAGAAAGTTTGGCGCAAACTTGTAAATTGGCATAAAGCCAAAAATTAAAAATTCTGAAATTTTGCACAGGCATGCCTCACAATGTGAACTATCTCTGATAAAAATTTCAGAATTTCTGGTTTTGTATTTCTGATTTTATAATCAGAAAACTCACCTTAATTCGTCATTCTATAGAGAAATATTGTTTTATTTAGCCATAAAATTAGTAGTACAGTACCGAAAATTCTGAAATTTTCAGAATTGGTAGCTAAATATATCTTTAGTATCTATGAGAAATTTCATAACTCTAGGGTTTAATAGAACTTTTTTAGAAAATCTGCGCTTTATCCAACTCCCACCTTAACGTCCAACTCCTTTATTTGTTCCCCCATTGTAAATAAAAGGAATTTTTATGTTTTTACTAGCTTTTTTGTTTGCCTCACCTTTTGATTCTGCCGAATCTGGGATTGGCGTCCTCTCCTTTTTCCTTCTAGAAAAGAGGCTCGCAAAGTGCTTCTATTGCTTGGTAAATGGAAATTAAGGGGGGAGGAATTTTTATAGAACTTCCTCTTTTCCTTTAGCAAGTTATTTAGGCGTAAAATTGGCGTGGTAGGTGGAGATGGCATTGAAAAATATTTTTATGGACAAAAAAAGTAAAAAAAAGTAAGGGCACACGACAAACAAAAATTGGAAAAAATTATTTTTAAAAGGTAAAAAATTATCAGTTGTCTCCCCCATTATTTTTTTTTATTTGAGCGAAAATTATTTAAAAAATAAAAGGATCGGTTAAAAACAAGCTGATAAAATGAGCAAATGAGTAAGAAAATTGGTAAAATGAAAACAATAAAAATGAAAATAATATCAATTTTTTGTAAGAAAAAATTGAAATAAAAAATGTCTGCAAAAGTCTTCTGCATTTGCGGGCAAACCCCGAATCCTATTGAAATTGGAATAAATGGTCATTGAGTCAATTCCAGTACCATTACCATAGTATCAGGGACGTTCTGAAACTGACTGTAAAAAGCGAAAGGGGAAAGGCAAAAAACGAATACAATTTAAAAAGCGAAAGACAAAAGGAAAAATTTCCGCAAACTGTTATTTCTGGCTTTAAAATCTGCAAGCTTTGTTATGATAAATTTGACAATTCTCATCATAAAAATTATTTATCATTGCAATGCAATGATATACAAAAATACTACTAATGTCTCTTTACGTTCTTGTGTTGTTATGTGGGATTCTGATTAAATATATGTATAATAAATTTAATGTAATAACTTATATTAAGTAAATTTAGAATTAAAAATAACAATTCACCCTCAGTCAAAAACCGAAATTTTTTTTGAAATCAAAATTCAACCTATGATTACATTGATATTAGTTAGGATCTTGACAAGATCCATTTCTGGATCCGGTAGATCAATTTGAATTAAAATTCCAAATAACGATCGTCATACATATGAAGCTGATCTATGATCAGGTATTATTTTACATGGTGTTGTTGCCATAGCAGCGGACCAGTTCAGGTGAGTCCGTGAATGATCCCCCTAATAGATACCTCAGCAATTTACGTGGATTGCGTAAATTGCGTGTTTTGACTTTAGGACTGCGGCTGCGGAAAACTTTTATTATTTGTTCCAGCCCTAATTCCAAGTCGAACTAAAAGATTAAAATATCGACTGTTCCAAAAGAAAATTAAATTTAAAAATCACTTATTTAGATTAAAACCTTTCAGAGAAATTATTTAAAATGTGTTTGTGTGTCAAAATAATGGATGAAGGCAATCTTTAACGGAAAATCCAAATTAACAGAAAAATAAATAAGATTAAAATTAAGCCAGAAGGGAAAGAAAAGCTTTCCTTCCCCTAATTTTCCCTTTCCTTGTCTACGGATGTGCTTTATCCCTAAGGCTAATGAACAGATGTGTGTGGTGGAGAGATGACCGGGGAAATGCCAAAAGCTAAGAAAATTAATTTTAAAAAGGTGAAAAAAGCAAAAATAAATTTTTTTGAAAAATAAATGATTGACTTTGAGGAAAGAAATTAATTGATTAATGTGTTGAAAGTGTAAAATAATAAATAATAAATAAAGTTAAAGTAATGGGCAAAATTAAAAATAAATATACAGGGTGTTTCAACTAAGAAGCACTATTTGAAAAATTAATAACTTTTTATTATTTTGACAGATTTTAATAATTTTTGGTATTTTATATCTATAATCTATAAGGTTTTTTTTGATATAAAAATTATGTCGAAATTCGAACCCTAACCCGAGATAATTTTGTACTCTACCGTTCTGTTTTTCCCTTTTTCCGCACATGCATTCTTACTCCCCTTTGTTTTTTACAAGGGGCGATAGACATTAGAGTAAACACTAGGCGATAGACAAAAAAAAAAACCTAATAAAAAGCCTTTTAAAAACCTAATAAAAAGAAAAAATGTACAACGATCGATGGCTAAAAGTTGTTTGTGAATAATAAATAAATTTGTTTGTGACGATTGTGGTATTTATATTTTTATGATTAAGTAGTGGTCATCGGAAACAGGGTATTTCGGCGCGGAGAAGGTATACGGCGCGGCCTTATAAAATCAGGTAAACGAGACCTAGATCCACGAAATTTTGCTCAAATGTCCCTATTAAGTCTATCTAACTCTAGTAAAATTTTCAGAATTATTGAATAAAGTAAACAGAGGTTAGGATTAAAGATGCCCAAAATTTCAATGAAAATAGCCTCTTTTTGAATTTTTAATCATAACTTTAAAAATACAAAACCAAAAACTCTAAAATTTATAGAGCCGTTAAAGGACACTTTAAAAAATATTTATACAAAATTTCAGATCTCTAGGTTCATGTTTCTAACAATAAGAGATAAAATAAGCGCGCACTCATAACGTCCTGCGCCCAAACATCCCCATCCTTATAGAATTTAAGAGAAAATGTTGAGAATAAAAATAAAATAAAAATACTTAAAGAAAATTGTAAAAGTAGCCAATATTTAAATATAATAATTTTTGATAGAGTGCTGTGGTCATTTTGTTTAATGAAAGGTTTTTTGTTTAGAAAAAAGTACTCACTCATTCACTGCGGGTAGCCCTCCCTCCCTCCACTCTCTGAGAGGGCAAAAACCTCAAATAACTAATTTTGAAGAGAACGAAGAAAAAAAATTTTTTTTCTTCCAAAGAAATGTGTACATCTGTCGAGGTAGAAAATTTTATGTTTTTAATGATTTTGGGATTATGGCATTACCCGGGCCAATCAATTTTTTGAGGGGAGGGGGAGGTGGATAATCCGAGAGGTTTTGGGGGAGGTTTTAGAAAGAGTTAATTAGTTCAGAAATTTTTTTTGTTTTTAAAAACCTAATAAAAAGAAAAAATGTACAACGATCGATGGCTAAAAGTTGTTTGTGAATAATAAATAAATTTGTTTGTGACGATTGTGGTATTTATATTTTTATGATTAAGTAGTGGTCATCGGAAACAGGATATTTCGGCGCGGAGTGGGGCTACGGCGCAGCCCTATAAAATTAGTTAAACGAGACCTAGATCCACTAAATTTTGCTTAAATATCCCTAATAGGTCTATCTACCTCTAATAAAATTTTCAGAATTTTTACAAAAATATTTCAAAAGTTATGGTCAAAATGCCCAAAATTTCATTGAAAATAGCCTCTTCGTTAAATTTTCAATCATAACTTAAGAAATACAAAACCAAAAATTCTAAAATTTTAAGAGACGTTAAAGGACACTTTAAAGAATATTTATACAAAATTTCAGATCACTAGGTTCATGTCTCTAATGCATAAAATAAGCGGCACACTTCTAGCCTTCTGCGCCCAAACATCCCCATCCTTATAAAATTTATGAGAAAATGTTGAGAATAAAAATAAAATAAAAATACTTAAAGGAAATAAAAGTAGCCAATATTTAAATATAATAATTTTTGATAGAGTGCTCTGGTCATTTTGTTTAATGGTTTTTTGTTTAGAAAAAAGTACTCACTCATTCACTGCGGGTAGCCCTCCCTCCCCTCAGTGAGAGGGCAAAAACCTCAACTAACTAATTTTGAAGAGAACGAAGAAAAAAAATTTTTTCTTCCAAAGAAATGTGTACATCTGTCGAGGTAGAAAATTTTATGTTTTTAATGATTTTAGGATTATGACATTATCCGGGCCAATCAATTTTTTGGGGATAATCCAAGAGAGATTTGGGGGAAGGTTTTTGGGAGAGTTAATTAGTTCAGAAAATAATTATTTTTTTTATTTTTAAAAATTAAATAAAAAGATAAAATGTACAACGATCGATGGCTAATAGTGGTAAGTTGTTTGTGAATAATAAATAAATTTGTTTGTGACGATTGTGGTTTTGACGAAGGAATGTTTGAGAGAGAGGGAGAGAAGGGGTTTTTAATTAAAAAAAAGTTAATACTTTTTTGAATATTTAATTTTAAATAAATGAGAGGGTTAATTGGAAAAAATGGAAAATATATGTAAATTTGTTCATATAAGTATTAGGGTGACAGGAATTGTTTAAGCCGGGATATACAGGGTGACACAAAATTAACCGGACACTTTATTTATGGCGTAACTTTATTCAAATTGAAGATAATGAGATCAAATAAAGCTTAAATGATAGAGAAATTAAATAAGGAACAGAAAAATCAAGAATTTTTAAAGTACCCAACCTTTACTAAAATATTTAAAATTATCAATCAAGGCTACCCGTAAACTGCGGAGATTTTTAAACTCAATTACGAAATAAGGGTAGGTTCATCTAAAGATTTTTTAAATTCAGAAAACGCGCGCGTTTGATCACAATTGAAAAAAATTTCGATTGTAGAAAGTCCCTATCCCAATTAATTAAGATAAGTATAAATAGACAGCAGGAGTGTGCGAGTTTCGGCTTTAGATTTTTAAAATCACTTTTGGAACACCCCTGGTTGACAGTGTTATTTTAAAAATTTTTTTAGGAATGTTATGTAAAGTATGGCCAAAAAAATAATAATTTTGTACACTTCTTGAATTAAAATAAAAATTTCAAAAAAATGTCCCAATTTAATTTAAAAAAGTAAAAAGCATTTTTCAGTAAAAGCGCGGAGAGAAGACAACAACAATAGGGCACGAAAATTGCAACGATATTATGAATAGCGCAAGTAGAGGGCGGAAATATGTATTGAGGGAAAGGATGATTGTTGTGGTGGACTGTCTACTTTTTTTTATAATAATCAATGTTTTATGATTTTTTAAAAGATTTTTCTATAATAAATGAGGGAAAAATTTTAGTTAAATTTTTGGAGCAAGTTTCGTGTCTCAGGTGGGATAAATGGGAGATTTGGATATAAGATTTCGATATAAGCTACCTTAAGGTTGTGGAGACAAGTGGAGACAATTCCCTAGGGAAAAATGTTTGGAAAAAGATTTTGATAATATAAGGAAATAAATGTGCTGTGTGAGAAATAACCTATTTCGCAGCAATCTAAGACGGCTGTCAGTAAAATCGAAGGTTCCTGTCCGTAAAAATTTTTTTTCTATGTAGTACCTTTATGTCTAATTTTTTAACAATAAAAGCTAACATTATGAGGGATTTCTGAACAAAATTTCACACCTCTAAGTTTAAATCTACCTAAATTATAAAGCTGCACGCCCAAAATACTCTGCGCCGAAAAGTCCAATATTTTTAATTTATTAGCAATTAATTGAATATTTAAAAAGGACTACTACTAGTAAACAAACAAATAAAAATAATTGATGACCATGACCTAGTACAATTAAAAAATAATAATACTTAAGTGCTAGAAAAAGAACAAGATTCCCCCCTCATTTTACTCCATATATTTTATTTTATTTATCTTGTTATTTTCATCTTTAATTCGCATTTGCATAAATTGTTTTGGGAGAAAATTTTCCCCTTTTCTTTTTAAAATTTTTTTTTTCTTTTATAAAATGTGAAGTGAAAAAGAATTATCTAAAATAGAAATTCACGCATATTTGCTATTTATTGAAATTGTTGTGGGAAAAATGGACAAGAGATTGCGAGAAGGGATTTTGTTTGGAGTGAAAGCAAGTAGCTTAATATGTTTGCAGAAGAATATTTTTATTTGCAGACAAATATTAAAAGAAAAGCAAGTGAAAAGTAGGAGGCTTTAGATATTATCCTTTGGAGAATATTTAGAGAATATTTCCTGTGAAATTTTAAATGGGGGAAGTACATAGATTGAAACTTTGAATTTGAGAACTTAGCCTTATGGTTTAATCTTATAGATGAGAGAGACTCCGAAGACCTTGAACGGAGCAGGCCAATGTACCTTGAAGGGAGCAGGCCAAGGTACAGCAAACCCAAGGTACCGCCGAGCTATAACTTTGTTCAAAATTGTCGAATCCGAAACATGGTTCGATGCATCTCGACGAGCTGAACCATATTGGGCGTCCTGGATTCGACCACTTAGAACAAAGTTATAGCTCGGCAGTACCTTGGCCTTCCAGTACCTTGGAGTGTACCCGCCTTGAAACATATCCCAAATCGCTAAAATCCCGACTCTAAAAGTAAACTTTTCAAAGTTTCCTCCATTTGTTGACCTCCGCCCTTAAAAATTTCCTTTCGCAAACATTGCCAACTTTCATATGCAGAAATGAAAGACAAACAAACATTTTAGTGGTCAACAAAAAATATTAAAAATATGAGGGGGATTGGACAAATAAACTGCAAGGGATAGGTTCGCATTTATAGTTAGTCATAGTATCGGTCAACTGAGAAAATTGAGAAAAGTGAAGGGAAAGTGGTTGTGTAAATGACAGATCATTTATACGGGAAAGGGACGATAAAAAAAGAATTTTTACAAAAAAAAAGTTTGGTTGAAAAAGCTAAATAAAATGCTAAAGGAAAGGTGGGGGAGGGATGTTTTAATCGGGTCAAACCGTTTATGAACCAACAATCCTTTTTTGAACCAACAATCCTTTTTTTTCTGAGTATTTTCCATAAAACAGCTTAGAAATATCTTTTTCCGGTCCAGAGATATGATTTTTTGAAAATCGCATTTTTCGCTTAAAAATTGAATTTTTTGCAAAAATTGACGAAAAATGCCATTTTCAAAAAATCATATCTCTGCTCCGGAAAAAGATATTTCTAAGCGGTTTTGTGGTAAATGCTCACAAAAATATGCTTTATCATTTGGGTTTGTTAAATTTGTTCCGAAAAATTTTTCCGAAAAAGTGGGATTTGGTATATCCGGTTGATCCGGATTATCTCGGCCAATTTTCATTTTCATGAAAAATGCAGAAACATGTCAACTGAGATACGAATAGAGCTTTCGATTGGTATATAGAACGTATTTTTTGAATGAAAAATTAAGAAATAAGAAAAAATTTTCTAGCGCTTCCATACTTTTTTCCACGACTGTATTAGAGTACGTAGTTTACGAGTTGTATATTTATTTCAGGAAAAATGTGAACGTAAAAGTGGGATGGGAAGATGGGAATAGGGTTGACGGTTCCGTATGTCTGAAACCGAAAAAAGACTGGATATCCGGAAATTTTCGGTTCCGGATATCGGTTCCGGATATCCGATTTCCCAGGAACCGACCCTGTACAGTAAGGATGGGGGAAATAAGCACACAATAAAGAGTTGATGATAGAAATATTAGAAACCCGAGCAATATTGATACTCCATGAATTCCAAGAATGTAAAGGATGGAAGAAAATTAATCCCAAGCTTTGGTGGAGTATTTAAACCGTAATCAAATCATAAAAATAATAATTTAAAAATAAATAGGCATATATAAACGTTAAAAACTGGCGATAAATTGTCGTTCGTTCCTTAAAGCGGCTGTCTTATTTTATTGAAGGACATTGCCCCCGAGCGAATATAATAAATGTATTTTGGGTAAAGAAAAAGCTTTACCTCCGGCCTTGAAGAATTTTACGCACTTTCATAAAAAAAGGTATTATTACTAATAAAAAGGATATGGAAAGATATTTCTTGGCGCAGAAAATGGCATCGAAAGTGGTGTGGGGGGATATGGATGTGGGAAGGCATAAATACACTAAAAACCTTTTTTTGACGAGTGCTGTTGAGAGAGAAAAAAAGAAAAATTGACAAGTAGAAAGCGTTTTCAACATATCTCTTCTCTCTATATTTAGCCAAAGTATCCCCCAAGCTCAATAGGGAAACACAAATATGGAAGTGGATGAATAGAGGGAGGGTGGGGAGGAAGGGGATATGTTGCTAAAGTAAGGGGTAAAAAATAAATAAAAATACTAAACCAAGTTTTGAGAAGTTTAGTTGAGTCTTAATGAGGATTTTTAGACTAAAATTAATTTTAAATTTTATTTAAAAAATATTTTTGTCAATTTTATACATAAAAATAAAATATTTTTTTGAGTACTGGGAATGACTAAAATTAACAAAAAAAAAACAAGAAAATATTTCGATTCATTCCAAAGTAAAAATTTTTACAGGATACAAAAGTTAGAATAGTTTGAAGCTTAGTTTAGAACTTTTTTTCATGGATCAGCTATGATAAACGTTCAATAATGTTAAAATTTTTGGGATTTTTCGATAGGGGTTATGCTCTCATTTGGGGTCTTTTCACGATGGTGCTATTCTATCTCCGCGTTCAATAAATTTTTCAAGCATAAAATTTTGAGAATTTTTTAGTGTTAGAATATTTCTTAATAAACAATTAAATCCTAAATAAGAGAGGGAATATTCTAAAGATGTTATGATTAGTGATCGGAATTTCGTAGTAGTCGTTATTCCGTACTGCACTACCGAAACGGAATACCGATAAAATACGGCCGTAGTACGGTCCGATCACTAGTTATTTTCCATTGAAGGATTACGTGTAAATTTTGGAAGGGCAGATAAACGAAAAGTGGGTTGTGCTTGAAAAATTCATTGAATGGAAAGATAGATCACAGAAAGACCCAGATTGCCGAAAATGAATTAGGTATTTTTACTTATTAATATTTTTTCTGTATTTACGAACACGACACTGATCCATAAAAAAGTTAAAAGAGTTATAAAAATGGCAAAAATGTAAATTTGAAGGAGAAAGGCCCAACAATAAATAAATAAATGGAATATACCGTATTTCCTATATTAGAGCCCCATGGGGCTCTATTTTTCAACTATCCTCCAAGGTGGGGCTGTATTAAAGGGTGGGGCTCTAATTGAGGGTGGGGCTCTATTTTTCAACCCTCTTTTGAGATAGAATTCCATTTATTATATCCATTGCAACTAGAGATAAGTCGGAGGGTTTATATCGAAATAGAATTCATATTTTTCGATTTTTCAAGAAAAATCAAAACTTTTAAGCAATGAATTACAAAATAGTCACAATAGTTCAATGAGAGTAAGATTAATTATTAAATATTGGTAGATTTGGACGGATTAAAGGAAATATTAGGTTACGTAACCTTTATAACACGATTGCAACCCTTTATAACACGATTGCAACCCTTTATAAAATGATTAGATTTTGGAGGTAATAGGAGGAATTTAGAAGAATATAGGCGATATTAGAGTATTTTGACGGATAACGGGATTAATCCCCATTTTCATCCCTAATCCCCATGATCCCTCCTCCTCAATGATCACGAAATCATCGATATCCCCCTTTATTTCCTTAACTCTCTTAATACATCTAAAAAGTTATTCTGATATTTTTTTTCCTCCAATATTTTTTAGGTGGGGCTGTATTTGGGGTGGGGCTCTAATTGAGGGTGGGGCTCTATTTTTCAACTATCCTCCAAAGTGGGGCTGTATTAGAGGGTGGGGCTCTAACAGAGGGTGGGGCTCTAATATAGGAAATACGGTAACTAGATAGAATTCTTTTAAATCACAAAATTATACTTTTAAATTCCATAAACTGGATCAATTTTTTGCGGCGGTTGTGCTGGGATATTTTGAGCTTCTTGATTAAATTGTTGTTGGTTCTGGCCTGGTGGGTGGACTGGGACTTGTTGAGGTGGAAGTTGACCATATTGTGGATCTGCTTGTGGAGAATGAACTTCTGGTACTTGATCATATGCATGGTCACCCCAACCTGCTTGAATGTAAAAATTTGGTTGAAAAATAGAGATGTTGGAAAGACAAAAGTGAAAATTTTAATAAAATTTAGCGGGCAATTTTTAATTTGTGGTCTTGTCCTTAAAAACCAGTACATAAGAAAAAACATTCCAGACTTCGTAAGAAACTCAATTTTAAAAATAATTCCAAAAATAGACTGACGTTCAAATTACAAAATTATCTGCAAAAGTTACCCGCAAATTGTCGTCATACTCGAAAAAAATAAAAATAAATTTTAACCTTGTTTTTGTGCATATTCCTTCTCAAAACGGGCCAATTCCTCATCTGTATAAATTTTCTGATCGCCCAAATCCTTCCAACCTTCATCCTTTTGGCCTTCAGGAGCTTGAACTTGCGTGTCCTAAAAAATAATTTATTTATTTTTTCTTTAAATTAAAAAATTTTACATGAAGAAATTCGTCCAAAGAAATTAATCTATCTCCATTTTTATCCATTTGAGCAACAACGTGTTCTCTCATTCGATTCATTTCTTCAATTCTGAAAAATAAAAATTTCACTAATTTCTTGAACATTGTCAATAGGATTGGGGTTTTCGAGTCGGGCCGACGTTCGAGTCATTTTTTTGGCCGCCCGATCGAGTCTTTTTCGGACCAAAATTCAATGCCCGACTCGATCTTTCAGACCGGATCGAGACCCCAACCCTAATTGTCTATCAGTCTTTTCGGAATAATCCTGATTATAAAAAATATTTGTTTCTAGAAAGAATCGTAGAAAGAAAATTTGAGAAAGAAATTTTAACCTCAAAAATCGTTTCTAAAAAATTTTTCCGAATTATTTTTACAATTTTAGTCAAAAACTAACCAACTCCCAAAATCAATTTCAATTTAAAAAACAAACAAACTTTTCTCTTGGATCATCGGCAGGGTCAGATTCATTATAGACCTTCTCCAATTCTAATTGGAATAATGCCTCAATTTCTTCTTCATTCAAAAATCCATCACTATTCAAATCATGTAAAGCGAAAAATGTTTTTGGATCAAAACTGTTTTTGTCCATCTAAAAAAATTTATAAATAAAAATTCCAAATTTGCTTTGCCACTGGGTAGAGGAGCTGCTTAAGTGATACCCTCTATTCAGGATAATCTCATTATAAGATATGTACAATTTTTCCAAAAGGTATCTGAAACCGAGGTTAACAATATAAAAATGTGTAGCCACCAGGGATCGCGGCAACATAAAACCAAATTCCCGATTTTCGGGAATCGTGAATCGGGTCGACTTGCTCCTTGGTGTCCACATAAATTGGCCCGCAAACAGGCCCGTAGCCAGGGGGGGGGTGAGGGGGGGAATTCCCCCCCCCCCCGAAATGGGAAAAAGGAAAAAATTTGGGGAAGGGCTGGGGCAAAAAAAGTGAATTTTTTTGGCCTACGGCCTCTGAAATTTAAAAAATTTTCGCCTGCGGCGCTAAAAAGGAAGAAATCTGGCTTCTTGAGGTCCAAAATTCAAAAAATTTTCGCCTGCGGCGCTGAAAATCAAATTTTTGGCGCCTGCGGCGCCGAAAAAGTGAATTTTTTCGGCCTACGGCCTTTTAAAATTCTCAAAATTTTTGCCTGCGGCGCTGAAAGTAAAAATTTTTGGAAAATTTGGCGCAGAAAAAATTTTCCCCCCTTTCCCCCCCCCCCGAAAAAAAATCCTGGCTACGGGCCTGCCCGCAAATCTTAAAAAAATTTTTACATGATCTCTTTCTTCCCAAACTTCTTCAAGTTGTTCCCGCCCTCCTGGGTGTTTTAATTCTTCATGTTCGTTATGATGCTTCTTTGCCTCTTCAATTTCTTTTTCAGCTTTATTTCTTTCTTCAGGAGTCATTTGGGCTAATTTATGGTCTTCCTCTGCTTTTTTCTTCATTTCATATTCTTTAAATTCTTTTTTCCTTTCTTCATCTATTTTTTCCATATCAGCAACAGTCTAAAATTGATTTATTAATTGGAAAAATATTTTTTTAATTTATTTCCTCTTCACAGTATTTCAAACGGGTACGTAGCTAGGAAAAATTTTCGAGGGAGGATCATTTGAAAAATATGTCGGAGCAAAAATCGTCCTGGCTATATGACTGTAATCTTAAAAAAACGCCCTGAACTTAAAAACGGAAAGTATAAAAAATGAAAAGATGAGGGGGTGAAAACTCATTTTTGAAGATAATACGTGGAAGGGCAAACTTGTTAATCAGAATTTTGCAGATAAGTAGCAAGAATTCCAGAAAAAAAGCCCCTTAAAATCCGAGATAAATGTAAAATCCCAGACCCACAAATACTAATTGTAAAACATCTTAAACAAAATTTAAAAAATATCCCCCTTAAAAATTACCTTTTTAATTAATTTCCTCAAATCTTCTTTTCCAAACTTTTTCAACTCGTTAACATCCAAATGTTCAGGCATAACAACATTTCTCGCGTCTCCATCCTTCTCAATTTGTTTTTCCAAATCTGCTCGAATTCTTTCAATCTCTTCAACTTTTGCTTCTGTTAATTTATCAAAAACATCTTGGGGGAGATCATCCATATGATCAGCAATTTTTCCTTCCTTAATGTCCGTCTCACTCAGTCCTTTCAATTTCTCCTGGAAAACTGGATGTGATTCCAATATTTTTACGACAAGTTCCAAATATTTGGAGTAAGGGAATTGGAAACTCTGTAAATTGAAAAAATCTTCCAAAAAATTAAAAATAAAAACAAACATCTGGATAGTCTCCCTCAACTTTATTTTCGTTTTCATTATGTTGTTGAGGCTCATGTTCAATTTTTTGCCTTTTTGCTGGTGGAGGCGGTGCAAAAATCATTGGAATAATACAATAATGAATAAACACAAAAAGAATTATGTAACCCAAAAATTTTCTTAAAGTAATTCTTTCTGCCATCTGAAAAGGTTAATTAAAATATTTATTAATAGAAAATGATTTTCATAGAATGGCTGAAAAAATTAGAAATTTGGCCAACTCATAGGACACATTGTCAAGACCGCCAACTAAACAAATAAATACAAAAAAAAATTAAATTAAAAAGGAAATTGAGGAAAATATTTCTGTCATTTTAAATTACGTGTCACCTTTCCATTTGAAGAAACAAGACAAAAAATATTTATTTTCAGCGTGCTCTTAAGGAAAAACGGAGATAAGCTTGGAAATAGGTAATATTAAATTTGGACGTTTTTAAATTTGGCATTTTGTCTGTCGACAAATAAACATTTAATAACAGATAGACAAAACAACTTTTGACGTTTTGTAATCAATGTCATTTTGGTAACTTTAAATTCTCTAAAATTTTGAAAAAAGACCTTTTGGATTGGTCAATTCTAGAGAGCGGAACGTGGTTCACAGTGGTTCAAAATTAGAGCCCGGCACGGGACGGGACCCCGTACGGGATTTTACGGGATCCCGTCCCGGAATCCCGGGTTTTTCGCGGAAAACGGGATTACCGGGATTCCGGGATTTACGGGATTAATCCCGCGGGATCCCGTCCCGGTCGAACTTTTGAAACCCAATCCCGTTCCGGGATCCCGGGAATTTTTTTCAAATTTACGGGATTTTTAATTACTCCAGTAAACTGCCTGTGGAGCTGAAAAAGGAAGAAATCTGGCTTCTTGGCCTTCCAAAATTCTCAAAATTTTTGCCTGCGGCGCTAAAAAAGGAATAAATCTGGCTTATTGAACTTCCAAATTTTCGCTTGTGGCGCTAAAAAAGATTAAAGTTGGCTTCTCCCTCCAAAATTTGAAAAGTTCTGTCTGTGATGGATGGATTACGAGTAAATAAGAATGGATTTTTGGGATTAACAGAGATATAGAGGGATTGTGAGGTGTACGTTGGTTTGCGAGGTTTAAACCATCCTAAGTTCAACTCCTGAGGATTAAGAGATGTCTGATGGTGGAGGGATATCATGGATTTGGGATTAACACAGAGGATTAAGAGGGATTTGGAGGATAATATGAGGTATCAGGAATTTATTGATTAAGAGATATGTATCTGGGGATTAAGAGTATATTGAGGGATTAGAGGAATAATCCCCATATATCCATTTAAACAGTTGAGCTCTAAATCCGATAAATTCGACTTAACCCATCGTTCTTCAGATCAGCCTTTACCACTCCAAATATACCGATATCGCAATAAATCCACCTATAAGCATTCAAATCCTCTTAATCTCTCTTAATCCAATGATATCCCTCTTAATCCTCTGATATCTATTTATTCTTCCCTTAAATCAGTCGAAATCCACCGATATAGTTTCAAAATCCGCCGATATTCAACATATTTATAATTTAAAAATTTTTTTGTGAAAATCCCGGAATCCCGGCGGGATCCCGGGAAATTTGAGAACGGGATTACCGGGATTACGGGATTTACGGGATTAATCCCGCGGGATCCCGTCCCGTACAAAATGTTGAAAAAAAATCCCGTTCCGGGATCCCGGGAATGCGATTTTGCCGACCTCTAGTTCAAAAGCGGACATAGCAAAATTTGTGTAGTCTCTCGTTTTTCCTCTCTTTCATTTTCTTACTCTCTCTTTTTCAGCATTACTCTCGTTTCTATTTTAGGTTGCCGATTTCGAAATCCAATATCTCAAAAACTTTTGCATTTTTCAAAAATCTGTTGCAATCATTTGATAGATAACTGTTTTAATATTTTATAAAAAAAATTTCAGATTTTTTAATGCAAAATTCATAGAGTTAATGCAGAATTACTGAAAAAAATTTTTCCTAAAATTTTCAGATAAGACATAAGCTATGAAGTCTCAACAAGTTTTTGTTCGTTTTTCATCGCTGAATCGAATAAAACAAAAATTAGGAAAAAATAACAACTTTGGAACGAGTTACGGCCTAAAATAGGACGAATTTTACTGATTTTTAGAAATTCATAACTCTTCCAAAAACGCATATTGACTTCTCAAAATTTACAGGAATGTTTATCTATTTTAGGACTACAAAATTACAAAATTTGAAAAAATTCGGGTGGGAGGGCCAAAAGATATAGGATTTAACGAATTCCCCTCATAAATGAGAGAATTTCTCTCTTTGACCATTTTGACTTTCCTCTTTTCTTTTGCAGCTACTGACCATTTTGTAATTTTCCCCGTTAATGACCATTCTTTCTTTTTCTCTGTTTGCTCGGTAGGGGACGACTCAGTCCCGCCGATTCAGTCCCGCCGATTCAGTCCTGCCGATTCAGTCCCGCCGATTCAGTCCCGTGCCAATTCAGTCCCGCCGATTCAGTCCCCCCCTATATGGGGACATTTCAGTCCCCGTGTAAAAAAATAAATAAAACAACTTTAAAAATAAAAATTGATGAAAAAATAATCATTTTATCATGCAAAGAACATCTTAAAAGCTAGATGAGTCTTAATTATAGGCTTTTCTTGGGGATTTCTGGCTTGGGGTAAAGTTTTGGACTCGGTTTTTTTTTTCTTAAGAGAACGAAATTTTTAAAAAAATGAGTCAAATAACTCATTCTCCAACAACCGTCTAAATCTTTGGATATCCCCGATACCCACCCACGAGCAGAAACAAATAAAATTTAAAAACCGACTTAAAAAATTTATCAAAAAATAACTAAAAAGTAATAGTCTCGTTTCACTCATTAGATTTGTGGCCCTAAAGAGGGCCGTTTGGGTTAAGGTTGTTGTTGACGATATCCCGCACTGACTGTCCCTTCCGATGTGCTTGGCAAGCTTGACATGCAAAGCACCAGCGGCACTCTGCTCGACACAAAAACAAGTCCAGGACTGGATTGTCTTAAAGTCAAAAATTTTTAAAAATAAAAAATGGAGTGGGGAGTGGAATTGGGAAGTAAGAAATCTCTGCAAAAAAGCCCGCAAAAATTCGTAGGGATAACGGCCAGGGGGCTTCTGGGGCTATATCTCCCCTTGTACATAATGGGGAAAATAAAAAAATTTCAAAAAGCCAAAAAACTAAAAAATAAACCATGTGTCTGTAGTAGAAACCTCGCCATTCATTGTAGAATTCTCGGGAACTTATATGGTTTAGGTGCGCTTTTTTTAACCACGCCCCTTTCTCCTTTTCCCTCGTCAATCAAACGCACTACGTACAGAATGGTCAGTCTTTCTTTCCTTTTCCATCATTTTTTTAATACTTTTCCTTTTTATCAGCAACTGCACTACATCACGCCCTTTTTCATTTTCATTCTCATTTTTTCTCATTTACTTTATCCTTTACAAAATTCATTTCATCTTAGGCTTAAGACTTTTAACTTTGTTTAATTTAGTCCAAAATATGGAAGATCTTAGAAATTTTAATATTCAAGATTTATTTTGCTTAATTGGTAAGTCAGATGAAGAATTTTTGGAATGGCTTAGGGAAAAAAAGTTTTGGAATGGCTTAAAAAACATTTGCATCGTTGAATTGATTAATTTGTGAGAAGGAAAAAGAATAATGATGGAAAAGGAAAGACTGACCATTCTGTACGTAGTGCGTTTGATTGACGAGGGAAAAGGAGAAAGGGGCGTGGCTAAAAAAAGCGCACCTAAACCATATAAGTTCCAATTCTCGCCGTCTTGAGATATTAAGAAAAATTGAAGAAATTTAAAAATTTTAAAAAATTAAAAAATTCTAAATTTTCCATAAAAATGATTTTTTTTCGTTAATAATTGTTGTTGGTTATTGTTAATTGTTATGGTAGACCACCTAAAGAACCTAGAAAATGTTTAAAACAAAAAAATAAACAATAACAATCATTGGTACAACAATAAAAATCATTGGGGACTGAAATGTCCCCATATAGGGGGGGACTGAATCGGCGGGACTGAATCGGCCGGGACTGAATTGGCACGGGACTGAATCGGCGGGACTGAATCGGCGGGACTGAGTTGTCCTGTTCCGCTGTTTGCTATGTCCTGTCTGTCAACGGGTTTGAACCACTGTGGTGGTTCCCTCCCGGCTTTTCTAAAATGCCGGGATGAAACCGGGATGGGGAATTCCCGGTTTTCCCGGTTCGGGTCCCTGCCGGTTAATTTTCATTTTTCAAAATTCCGCTCTCTAGTCAATTAACAATTTTATTTTTCTTATTTTGCTAAATTTTGCAAAATTTTTAATTTTTAGAAATTAATTTTAAATTCAAATTTTAGTTCTAATTTAACCATATAATGAAAATGAGTCAACTTAATAATAATTCTATGGACCAACTTCTTGCGGAAATGTGTAAACATGTTTCGAGTCTTCAGGACAAATTACAGGTTGCTGATTCTGCCGCTAATAAAGCACATTCAATTACTGAAGGGATTACCCAAGCTAAGGAGGTTTGAGAAATTTATTTTAATTTTTTGGTAATATTGAACCAGACAGACGATTTTTTCCTCTTCAATTTTCCCGCTATTTTTACAAAATGGTCAGACTTTTCCTTTCCTCCATCCAAATTTCCTTTCTAATTTTGCCTATAATTAAACAAAAAGGATTATTTTTGATATTTTATTTCCCACTTTCCTCCCTAAATTAGGGAGGAAAAAAGGGTTTGCTCGGTTAAATATTACCGATTTTTTCTTAAACCCTCTCGAAATCTTTTTTAGTATCAAGAAAAAGTCGCTTCTTTAAATTCTTGTTGGAGGACCAAAAATCGATCTCAACTTGTTGGCAGTCTGCAACAAGAGAATCGTCAAATTGTTGCTTTGGGAGAAGAAAACAAACAATTAAAGTTTGCTTTAAAAGAAATGGAGGATGGAATGCATTTAATTATGAGTGACTATCGCCGGGTCCTTTCAGGATTTTTGCGTGTTGAAAATTTGGATCAGGCTGTCTGTTCAAAGACTAACAACGTTTATTTAATTTTAAATTAATTGAATTAAAATATTTTTTAGACTTATTTTGCTGGTGTAGACCATAAGGACTACATTGGAATGGCTAGGGCAGCTGGGAAATACATGGCGGTCACTGAACAGTCAATGGCTGGGGATAAGGCGGTAAGTTTTTTGTAGCAAATAAAAAGGAGTTGGTATTCTTGAGTTTTTTATTGACTAATAACTTTAGTTATGAGGTTTGAGAAATTCGCCGTGTCGTGTATATTTTTAATCAAGAATTTTAAACTAGAATTTATTTTCTTCCATTAATTTCTGATTTACTTTAGTTGCTTTTCTTCTAGGAGAATGCCGTGAAAAATAAAATACTTCGCATAATTTTATTTTTATTGAAATTAATTTAGGGGTTGAAGTAAACTCCTTGCCTCACATATTCTTGTAAGAATTATTCCTAAAATATTTCCCCTCAAATTTTTTTGGCTACTTTTTTCTTTTCCTCAAAATTCTAAATCAGTTCTTTCTTTGTATTTCCCTCAAATTTAAGACTATTATGCAATTGGAAGCTGAAAACACAATACTTCGTTCAATTTTGAATGATATTCCAATCTATCAAGAAGCAACATCCTCAAAGCCAAAAATTGACAATAACGATCTCAGCAAAATTATTGAAGTTGACGAACGCCAAGAAGACTTGATGAATACTCCAACAAAGGAATCTTTCAAGGAATAAAGAAATGCTCATAAATTCTCTTAAATATTTCTTTGTATTTTTTGGACATAATTTAGTGTGTAAGGTTTTTTTTGATTTTTAACAAGAGTTTTTTGGAGTTATTTTTAAATTAGCTATTAAAAAATTGAAAAGAAAAATTTTTAAAAGCGACAAAATTTGTGGTAAGGTGGAAGTTACTGTCCTCCTGAAAAAAATAAGCAAAAATGCTCTTTAAAAATATTTTTAGTTTGTTTGTAGGTAATCTGAATATGAGTTCAAATTTAAGTTTGACTCTCTAAAAGTACAAAAACCACTATATGGGAAATATAATTAATAAATTTTGAATAAGCTGCTATGTTAACTCCAAAACCAGCAGATCTGCTGATTTTGGAGTTACTACTATAGTAGCTTGTTCAAATCAGTTCGAGATTATTTCTAGAATCTTAATTTCTAATTTTCTAAACCGATATGTTCGCTTCAGTTCCGGGATTCGAAATAAATTAATAAGCTTGAATTCAGTACACGATTACTTATTGACAAACCTCAAAAATACCAAAGAGCCCTTTTTGTGTTTCTTTCTAGGGTCCAGTTCACTTCTGCCCTTTTAAAATAACTCTAAATTAAATTATTTATTGTAAACGTATGAATTTCATATAAAATAAAATTAATCTTGGAATATGTATTTTTACATGTTTAAAATAAAATACCTAACTTAAACCCCTTTTCTACAGAAAAAATTTTAAATTTTTAAGACAAAATTTTTTTAATTTTCTGATTAACAGAACAGATTGTCCCTAACAAGATTTAAAAAATACAGCTTATGCCTAACTACATTTTTTAAATATTTTAAAAAACTAGATTGAAAGACGTCTTTTATACTTAAATTAAATTTTTGGTACATTTATAAAATGAAATTTTCTGAAAATTCTTTAGATTTAAGAATTTTTTAAAATTATTTTCTACTAATTAATTTAAAAATAAGTCTATTTAAAATTAATCATATTTTTGTAAAAATCCAATACATTCTTCAACATCCTCTTTTGAACCCAAAAAGATTGGTGTACGTTGATGAATAGTTGTTGGATGAATATCCAAAATGGGGCCCTTTCCATGGCTTGCTAAACCTCCAGCATTTTCCATAATAAAAGCCATTGGGTTGCATTCGTATAGAAGACGGAGTTTTCCGTTTTGGGCATCTAATTTTAATTGAATTTTTGAATAAAAATATTTTTAAATAAAATTTGACTTAAAGTGGAGGTTTTTACACTAAAAATCCAATACATTTTTTAGATCCACTAGACAATCAATTTTTAGTCAATAACCAAAAAAGGGTCCTGCAAAGGATTTTCCAAGGAATTACTCAAATAAGTTTAATATTTGGAAGAAAAAGATGTTTATAATTAGGATTGAGTTTCGTCCCAATTTGGTCCATAAATCAACTCGTTGGGTATTAAAAAAAGTAAATATGTATACCACTAGTTGCTGGGTACATAAAAATTCCGCCGTAAAGGAGAGTACGGTGTACATCGGCCACCTAAATAAATAGGAAATTTTAAAATTAAAAATTAAGAAAAACCATAGAGCCAACATAACGCTGGCCATAAGCAGATTTTCCACTTTCCGGGAATTTACGGGAATATATATATTCGGTAACGCCTAAAAAATTAAATTAACACAATTTCCATCAATTAAAGCCCCAAACCTTTAGACCATTTCTTTGCATAACCTTCGTTTATACTATAAATTTTTCCTTTCTTTGGCACCTTCATTGCTGGATTTGTTAGGATGAATTCACCAATGCTCTATAATTAAGAAATTTTTTTAGTTGTCCGAAAAAACTTTGCGGATTAAAAGTGCGGACAGAAAAGGCTTACTGGATCCAAGGTGAAGCCATCAACCCGTCCCGGAGTCGAAAGAACAACCATTGTTGCAGAACCATACAAAGCTATAAAATTAACTTTAAGGGGTTATAAAAAGATTTGTTTTACCATAACCGGCGGCTACCATCTTTCTGCCTAAATGTTGGAATAATTAGTCGATTTTTAGTTATTAAACCTGGCTGCAATACATCTTGAGGTTGAATTGGGCCTTCACTATTCTTTCGGAAAATTCCAAAAATCGTTCCAATCGAAACGAGACAGTCAATATTTGAGGATCCATCGAGAGGATCAAATGTCACAATATATTTACCTTAATTTAAAAATGATTAAAATACAAGGAACGACTGATATGAGACTAAATTAGGGATAGGAAGTAAGAGTTATGGGCCTTAACTATTATCTAAAATTTCCAAACACTGGTCAGAAAACAGAAGAATGAGCAGTAATATTATAGGTAATATTATTTAGAAGGGTGAGGAGAGGCATTCCGACTTACCGTATTTCCTCTATTCGAATGCCATGGCATTCTATTTTTCAATCACCTTCAAAGGGGGGGGGGGGGGTTCTATTAGAGGGTGGCATTCTAATAGAGAAAATACGGTATCTCAACTTGCTGTCTTTTCCCTGTCCTTTTTTCCTATCTTTGGTACCTCCTAGATATCTACGCTCCCTGCTTTACCCTATTCTAAAATGTCTACCTTGCTTTCCTACTTCCACCTCAATCATATTTTCATCCTCCTCTGATACCATAGCGCAAACAGTGTAGGAAGATTTTAACATATTTATCATCAACTTTAAAATTTTTCTTTAATTTTCAAAAATCCCCTAATTAACCTCATTACTAAGCACATCAAGTTTCTTGACTTCCTCTCCCTGTACATTAACATTCCCAGCTACTCCATAAAGCTGTGCTAATCCTGCCTTTCTAACAGCTGAGGAGATAGCCTTAATAGCTGTGAGGAGACAAGTTAGTAGATTCTGGAAAGGGAAATAGGGAATTTTTTGAAATTTCAAAAAATTTTTTTGAAATTTTAAAAAATTTATGAAAAAAATTTTCTTGAAAATTTTTTTAAAAAATTTTTAAAAATTTTTTTGAAAATTTCTTGAAAAATTTTTGAAAATTTTAAAAATTTTCAAAAAAATTCTTCCAAAAATTTCTCAAAAATCAATATTTTTACAGTCAAATCTCCTGTAGCTTCCGGATATTTACGCTGTTCGTTCAGTACAAATCTTTGTAAAGTTACTGAATCTGTTTCAATTCCATATTCAGAAGGCATTTTTAAAAAATAAAATTTAAATATTTAAAATCTAAAAATAAATTACTTTACTAAATATTTATTTGGGGAGGAATGAATGGAAAAAATGTAAAAGATATTAAAATAAACTAAACATATGACTTGAAAGAACGCGAAAAGGAATGACCCCCCTCATAAATTGTACTTGTAAGGAGAACAATTTTAAGAGAAAAATTGACAAAGATGACAAAAGGAAAGTTATTCGGAGGTGATAAGATATATTTTGTTAACCATTGATTTTTTATAAAAAAACGAACATAGTGAAAATAAGAAAATACATATGGATCGGGGTTCTGCCGCATTTTAAAAATCGGAAGATATAAGGCAGAAGAAAATAAAAAATGGAAGCATCCCTGATAGTACATATGGATCAGGGATGGGCTCTGCCGATTTTAAAAAGCGGAAGACTTCGGGATGAAATTTGGTAGACAGATAGTTGTGATTAGGGAAATTAAGTCCCACGGACACCCCAGAACCTCTCCTTTGAAAGGCGGAAGAAAATTTAAAAAATGGAAGTATGATCCCTGATATACTTAAAATTGGAATATTTTTAAAAACTAATTTTGTTCCAGTTTAAAATTTTTAACATTTTTGTTTTAAAATAGGGGTTGTTTACCACACATTATTTCCTTTTACAAGGCCAATCAATCCTCCGATAAACTCTTCTCTACTATTCCAACTCTTGACAATAAATGTGCAGAGTAAATAATCTGTATGCACTGCCCCACATTTTATTGGGAATTTTTAGTAATAAAATTCATACATAAAGTGAATAAAAGTTATACTACTACATATAAATTACGATAAAAAATTGTCAAGTATACATATGTAGTAAATACGATCAATGATTTAATAATAGCAATTTTGATCTTCAGCTGGGGTCGGTCGGAATTCCGATTTCCAACAGTTCCAATTTCCGACATTTTCGTCATTTCCGACCGACCCTGATCTTCAGAGGCAAGTTTATGGTGATACATATAGTGGATCAACTTGATTGACTAATATTTCTCTTTATTATCCTTATAACCTTTATATTTAATCCAAATAACTACCCTGGGTAATTATTGTTGCAATCCATCGCTGGAAGGGGTAATTAATAGGGGCGTGGTAATATTTGAGGGAGGATATGTAATTATTCGAGTAAATACGGCATGTACTATTGCCACCAAGGCTGTCAGCAATTGGAAAAAATTTTCCGCAGCCACAATCCGCTATTTTAATTTTAAAATCCGCAGCCGCAGTCCGCAAGTCCAAAAAACACGCAATTTCACGCAATGCGTAATGCAACAATATTCGAGGATATTTTGGAAGAAACACCCGTTCGTTTAATTCTGTTGTGTGTTGTTATTTGAAAATATATTCCATTAGTGTATAACCGGAACAAAATATTTTAGATAAATAGATTAAATTGTTAAAATATTTCTTTAACAAAAAACTAATCAGCCAATGATCTAATTAAAATAAAATTTATGAGGCATATTTTATGACACTTTTTCAAGAGAATCTTCAGTCAAAACCAACTGCTTTTCCCTCCCCATTCAAAACAAACAAACAACTTTTTTAACCCCTTCTTAACAAGCATTTATGTATTTAAAAAAGAATATTTGACATTTTTATAAAGCGTGGATTTGCTTTTGTCTTTTTAATGGAAGAAAAATGAGAGGGAGAGATTTATTAAAGATAAAAATTTTCCCTCATCAAAAATTTTTTTTTTAGCTTTTCTCGATTTTATAAAAGTATTTACATATTTTCAGTTATAAATTTATTAAAAACATGTTTTTATACTTAAAAAATGTTAATCGTTTTATTACTATAAAATTTGTATTATTAAAATATTATTTTTGTACTAAAAGGGAATCGGAGTAAATTTAAGTCGAAGTTTTGACTTAAAAATTGAAACAATACTTCAGTTAAATAAACCTTGTTTGGTAAAATTCTAATACTTCCTTTCCTTTTATATTACTTAAAAATTAAAACATTTCCAACTTGATTAGCTAGGGCAAGAAACTTGAGTGTGTAAAATAAATAAGAATTTTCCCCTTTAAATTAAAGTTTACTAAATTCAAACTTAAGTTTGCAATTCAAGTTTATTAAGTTTAAGTTTGTTTTCAAGTTTTAAGTTTCTGTTAAGTTTAAGTTTCCAATTAAGTTTATTAAATTCAAGTTTATTTAATAACCTAAACTTAAGTTTAAATTTAGAAAAGTTTTATTCCTTTTCCAACTTTTTTTCCAACTTGCAAACTTTTCAAACCTAAAACTACAAAAATAATAACCAAAAGGGCCTCAACAAAAGAGTCTATATAATCCCAATAATATACAAAACTTTATTTTACTTTATTTAAAGTTTTATCATCCAAATAAAACAAGGCAATTGTTAAAACACTCGAAATAATATTTTTACAAAAATTATTCCCTAAATTTCCTCCAATATTTATGTACATCCATGACCGTCATTTTTCTGCGCCAATTTTTCTCTTCAATTTTATTATTAAAATATTTTTTTTTATTTTTAATATTTTCCCCTCAATTACAATAAAATATATACAAAATCTCGTCCCTCTCTTCTTTCTATTGTCAATTGCAACGTTGAATTAAATTGGAAAATTCTTTTATATTATCGTTCTCCCCAAATTTTCACGTGTCCAATTGTGTTGGCTCTTTAAGGTATTATAAATGTTTTGTGGGTGTTAAACTCTCGTTTTATTTATTAAACCCTCTTTTTTACCTCAAAATACTTTAATTTTTCGTTTAACTATCTGAAGGTTTTTTGGCGTGACACCGTTCAGGCGCGCGTCTGTAATAAATATTGCCAAAAGAGCACCTAGAACCATAAAATCTTGAAGCTTATTGTCGATTGACATGGGACACGCCCAAGTAAAACGTAAAGAGCAAAGCCATAACTTGCTGGAAAATTTCCGACCCTTATCAATTTTGCTACCAATCTCCTTAGCTCGATGAGTGGAATCGTTTAATACAAAATTTGGTAATATTCGGAAATCTTGAAGCAAGTTATGGCTTCACGCTGTTATGGCCACGCCCTACTTGGGCTGTACCCGATTGATACCTCTAAATTTTTTGGAATTTTTGGACAAGTATTTGGAGTGTTAAGGAAAGAAAAGTTAGAATTTTTAAAAATATTTGTCAAGCTTTTTAAGCATTTTCAGTCATAACTTTAAAATTACTAAGCAAAAAATTATTAAATTTATTGAAGAGCTAGTCAATACATAAATGAATTTCTAAACAAAATTTTACTGTTTTAAATTCACTCATTTTGTCCCTACACAAATGCGCGCCAAAACATTTTCTGCGCCGAAACATACAATAATATTTTGATAAATAAGCTTTACAAAGTTGTAAAAAAACTTTGCTCTTTCACACTATTTGTTTAAATAAAATTTTAACTAAAAATCTATGGGTTAAAGCTAAATAACGTGGAAAAGCCCGAACAATAGAAAAATGAGAGAGAAAAGAATTTTTAGGGGTTTTTGTATTTTTTTGTTTGTTTGCTTAAATTCAATCAAAGAGAAAAGTTGGTGTGGATGGCCTTATTTTTTTTTGAAAAATTTTTCTTATTTTTTTAATTTTAAAGAAGGAAGAATATTTTTTTTTAGTTTTTTGAGGAAATTAATTTTGGCCAAGTATTTGGGGCCTTAGCATTTTTGGGGTCATATCGTTTGTCTACAGGGTGACACAAAATTACCCGGACACTTAATTTATGCCATAACTTTATCCAAATTAAAGATAATGGGATCAAATAAGGCTTAAATGATAGAGAAATAAATAGGGAACAAAAATAATCAACAATTTTCGAAATGCCCACCCTTTGATTGGATACAACGAAAATCATTTTTATAATAATTTTCTATTGGAAAACCCCTCCTTTATTGATGTCAATTTTATATTTAATTTTTCGTGTTTTTAAGGAAATTAATTTTTTTTATCATTTAATCTTTTATTTTGATCTTTTTGTACTTTCCCTCAACATTCCTTCCGAAAATTATTTCTAATAATATTTTCCTAATTACTAAATTTTTTCTTTAACACAAATTCCTCTACTTGTTAATTTTCTTATCAATACTCTTAATATTCTGTTAATATTTATTTATTGATGTCAATTTAATTTAATTTAATTTTGTTTTTACCCTCATTTTGTTGCTTTTTAATTATAATTTATTTAAAAAATCATGTCTTTAATAAAAAATAATTTTGAGGAATTTAGAGAGTTTAATAAAGGCTGGAAAATGCGTGAATTAAAGGACCAGCTATGCACAGTGAGTTTATTTGTTATGAAAAAATCTTTTGACTCAATTTCTTGTCGAATTACATACTAGTAAAGTGCTTGGAATTTTTAAATCTTAGATTAAAAGACTAAAGTACGTGAACGATGACGGAAAATTTAGGCAAGAGTCCGAGAGCCTCCATACATTTACTGGAGCTGCTTAGAAATTTTCATGATATCCAGTCTTTCTTAGGATACTTACAATCCCAATACGCCAACCCTAGTCTTTAATAGTCAAAAATTTGTCAGAGCAATGCTCCAACATACAAAAATAAAATCTGGTGAAATCGCGAATATAATTGGATAATAATTAAAACTTCGATCATAGCTTTTTAGAAGTTAATTTGAAATAAATTATATTAAGTAAAAGAATTGATGACAGTATAATATGCCTGTATATCCAAAAGCTTTAGCCAAAAGCTTTAGATAAAATCTCTGGGGCTCCTTCTATCATTGAAGTTCCTGCAGTTTAACGCTTGAAACTTTAATCTTAACCTTATCTTTCAAAAGTTAAAACTCTTAAATCTTTGACTAAAATGGATTTTTGTTCCTTCCACTTTTTTGAAGGCTAAATTCAATAAAGTCAAATTTCAATTGTTTATTTCTACGGAAAGATTTTTATCTTATTTTCTAAATTAAAATCTCTCATTTTTTTAATTTAAAATTTAACTCAATTTTGTACTTTTCAGCTGTTGGTTACTTTCCAAGACGACAAAGAGCCTGTAAGTCAAAGAAAAAACGGAAAGGGATAAATTTTAGAATTTTGGGAAATAGGGGGAAGGGGAGAGGATCAAAAAGGGAAGATGGATTGCGCATTTGGCAATAAACAAAAAATTGAAGAAAATATCAATTTTAGGCCAAAACTAGTTTAAGGACAATAAACTTACTTAAAAGAGACAATAAAGAATTTTTTTGGAATTTTTGGGGTAAATATGAGGGAAAGATTTGAAGAGACAATCCTTTAATAGAGACTATAAAAACAAAAAAATAAAAATGAGTAAAAAATAAAAAGGAATTAAAAATAAAATAAAAAATATTTTACAAAATTTTTAGAACAAAGAAATAACAACGGCGCACACTTTTGCAAGCACTAAACAGGAGGATTATCCACAATATAGGCGTATAGTACACTCTAGACATACTGGTAAATATAAAAACTTTATTGGAATATACTTGAGTAAAATAAACTTAAAAATCAGAATTTATTGAATAAATTTAAATCAGAAAATAAACTTAGTCAGCAATTCTAAAATAAACTTGTTTTGTGATACAAATAAACTTACTTAAAAATTAAACTTGAAAATAAACTTGAAATAAAAATAATTATCTAAATAAGCAGAACTTGAAAATCAGAATTTTTAAATATAAATTAACAGAAATTAAAATCAGAATATATGAAATGTTTCATAATTTAATAAAACTTGAAATCAGAATTTTGAAACTTTTTTGAACTAGAACAAAAAAATCAGAATAATCAGAATAAAATATATTCTGATTTTTTTGTTTTAATTCGAAAAAGTTTCAAAATTCTGATTTCAAGTTTTGTTAATTACCTATTTTAATATTCTGAAAAAAGTTTATTTTAATATTCTGATTCTATACCGTCAACTTGCAACTTTAATTTACAAAATGTCACTAATTTTTAGGTCACTTATTTTTAACATTTAATAATTATTATTTTTGTTTTTACCTCTCCAATTATTTCCACACACTTCACATTGAATTTATTTTTAACTTTTTTATTTTTTCCTCTTTGTTTACTTTATTAGAAAGCAAAAATAATAATTTTTATTTATTTATTATTGCCGTCAATCCCTAACAAACTTCCCTTCCTCTCCTACCCCCCCCTTTCCCTCAAAATCTCCGTCAGTTTGCGTTTCCCTTCAATAAATCTCCCTCCGATTTGTTTGCCTATTCCGCTCATTTATTTCCCTCAAAAACAGTCTTCTTTTCTACCTTCTTCCGTCTTCTTTTATGTAGCTTTAAATACTTTTCTCGTTTTCATGACTTTCCGTTCTATCTGACTGTCACCAATTGCCAGACTGACACCTTCCTAAACTTCCCTCTCCAAAATTTCCCCCCTCCAAAAATTCAATTTAATATTCTAATCCATTATCGTCGGAGAATGCGCATAGAGAATTGGCAGAAAAAGGGGGGTGAAAGGTAGATTATCCCCCTATTGCTCATCCCTCTCCAAAAATTTTATTTCCCAATAATTCTCTACAACTATACGATTTTTGTTTTTATTTACCTTAAATTTTATTTGTTTGTTACTGAAAATTTAGTTAGAAAATTTATAAAATATTTCTTCATTATTTTATTGAAACTAGAGTTGCACGAGATCGAGATTTTAGAAAAAATCCGAGACCGAGATTGACCGAGACTCGCATGACCGAGACCGAGACCGAGATGCAAAATTTTACCCGAGACCGATATCGAGATCCGAGATAAACCGAGATTTTTTAAAACTTTTTTTATCCACCAAAGCCCATTTAAATTAATTAAATATCATCTAAATCATCATCAAGATCATCTGTTTCATCAGAATCAATTTCAGTTGGTGGACAAAGCAACAGTTTATCCATATTTGTCTTTACAACTAGAATTTATTCCACCATTTCTCCAGAAAGACTTAAGCATAAAGGGCAGGGGACACTTGTGTACGGGACACTTGTTTATTAGAAGGGGTCGGTCTGATAGAGACAGTCGCACTATTAGAAAAAATACGGTATACATATGTCACCGTCCAAATTACATTCTTGTCCAAATTGAATTTGGCCGGCCAATTGGGATACTGAAGCCCCAAATTTTGGATTTCTCTTCGTGTTAAAGGTTGGGGTTGGGTTCATTAATAGTTCTTCATGTTAAGGAACTACGTCCACTTGATTTGGGACCATTCCGTACCCTATTCCTCGAAATTTCTGAAAGTTATAGCCAACTTTTAAAAATTTCAGAAAAACGATTATAACCTTAAAAAATTTTGAAGAATAGGGTAAGGAATGGTACCAGATCCAGTGGGCGTAGGTCCATTTTCGGGGTTTTTGTTCAGAAGGACATTTTAGGGGTAGGACATTTTCGGGGTTTTTGTTCAGAAGGACATTTTAGGGGTAGGACATTTTCGGGGTTTTTGTTCAGAAGGACATTTTTGGGGTAGGATATTTTCGGGCGCAGCCCTCTAGACAACTAAATTAAAGTGAGTACAACAATATACCAATAGCGAAATTTTAAATATTTTGTCAAAATAAAAATATATCTCAAGAAGGTCAATCTTTAGGGTGTATACTGATCTCGGATCTCGGCGAGATTAAGTGCCGAGAATCTCGTCTCGGTTAGGTGGTCTCGTCTCGGCAAAATCGAGACCGAGATTGGAAAATGACCGAGATTCTCGTCTCGGTCTCGGTCGAGATATCGATCTCGTGCAACTCTAATTGAAACTCACATCCCCACATTCATCTCAATAATTTAAACTAAGGTATCACCCCGAGCCTTCGGGGCGGGAGTGTCGGGTTTAGGTTTTTGCCAAAAAATAATTGTGGGCGGGGTTTCGTGAGTCGGGGTGCTACCCTATTTTAAGCACCAAGTTCAAATTTCTATATTATACCACATTCTAACTTATCCAAAGCTTTAACATAGAATAACTGTGATATGTCAGAAAAACCTTATTTAGATCAAATTCGATTTAATCTCTTACTTATCCCGATCAAATTTAGTTTAATCATTTAACTTATCCGAAAACAAACTGTGATAAAAGAGACTTTTCAAAAAATTTTATACTTTTAAAACCTTTCTCTAACCAATTCTGTCCTAAATAAGCTAAAACATAAAGCACCAGACACATTATAGTAAATTTACTGATAAGCTGAAGGTGTGATAATTGACAGCGTTAATAATTCTTGCTTTATTGACATTAATTTTTAATTTTAAAAACAAATTTTGCAGATCGTGATGAGTTTGGACGGCCATTAAGTGTTACAGAGCGTCTATCGCAGTCCTCCCTCTCCGCATCGATAGGGCCTCTTGGCTCTGATATGGTAAAAGCAATTAAAAATGACAAAAAATTTTTTCCTCTTTTTAATCAAAAAATAATTTCCGTGAATGACAAATCATTTTATTTAATTTATTTTTAAAAAAAGGTTGAACATCGCCGCGCTCTTTCATCGCCACCTTTCTCAGTTACGGTTAGTCCAAATTCTCCTAATATAGAGAAGCCTAAAAGTGTGCCACAAATAAATACTCAAAGACAATATAATTCTATATCATTGCCGAGAAGTGTTGATCCTCTTTTAACTATACATGAGGTAATTAAATTAAGAGGATTTGAGATTTGCTTATACTAGACTATGTAGGTAAGAGTTTAATGAGAAAATCTAGGGTTGAATAAGTTTTTACCAGTTTTCAATATATGTATAGAACACCTTAGAAAACATAGAGGCAGAAATTTAGACTAGTGTTCCTTCGACAATATTGGTTATCTAGTTCGGTATTTTCCGAGAAATGTTATTGTTCAATCCTTAATTTTTGTCTCTATTGTTTCAACCCTATCAGCACTACAGGTGGAAATCATCGCATCTTATCTTTTTTGTTTCCGGATGCTCAGAATCTACCTAAAATCTTCCAAACTATGCAAGATACGTAAGAATAGGTTGGGGCCTTTGCGAGACCGGGATATTTTATAAATGATAAATGGATTGCAACTCTAAATTAAAATACTTTTCAGGTCTCCCTAGCCTATACAAGCTCAAAATCTACTACCCCAACTTCTGCCCCTCTACAAGAGCCAACATTCCCAAACAACACCCTCCCAGGCTTATTAATTGCCAAAAATAAACAAACAGCCCCAGCAACAATAACAACATTCCCAACATCTGGAAGTGTTCATATCCTTTTACCTCCAAAAGAAGCCAATAAAACAATTAAAATAAATGGGAATCAAACAACTAAAACAATGAATACTAAATTACCTTATGTTGTTAAACGGCCAGAAGGGGATTGGGCTTATAATAGAAGTAATGGACAATTACAGGTAAATTAAAGGGAAAAATTTATAGTGGAGAGGACAAGGAAATAAAAATTTTAAAAAAATTTTGTGGGAAAGAGTCACGTGATATTTGATAATAAATATTTAAAAAATTGAGATTCTGTCAGAGCTCTCTTAATTGAAACACTTCACGACCGGGAAGAGAACCTCCACTAAGTTTATTAAATAACTATTTCGTCGATTTTTCTATAATTCGACATATCTAGATGAGAAAATCTAACGGTATAAAATCGGACAAGTCAAAGAAACGGGATTGTTTTAGGTTAGCATATGCCTGATTAAATAGAAACTCAAAGTTTTATTCCAGAAATTACTTTTACTACTTTTAAGCACCGCAGGCGGAATCTTTAAGATTATAAGGACAGGGAGTAATGTACGGAAATATTAACGGAAAATTTTGGCAAAAAGTTCGAGAAATTGCTGACATATGCAGGATATGTCCAGAAATGTCTGGATTTCCTGTTATTCATAAAATACGAACTACACGATCCTACAACCCTAAATTTAATCCTCAAAAAATTTGCCGGAGCATTGCCCCAACATACAAAAATAACTATATGGATTTTTCGAATGGCATTGATAAGTATGACTTTGATTCTAGTATTATTTAATTTAATTTGAAATATATTATATTAAACAAAATTACATATACGTCAGTTTTTATTCTTTCAAATCCACAAATTTTCGTTTTTCGACAGGCTAGGAAACCTAGTTTAAGGTTTCTGAACATCCCATACCGTTCTCAATAAATTGACTGATCAACTTCTGTTTTTATTTAAAAAATATTTTTTATCCTCCACAATTTTATGTAATCCCTCCAACAAAGTTATGTTTACAAAAGCAGAATAATAACTAAAAATAATTTTTTTATTTTTATTTGCTATTGTGCAATAGAGCAGAAAAGCTGCTTTTCAATCGAGTTAAATATATTTATTTTCATTTTTATTTTTTTCCTATGAATATCATCATTCTCTTAAAAATCGAAATATTGAATTTATAAATCATTTTCTTCCCCCTTTTTTGAGTCAAATTGATTTTTGTTCTTCCCGTCCACCTAGGGTGTGCCTGAAAGCTCTTATCTTTTTTTATCAAATTATCAATTTCAAAAATTTTTTCCTCTTACTTTCAGATCTCTGATAAACCTCAAAAGTCGGAAATGGAACGACAAACATCAACAACTTCAATTCCGACACGCGGAGAGGGAGGCACTACGGGGGACGCTGAAACAAGTATTATTCCAGTGCGTGTTCTTCAACAACAAAAAACTAAAAACGGCAGTAGTGGAACATATTCTCCAGCTGCGGGAAGTATTGACAAGAAGGGGAGGGGGAAAAATGGGGAAATGGAACAGCAAAAAGCTTCAAGGTGGGAAATGAAAAAAGAAAGGTTAAATGAGTTAAAAAGAGGTGAATAGGCAAGGAAATAATTAAGAAGATTAAAAAACGTGAGCAAGCAAGAAGGAGGTGAATAAGGAAAGGAAAAAGTGAAATGAGAAAACGTGAAGGGAGGAAGAGCTAGAAATATGAGTATGTTCCCTTCACACTATCCCTAGTATGTTCCTTACACACTACCCCGGCCGGGCCCCGGCAGTTCCCTTCACAGTGATAATCTTTGCAGGGATATAAGAGGATTTGGAGGGATATCTAACGATTAAGACGGATATCTGTGGATTTAGAAGGATATAATTAAATATAGAAAAAAATCCAGAAATCCAGGCTGGATCCAGACCAAAAAAATTCTGGATTTTTTCTGGATCTGGATTTTTCCTGGATCCAGATCAAGAATCCTGTCCAGGTTACTAAACTAAATCCAGATCCAGAATCCAGATCCAGGATTTTTGAAAATATCGATCTCTACTTCACACTACCACTAATATGTTCCTTTCACACTACCCCTAATATGTTCCTTTCACACTACCCAGACTGTACCTTTCACACTACCCTGGCTGTTCCCTTCACACTACCCGTTCCCTTCACACTACCCCTAATATGTTCTTTTACACTACCCCCGGTCTCTTCCTTCTAAATTTTACCTATCAAGTCTAATATTTTTCCCTTCTCTTCTTATGAATATTAAACCCATAAATATTTCACGAATTTGATTAAAAATCATCTTTTAGTGTAGAAAATTAATAAAAAAATTTCTCATTTGGGTTAATTCAATATCCCGCAGCTTTCCCGGTTTTTAGCATATTTTACCCGTTATTAATATAGATATGAAGGGGGTTTAATTGAAGAAGAGCCGATTTTTGTGAGGAATTGGAAGCAAAAATAGAGGAACGGCTCTCATTCATAGTCACCCTCACTGATTTTTTATTCCTGCCAGCCGCGCTGACTTACCAAACATCAACCACCCACTTTTTCTTTTCATTTTCTGGGCGGTATAATAAATGTTCTCCTCTATATTTTCTCCCCTCTTGTTTACCTCTTTTGCCCCTGTTCACGTAAAAAAAGGGGAAAAAGGATTTAATAAATAATTCCCTGTTTCCACCTTTTTTTGGTCTCGTTCAGGTTCGTACTAAGCAAATGTTCCGATTAATATGTTCCGGAAAATTTTATGGCTTTCCATTTAGTCAATGCTTATTTTTTTCTAAAGCTTTCATTAAAGGAGAAAAAGAAATTTAAATTTAGAAAAGGCAGCAGTCCCCCCTCTTCAACAACTTCACGTCCATCAGTTATACCTCCAGCAGCACCACCACAACCCCCATTATCTACACAAATGAATGCCCCTATTAGTGGTGTATCTGGTCTTCCAATGCTTACCCATCATCAAAGTAAAAGTTATGAAAGTAGTGAACAATCTTCAATGAGAGAACAACGTGGGAAAGGCAAAGCAAAGACCGTCTTTCAAAAAACTACTTGTGAATTGCTTACAGAAAAGTCTGTCACAACTTTTGGGAAGCCAAGAGTTTTGAGGCAACAAGCTGTTGAACAACAAGTCTCTCAACAACACGTTCCTCCCAGCCAACAACAATTTCCTTCCTCTCCACAGCATGTTCCTTCCAGCCAACAGAATGTTCCTTTCACCCCACAAAACGTTCCTCCTCCCGCTCAACAACCTAGAGGATTGCCACGTTATAAACATGAGACTGATCGTGAAATGGAAGCACACCTCATCACTAGATATGATAATGGTAACGGAAGGATAGTTGAAGAAGAAAGAAGACCAATACCACAACCGAGAGGAGGGTTATCCCCTTTGAGGGAAATTCAAAAACCCGAAGATCAACAAAGAAAAGATTTTCTTATGCAAGAACAATCTCGATCAACTGAACAATTTAAACGGACAACTACCAAAAATGGAACTACAGATATTTTAAAGCCATTACTTATCGAATCTGAGCCTGCAAAGACAAGAATTCTTTCATCCCCAGAAGAAAATGGCCATAAACCTGTTGTTATATTACCTACTAAAGCACGCCCTGAAGTTCAGAAACCTCGTTTAATAGACTATGCTACCTATAAACGTGAAGTTCAAGAGCTTCAAAGAAGAGCGGCTAAGGTTGACAACAGAGGGGTTTATGAGGAAGTTACAACACCCTACTTACCTCCTCCAATGAGCCCGGCTATTGTCCTTCCGAGGAAACAACCATCTCTTGATAAGACAACTTTGACTGGTCAGCGTGTACAAAAGGCCAAGGAAGCCGAGCCTGCTATGGAGACGACAATAAGGTAAAAGTTTGATTATGGAGCTAAAAATGGAAAACATGGGAATACTCTCAATTTATGATATGATACATTATAAGGGGGGATATGATACATTATAATATGATACATTATATGATATGATACATTATATTATTATTACCTTATAGGAGAGATGTTTTTATAGTAAGGTTGACTTTAACAAAACTTGTAAAATCTGATAACTATGTCGAGATTGTCAATACTAAATCTCTTCATTTTATATATTTTTTTTCAAGATTTCCCATCTTTCAGATATTTCGCCAGAGAAGAGCTCTGGGAGAAACGAGGAGGTCTTCCACCTACCGAACCCATACTGACCTCACGTCGTGAAGGCAGCTCTTCAGAGGAGGAAATGAAAAGATTAGAAGAAGCTAGACTTAAAAGGGAAGCTGAAGAAGCTAAAATAAGAAGAGAAAGAGCTGCAATTGAAGAAAAAAGAAGAATTGAGTTGGAACAGCAAAGGAGGAGACGGTTGGCTGAGGAAGAGGCTTTGGAGGCTGCGAGGAGAAGAAAAGCTATTGAAGTAAAAAATAAGTGATAAAATGCCTAAAATTCTTTTTAATTTTTTCAGATTGAAGAAGAAAAACGAAAAATTTTGTTGGAAAAACAAGAAAAAGCGGCAGAAGCTGCTCGAAGACCTCCTGGCCCTCCCATCACCTCTAGCCATTCCTCTTCCTTCTATGAAAGTTTTGAACGTTTTAGTAGTAGAACAACAAGTTTAGCAACCCCAACAGTTCCTATAGAAAGTAAACAGCCGGCAGTGAAAGACCAAATTCAATTAATTCCAGCTGTTCCCTTAACTATAACAGAGTGGGCTGTCCCTATTAAAATGGCTGAGGAGAAGAAAACAGAGGAATTGACACCTAAAGGAAGGGAGATTGTAAAGAAGGAAGAGCCGATCAAGCAAGAATTAGCTGTAAATAAATTTTTTTTTAATTTTTGAATTGGGAAATTTTGGGAATTTTTATAGAAAATTTTTGAAAATTAAAAAAAATTTTTTAAAGAAAATCCCAGCAAGAGAATATGAAGAAATTGACACTTCTACTGATGCTGGTAAACGACTCTTTGAACAATTAAAACGAGAATTGGAATATGAAGAGGAAATTGATACAGAAGTTAGAAGAATGAGAAGAGCTAAAGGGGAAGATAAAAAGGAAGAGGAAGAGGAGGAGGAAGAATTGGGAAGTGTGGGACAGACTTTGGAACATTCCCCTCCAATACTTCCATCTTCCACTGAAGGGGAAATGGATTCTGAACCTGTGGAGGAAGCCCCTTCTTCTGTTACTGAGGAGGCAAATGGACATTGGAGAGAGCATTGGGTAAGCATTCGATGGAGGAAGCTCCCTATTTGGGAGGAAGCCCTATTAAGCTCCAAATTTCCATCCTATCCCGTTATCTCATCTCTTCATTATTTCTGACATATCTCGCAATCCATTACAGCCTCAAAGTTATTTTAAGTAGAGGTGGATAGCTAAAGCAGGATAACTTAGAGGCTTACAAGAATTTCTAGCCTTTCAGGTATAGAATAAGGATTTCAAGGAATTTAAGTCATAAATATTTTTTATGAAAGTGAAGAGGAATAAATTTGATTTCCAATAAAGATCCGAAAATATTAATTCCTCGTTCATGAAGAGGAAAAATGGGGGCATAGAAATGAGGGCATTCTCTCTCAAAAAATAAATATGAGAAGTTATTGTTCAAATACTCTTTTTTAACTCCCCAATAAATTCATCAAATTTCTTTTATTTAAAGGGTGAAATTAGTAACGGCATCGGAGGAGGAGTGCTTTCCCCTAGACATGCAGTTAAGGTGTCCATGTCAGGGGAATTGCCGCCTCTAATGGAGGAAGAGGAAGAAATGCAGCCATCATCTACTTTGGATGCGCGATTGGAGGCGGTCAGTTATTTTTCTTGTTATTTTAAAGGAAAATTTTTTGGAAGAAAATTTGAGTGGAGGATTAAGTAGTATATCCTTTAAATTCCCTTTTGACGGTAGTTGATTCGTCATTTTTATTCATATTTTGGAGTGTTCGTGGTATTAGGAGAGTTCCTAGTATCATTTGTTAGATGACAGAAAATTTTATTAAATAAATGCCCAAGTTGGGACAATCTTAAAAAAATTTTATTTTTTAAAATTTTTGAAAAATAACTAAGAATCACGTTTTTTTCTAGAGAGAAGTCATATTTTCTACCGTAACTTTGTTTTCCTTTCTTCTAAAATTTTAGTTTTTTGATATACTAGCGGAGGGGGTCGCCCTTCGGGCGAGCCCCTTCCGCTAACAAAATTCTAAACATTACAATTCTAAACCTTTATCAACTATTAACTAAGTTTTCAACCATTAACTATTAATATCTATGTCAACTATTAACTATTAGCTAAGATTTTCAACTTTCACTATTAACTATTAATATCTTTTTCAACTAATCAATCTTCAACTATTAACTATTAACAATGATTCAACTATTAATTAAGATTTTCAACTTTTACTATTAACTTTTAATATCTATTTCTCTACTATTAACTATCAATCTTCAACTATTAACATTGATTCAACTATTAACTAATATTTTGAACTTGCAATTATTAATATCTATGTCAACTATTAACAAAGATTTTCAACTTTCACTATTACCTATTAATATATATTTTTCAACTATTAACTATCAATTTTCAACTATTAACTTTGTCACTCATCTATATCAATCATTACCGTTTTTCCACTCATTGTGGGACCGTTTTCTCAAGCCTTTTGAACACTATATTCTTTTTTCTATTGACGGGCTCTTTTATCTTGTTTATTGACGAATCCTTTTTCAAACTATTTGACAGACACTTGTCTCTTGCTTGTTGCTCGAAATCTCTACTTCCCACTATTGTAGACCCTTTTCACCCATTTACGGGACCCTTTTCGCTCACCATTATTCCAATCATTTCCAGACCCTTTTCACCCAGTCACGGGACCCTTACCCAGTTACGGGGCCCTTTTTGCTCACCATTATTCCAACCATTTCCAGTACTCTACTTTAGTACTACTCTACTTTAATAGTTAATAGTAAAAGAACTTTTTTACTATATATACTACAACTGTTAGTTAATAGTTAATAGTAAAAGAACTTTTTACTATATATACTACAACTGTTAGTTAATAGTAAAAGAACTTTTTTACTATATATACTACAACTGTTATACTACAACTGTTAGTCACTCTAGTACTATCAACTATTTAGTGTCACTCAATGTCAAACTCTAGGACTATCAACTATTTAGCATCACGCTATGTCAACCTTGCTAGTACTATCAATCTCACAATGCTAAACTATCTAGTATCAATCACACAATCAACTATCTAGTATCACACAATGTCAAACTCTAGTACTTTCAGCTATTCAGTATCACATAATATTAAACAATCTAGGACTATCAACTACATAGTATCTCAATGTATCAAACTATCTAGGACTATCAACTACTTAGTATCTCACTGTATCAAACTATCAGGGACAATCAACTACTTAGTATCTCTGTGTCAAACTATCTAGGACCATTAACTATTTAGTATCGCATTGTCTGACACAAAATCCTAACTTTAATTATGTTAAGAGACAAACCTCACAAAAATTAACCACCGGTTGGACACTCGTTGCTTAAATAAAATATCAGCACTGAAAACCAACAATTTGACACTAAATTTGTTTAAATAATAGATTGTTTTTATTTTGAATCTAAAAACAATTTTTAAATAAAACAAATTTTAACAAATAAAAAAAAAACAAAACAATCAAATCAAAACACATCTTAAATACAATTGACAAACAAAAAAAAAACAAAAAATTGCCAAAAAAATAAAAAAAATAAAAAAATTACAGCAAAAAAGACAAATCAAATTCTAAAAAATTCACATTCTTTCTTTCCTTCTCTAAACTCACACTATTTTCTTTTTTGGATATTTTATCATTTTTAATTAAAAAAATAAACACAACGCCAAAAGCCTCGCAAAATTCAAAGCTGCGGACAAACAGACAAACAGAGCATTCTAAAATTTAATATAGGATTGTAGCCCATTTAATCCTCTTTCAAATAAACCCAAAAACTTGGAAAATGATTCATTCATTCTTAACTTATAAATAAAGAATTGAGCTGAGGTTATTGTTCTATAAGACCCATCCATTTTCTTTTACCTTTTTTAAATTAAAAATTGTCATACAATTTTTTTAAAATTTTTTTTTATAAAAATTTTTTCATCCTTTCTATTGTACTATTTATTTAAAAAAATGCCGTCATTCACAAAAAATTGCAAAAAAATTTTTTTTAATTTTATTTTTCCTTTTATTTTACCGCCTATTGTACTCCTTCCTTCCCTATTATTCCCCTTCTCCTTTTAAACTTTAATTTTAATTCCCAGATTATTACTTTAAATATAATTTTTAATTTTTTAAATTTTTCAATTCATTCCTATCATTCCTTTTATTTTTTAAATTTAATTTTTTTCCTTTCCAAAAATTCTATAAATTAATCAAAAAATACTCTTCCGTTCCTACCCCTATTTTTTAATCTATCGCAAGGTTTCCCCCTCTCCCCATTGTTGAACAAACAAAAAATAAAAAAATATTATACATATTTTTGGCCACTTTTTTAATTCTTTTCAATCCTTATCTTCTTTCCTTCCAAACTAGAGAATTTTTGTTTGATTGTTATCATCCATAATGCAAACGATACGGTGAAAGTAGTGCGAAGGGAACATTCGGGCGCGGTTTTATAAAATTGCCAAATTAACTTTTGGGGACGTAAAATTCTGTCAAACGTTCTTATTGAAGTTATTTAACACTTCTAAAAAATTCAGAAATTTTGGTTAATCAATTCAGACGATATTATAGAAAATATTGATGATGTTCAAAAAAATTGATGAAATTTTGGAAAAAATTCATAAATGACTTATCGTGGATTTTAAAAATTTTTATAGAGACTTGAAACGTTTTAAAGCTCTATTTAAATTCAATTTAAGAAATTTTTCTAGGTTAAAATATTTCGTTCCGTACGCCCTACGTCTTATGTTCCTTTCGGCTTACGTCCGGTGTTCCCTACGACTTACTCCTAATGTTCCTTTCGCTCTACTACCCAATGTTCCCTATACCTTACTCTTGATATTTCTTTTCGGTCTTTGTCTACGCCAAACTTTCCTAACCTAAATTTTTTTGATGTTGCCTTTTGATTTTTTTATTTATTTATATTTCCCTCACCCCTCCCCCTCATTTTTCCCTTATCACTCACTATCAACTCTATTTACAGTTTTATGAAATTCCTATTTTTATTATTATTTTTCCCCAATTTTTATATAAAAATATATAGTTTGTCTGTCAATACAAAAGTTTGGTCTTTAATTCCTTCATTCCCTCTCTCGTCAAAAAAACACAAAAAAAGTCTCCCCAAAAATATGGACAACAACAATTTATTGTTGAAGAGGAGACAACAAACATTATCCACAGAAACCAGCACTACAACAAACGGAAGTATCAACCAATTTCGAACGATTAGTGACGACAACGATGCCGATATTGAAGAAGAAATGGAAATTAAAACGTTGACAGGCCAAAGTGTTAATACAGACAGTCAACAGTCATTCCGTTCATCTCCAACTGTGCTACATTTTCCGTCTAATAATTACCAAAAACAGCGAAAAGAGGTAAAAAATATCATCCCTCTTTTAAATAAATTTGTAAGTGTTTTTCTCAGATTTTTTTTTCAATTTTCCAATTTATTGTAAACCCTTTCTTCTTCTTTTCACACCTTTTTTTGTCCTATTTTCCAAGCATTTTTCTATTATTATACAAACTCACTGTTGGAAATAAACTTATTCAAACATTGTATTTTTTTATTATTCTTTCTCACAATATTTTAATTCAACATGTTTTTGCAACTTTGTTTAGAGAGAAAAAGAGGGAAAACACAAACTTATTTTGTATTTTTATGTATTTTTGTATTAACTAAGTTGGAAAAGTTTTAGAAAAAGTTGGAAACTTTACAAAAACTATATATGCGCCAAACAAGTTTTGTAAAGTATTAAAACGTTAAAAACGCCAAAACTTTCTTTTGCGCACAGCATCAATTTTTGCTTCCCAATAATTCCCTTATAAGGGATTAAATTGATAAAAAATGGGAGGTATGGAAGGAATTATTTTAAATAATTTTTTTTATTATTGTATACAATTTCGAGTTACCCCTAAACAAAAAGAGATTAATTTTCCATTAAATTGTTGTTGCATATTTAATAAGGGGAAAAGTAGTAGTTGTTTACTCGACAACCGATTTTTTCGGAAAATAAATAAAAATAATTATTTTGGGTATTTTATAGTAAAGAGGGAAAAAGGTTGTAAAATGGTCAGACAACGGGGATTATTATTTTTGAAAAAATTTTTTTGATGAGCATTTTAATTGATAGAAGGAGAAAAGGGGGAATGAATGTTTGTTGAAGTATTTCCGCCACTTAAAAAATTTTTTCGCGCATAGAAAAATTTTTTTAGATTAAAGGGGCAAATAGAAAGACAAATTTGCACTCATTTTTCTTTTTTTGTTTGTTTACTTTGGCGTTTTGTCTTTTTTCTTTTTATTTTTTTAAAGCTTATTCTTGAAATATTAATGATTTCTTAAAAATATTTTTAAAATTCTCCTTTTAAAATAATCAAAGTTAGCGTATCTAAACTATTGTTTATTACCATATTTACCTCTAATTAAATGCCCTAATCAATTTAAGTGCCCTTTTTAATTAAATGCCCCCTAGGAAGGTGACTGAAAAGGATTAAAGAGTGGTGGTCAGACAACTAAAGAGGACACTCAAACTACCTAGAAATAACTTGTGGTCATAGGAAGTCTAGGTCCACAGGCATCTCCGGAAAAAAGAGTGGTACCGTTCGACTTACCTAGTCGAGACGAATCGAATGGTATGGGTTTTGTGTCGAAACTAAAACTCCGGTCTCTATTAATACACTAAATTACTTCTCTACTATTTATATTTGTTCTAAATAAAAGATTTGAAACAATTTCTAAAAGTTCAAAAGAATTTTCTAATTGGCACTTCTCTCATAATACTTAAATAAAAATTTAATTTCCTTCGCTTTTTTCAGCTTCAAACAAGCAGGGAAATCCCCGTTCGAAGACCACCTTTATCAATACCTCCACCTAAACCTCCACACAGTATTCCTTCTATTGGTGATCGACGTAGGGCAGATTCTTCATTTTCCTCTGCCTTCTCAGTCTTTCCGGTGTCTCCGGCACATACGTGAGTTCGCTTAAAAAATATTTTTTTATTGACCACGAGATTTTTTGTACAGTTTGTTATTTAATACCACGTGTGTTTATACAAAAAATGTTGACAAATTATTGTTGACTATCTCGATTTTTTAAGAGGATTATAAAACAATTTCCCACAAAAAACATTAAAAAATGTAAATTATATAGTGGAATTCACTAACTGAAAAAATATTTTTTGGGAGGAGAGGGAGCAATTTTCGAGTACTATTATGTTAATACTTGAAGGTCACCTGATACATAACCACTTTAATTTCATTTAGACTTTATACTTTCTCTTATCCCGGTAGAGTTAATTTCCAATCTAGGTTATTGGAATTAGGGAACGGACTTGGGGATCAACCGAGATTGAGATTAACGGTGAAAATTCTGACAGGATTCCTGGACGAGTTCTAGTTCCGGTATTTAATGTGAATAAATGTGAGGGAGGGATGCTTAGGCTTGAGCTGAGACTATATCCATTCTCTTATTTTCCGTTTTTTTAAATTTTATTTTAAACTGCCATGATGGAGATACTCCTTCCCTTCTAACCCCCCTCTCCATAAAATGCCTAAAAAGCTAATTTAAATATTAAAAATTAGTATGGAATACAGCCCTGCTAGTAGCGACTACAGAAGTGCTATTTCCGCTCGTCAACACTTTCCTCGTTTAATGAGACCAATTTCGCCTGCACGTGAGGCTTAAAAATTTAGTTTAAAAAATTTATTTTTAATTTTGTTAGCAAGTGGAGGCCATAGTAGGGTGTTAAAAATGGTTAGCGAAACATCATCAATTAGCAGCAGACCTTTATCGCCTTATCCCGGCTCTACTGCTGCTTCCGCTATTCGAGATACTCGAGAACGTGAAAAGAAGGAAATGAGTGATTTAAATGATAGATTGGCTATTTATATCGAAAAGGTAGTTATTGTGTTACATTGTGGGTATGAATGATCCATATGGAAGTCTGAGCTTAGTCGACCTAACCTTAGAGGAACTAATCGAATCTGACCTTAAAGGACGATCTTATCCCCTCGAGCTTTCTTCTGACACCTGCCTCCTTACAAGTACACGAGGCCACATCTTGATTCTCCTGATATGATTGGAGGTATCCCCTAAAAAGAGACATGGATCATCCGCTATAAAGCCTCCCATCCATTTACTTGCACTTTCATCTAGGAATATTTATTGTTCCATTCAAACTAAGATCATTTAATAGGTCCGTTTCCTCGAAGCACAAAACAGAAAGTTGGCTGTTGATTTGGACTTTCTGCGCAAGCGCTGGGGGAGAGATGCCTCCAATGTCCGTGATATGTTCGAAGCTGATTTGAGACAGGCCAGAAAACTTATAAATGAAACTGAGAAACAAAGAGAAGAATTGGAACGTAAAGCTAGGGCAATGGCCGAAGAAATGGCACAATTGAAGAGAAAAAATGAAGAAGCTTCACATGTCCACGAAGAAGACAAGGAAAGAATGGATGAATTATTGTTGAAATTGGCTGCTTTAGAGAGTGAATTGGCGGCACTGAGACGCCGAATAGCTATTGTAGAGGAAGATGTGAAGGTATTGAAGAGAGAAAATAGTCGACTTACTGGAGAATTACAAAGGACAAAAACTGTAAGTTAACTTGGATGGCTGAAGAAATAAGGGACATTTAAGGGACATTTCAGAGTAAGGGACATTTCAAAAGTATGATTGGGATTATAAGCTACTAAAATGTTGTTAGAAGGGGAGTCATGAACCAGAAAATGGAGGAGTTTTTAATTAGTACTTTTCAATACGCGCAGTAAACTCAAAAGATTTAACTATCACAAATAAACATCTAGCAATTTGAACTTTCATTTTTGTCAGTGTACATATATCACCGACTTCAAAAAATAATTTCAAAATTGTAATTCTAAATCGTTTGGTAAAGCACGAAAATGTTTAAATTAAATAGGATTTATTTTATATTTTTAATACATATTAAGTAAATGTAAGTTAAATAATCTAATTAGCTAGTCCACCCTTAATAACTATTATTTGTCCGTGCAAAGCAAAGACCCCAAAAATATTAGAGACAAATATGTAAATTATGAAATTAACAAAAAGGTTTAATTAAATAGTTCTTATAATGGATTATTTAATATTAAGTAAAATTGATAAATCTATCTCTAAATTTTTTTCAAAAAATCTCCATTAAAATTCTTTACGACAAATAAATAAAGATAGAAATGGTTCATTTTAATAGTAAATTTAAAATCTATCTAGTATAGATTTAATGAAATAAAAAAATTTTTCCCTATTAACAGGAATTGGACCAAGAAACACTCAACAGGATTGATCACCAAAACCAAGTTCAGACATTATTGGAAGAATTAGACTTTCTCCGACGTGCCCACGACCAAGAAATTCAAGATTTGCAAGCAATGGCTGCTCGGGACACAACACAAGAAAATCGAGAATTTTTCCGGAATGAATTGGCTTCGGCAATGAGGGAGATTAGAGAGGATTATGAGAGAATAAATAGTCGGAACAGAACAGATATAGAGTCTTGGTATAAATTAAAAGTACAGGAAATACAAACACAATCAGCCAGACAAAGTATGGAACATAATTATGCCAAAGAAGAAATTAAACGATTACGGACTCAATTGGGCGATTTGAGGGGGAAATTGGCTGACTTGGAGGGGAAGGTACTAAAAATTATATTTAAAAATTAAAAATATGTACTAGTGACCGGCGCGGGACGGGATCCCGCGCGGGATTTTGCGGGATCCCGTCCCGCAATCCCGCACTTTTTTCGATTTGCGGGATTTTGCGGGAGTGCGGGATTTATCCCGCGGGATCCCGCAAAATATTTTGTATTTTGCGGGATTCTTGGAAAATAGAGGATTTTGGCTCCTAGCCTTCTAAACTCAAAAAATTTTTGCCTGCGGCGCTAGAAAAAGGAGAATTTTGACTGTGGCCTTCTAAAATCTAGAAATTTTTGCCTGCGGCGCTGAAAAGGAAGTAATATTTTCACCTGCCGCCCATGGAATCATCTCTATTTCATCAAAACAGGATTGTCCAATCGCGATGATTGATCCCATTTGTTTCAGCTTAAGCTATTCTAATTTGTATACATGAATTTTCCGAAGAATATGTAAGAGTTTGCCCCTTATGATTTTTTATAATTGGGGACCTGGGATAAATGATTATACCTTTGTACCAACCTGTACTCGTGATTTGGTACGAAGTACGATACATGTACGAGCAATGAGTACGAGTTAAAAACCCGTTAATGATTAGGAAATTGATTTTTTCAATAGATATTGATAATTTCAACGATTTTTGGAAAATCCCGCAATCCCGCGCGGGATCCCGCAAATTTAAAATGCGGGATTTTGCGGTATTTATCCCGCGGGATCCCGTCCCGCAAAGATTTTTAAAAAATTTTTATCCCGCGGGATCCCGCAAATGCGATTTTGCCGGTCACTAATATGTACTATTAAAAATTGTTATAATTAACGTAAACATCAACGTTTTAAACTTTTAAATACCGTAATCTCTCTCCAATATAGTGTTTATTTGGAACTTCATGGGAAGGATTAATCGGATATTTTTCTCATTAAAATTAGCAAATCGGTTTTGAAATTGTACATACATATGGGTCCTTGTCAGTACCATCTTCATAGTTGGACTCTCATATATGTGTACCTTACATGCTTAATCATTCCTTTTAACTAGAGATCGGACAAAAACTGCCTGTCAAATATATATCTCTCTTCAGGACGCCTGTGTTAATGACCTCTCTCTCATTGTAAGAGACGCATATAAAACTGACCAGTGGTTGATTGCAGCAAAAGAAATGTATGCCTGCTCTTTTTCAAAAATATGCATATTTTTATGCGTCTCTTACAATGAGAGAGAGGTCATTAACACAGGCGTCCTGAAGAGAGATATATATTTGACAGGCAGTTTTTGTCCGATCTCTACTTTTAACTACAGAATATAATTGGACACTCGGAAGAGCTGCCTAACGAATATCTCTTTTGCCCTCTTATTACATAAAATTTTTCCTAAATTAAAAAGAGATATGAGAGTCCGACTCCATGTTTCTTTTTAAAAATTGATAACGAAAAAGAGAAAAAATGCGAATACAAACGGAATGTGTATCATGTCAGACAAACCATCGTATGCCACCATTTAGCTCTTATTTGTCAGTTTAAAAACTGACTTCAAAAAATGATATACATTATTATAGAAAAAACTCTTAATCAATCTTAAACTTGAAACTTAAATACGAATAATAATAAATTATCTAATATTGAGTAAATAATTTTCGTTTTTCTATCTCGAATTTCTAAATCAACTTTAAGACATTAGTTTCTTTATTAAATTAAAAAATTTCCCATTTCCCTAACAGAATTCTCTTTTGGAAAAACAAGCCGAAGAATTAGCCTATCAATTAGAAGATGATCAAAGATCTTATGATTCAGCTTTGAATGACCGAGATACCCAAATACGCAGAATGAGAGATGAATGTCAAGCATTAATGGTTGAATTACAAATGCTTTTGGACACAAAACAAACTTTGGACGCAGAAATTGCTATTTATAGAAGAATGTTGGAAGGGGAAGAAGATAGGGCTGGGCTTAAACAATTAGTTGAACAAGTTGTTAGAACACACCAAATTAAACAAAGTGATGAATCGGGTATGGGTTTTATTGGAAGCATATCATCGTAAATCGAGATATTATTTCGAATTTTGAATGCTTATTGTAGTATGTTAGTGATTTTAGGCTGAATTATAAATAAGAAATGTTTTCTCAATTAAAAAATCGAAAAATAAGGCGATAGTGGTTAACGGAGATTCCAGAATTTGGGCAATCTCCAGTTTCACGAACAGAAAAAGGCGATCCCGGAACAGAAACTAAAAGAAACACTAAGCCTGGAATAGACCTCCTAGCCTCTTTGCCTAGGCTAGGAGGCTGGGCTCAATTTCTTCCAATGGGCAAACTAATTTTCAGAGCTTCGATTGCCCTAAGGATGTAGAAATAGTAATTCCTTTACTAGTAGCTGCCTCCATATCCCAATCTCCGTTTAAAAATATTTTTTCCTTCTCAGAATCTACACGAACCCTAAGAGGGGAAAAATCATCCCGTCAGTCCTATCAACGTTTTGCAAAGGGAAATGTTTCCATTTTGGAAACGTCTTCTGAAGGAAAATATATTGTTTTGGAGAACACTCATCGGTCAAAAGAAGAACCTATTGGTGAATGGAAATTGAGAAGGCGGATTGATGGAAGAAGAGAAATTGTCTATACATTCCCTAGAGATTTTGTTTTGAGGCCCGGAAAGACTGTTAAGGTAAAAATAAAAATACTGTTTAACCTTTATTTTGTAGATACTTTCAAAAAATTACTAGGGATAAGGTTATCTAAATGTATTGCGGTCTTTGATAGACCTCTATATAATGTACATTCATTAGTATTACCCCCTATTTAGTTTACACTTTCTAATCCCGATAACAGAATTACAGTATATACTAAAATAATGTCTCACTTACCCCACTCAGCCAGAGGTCGAAAATAATAGTTAAATAATTACCCCCTCCCAATAGTTACTCCCTTCAGCGAGAGTTTGAAACAATAATTACCCTGGATAATTATTATAGCAAATACGGTATACTCCAATAACTGTCCTTGAATTTACCTCACTATATCGAAAGGCGAATTGTAGTAGAATCCACAGATTAGTATGTCAACTTCTCATTTTTTAATTAAAATAGGCATTAATTAGACTACCTAATTTAATATTTTAATAAGATCTGGGCTAATGGACATGGAATACATTCTCCACCAGACCAATTAGTTTATGAGGGTGAAGATACTTTTGGAGTTGGATATAATGTGCAAACGATACTTTACAATAGAGAAAATGAGGTGAGAAATTTTGAAAATTTTTCTGAAAATTTCAAAAAAATTCTTTCTGATTTTTAAAAATTTCAAAAAAATTCTTTCTGATTTTTAAAAATTTCAAAAAAATTTTTTGGTTTTTAAAAATTCATAAAAATTTTCAAAAAAATTTTTTAAAATTTTTTTCTCAAATTTTCAATTAAAAATTAATTTTGTAGGAACGTGCATCACTTATTCAACGCTCTTCAGGCCGACAATAATTTGAAAAATTGAATTATAAATAATTTTAAATCGCTCAAATCCTTAGTAGATTATCCCCCTTTACGAGCAATTTTTTAAAATTTTCGCAAAATTTCCTGCCGAAAAAATTATTTTTTAGCCTTCGCGATTTTTAATTCTTTCAACATATAATTTTAAATTGAGTGGCATGGCCTTCTTTTAAATTTTATTTTTAAATAACCACTAATTCTGCACAATTTTCACTTAAAATTAATGTATTTTCTCTACTAGAGATTGGCTGCTTAACTTAAAAAATTATTTTGCCCTGGAAAAATTTTTGCTGAAAATGTTTTGGGATAAAATTATTTTGTAAAAATGCTGAAAAGTTTTCAAATAAAATAATCAAACAGGTTTTTGAGCAAAATATGTATAATCTTAGCCCAACCTCTAGTAATTAATTTCGATTAGGGTCGTTGGTGAAAGCTAAGAAACTCAGTCCTTTTTAAGATTCTGTTTCGACTGTCAAAAGAAATTTAAAACCAACCAACAACCCTCCCTAGTCTTTAATAATTTCTATAAATTATACATGGTCTTACAAAATTGAATAGAGGCTCGGGGATTTTATTTTTCCGGTGTATGTAGTAGAACATTGAATAATTTATAGAAATTAATTTTCATTTTCTTAATTTTCCAAATTTTTTCCACCACACAAATAATTTGCTTTCAAAAATTCGCAAATTCCGCAACTCTTATTTTTGTGAAAACTTTCTTTTAAAATATTTATAAACTAGTCTAGGTCAAATTTTTGGATTATTAAATACCCCAGAAATTCTCCAAAAAATCCAAATTTTTGACCTAGATTTGGATCTGTCTTTTCTTTTTTGAAATTTCTATTCGTGCTAATTAACTAATTTTCTTTTAATTTTAATTTCAGTAAATCTACATATTTGAGTGTAATAAATTTAATTCAGTTGGACTTCTGAGATGGACTTTACTAAATAAAGTTTAAAATAAAAAAATATGTGCCCTCTAAATATTAATAAAATAAAATCTCGATATAAAAGACTCATAGAGATAAATACAAGTCCTTGCGCAGTCTCTATTTAGCAAACAAAATTTATGAGCTTTGACATTAATATAAGCATTTTAAAGTTTAACAATTACTCAATGTTAATTATTGACCGTGGCCAGACCGGTTTCCGGGTCCCATATCAGGGTTATTTTGCGATCTCCGGATTTCCAAAAAATCCGGGCGGATCCGTTCCGGCTCAGGTTACAAATACAGAATCCGGGGAGGGCCGAAAAAATCGATCTTACAGGTCAATAATGCTAATAAAAATTGCCATTGAGTGTTTCCACAAAGTGAATATTAACAATTAAGAAACTTTCGAGTTCCGAACCGAAAATTTAGGATATCCGTCCTTTTTCGGATACGGATATCCGGATCCAATAACTCTAATATTATGTAGAAGTCCAACTATAAATTAAATAAAATATTAAATTTATATCTAGTTATTTATCTGTGGCCGTCCAAAAGGAAATTATTTACTTCCTTTCCCTGTGTTATTTAATGCAAATTTTTCTGTCTTAATTTTCAAATTTCAAATTATATAAAATAAATTTTTTAAAATTTAAAAGGAATTTAAAAAATAATTTTTAGAATTTTTAAAATAAAAGATTTTCTATGTATTAACGATTCCGGTTCGGTTAACCGCCGCAAGCAAACTAATTGAATGTATAACTAAATTATAAAAATCGTTTTACTTAATATCTTTTATTTAATTAAACTTGAATTTAATGTTTGAATGCGAACCGAGATCTAACTTACATAGCACGCAAAGCAACTATATTTTTGTATGTCAGTGTTAATAACTGACAATTTTGGTTTTGTGTAAACATGAAAGATCGATCGAAGAGATTTAAAAATATAAGACCGAAAGATTTTGAGACCGAAGATTCCTAAAACAGTGCCAAGATTCCTAAAACAGTGCCAAGACTTGACGATGAAAATTTTTGAGTTTCGGTTTGATCTGAAACCAACAACCTTACTCAAGACCAAAAATTAGCAGGACTCAAGACAATTTTAAGGGCAATTCTTGGTTTATTTTTAGTGCGTTAAATACGAACTCCTATAATTTTGAATAATTTATAGTAAATCTAATTAAAAATCAAAAATAGCTTTTGGCGATGAAGGCGCCAAAATTGATCAAAAGTCAAACTTGATCAGTAATCATGATTGATCAAGAAGACTCAATAAAATTATTATAAAAAACACGTTAAATATTATAAAAAACACGAACTGATGTTTTTATAAATAAGTTCCATAACATTCCTATTTTTGTTTATTATTTCAATGATTTAAAATTTGACACAACATAATTTAAAATTTTTAAAAATTTTTGTTTGTACCCCAACTACCATCGTTGATTATTAATCCATCTATTTTCTTGATTCCCTCTAATTCCTTCCTCATCTACTTCATCCCCATCAGAATCAATTATTGGATGCCTGTATAAATGTAATGCTGAACCATTAGCTCTAGCAGCTTCCGCAACTGTTTGTTTTCCTATTGAAGATGTTGGGTAACTACTGACTCTTTCGGTTGTCGAATCTTGAATTAAAAATTTTGATTGGTGAATGATATATCAATTGAAAATCTTATGATATGAAATTTTGGATTAATTAAAGTAACCACAAGGGCTATTTATGCATGGCGGGGGAGTGTTATAGATTTTATATACTTGTTAGTTGAAGGTAACATCAGTACCTAGGGATTTACAAGTCTCCTTTGGGCGTGCTACCCTGCAAGTGCGATACAGAGACTACACTGAAGCAGATTTCATGTACTACCGGCAGGCATTAAAATTTCGACTCTTGTTAAGTGCCAGGGGGTATCTTAAGGGTATATGTATCTAATATTGAGTTCCGATAGTAATAAAAATATTTTCAAATTACCAGGTTTTGAACTAATCTGACTACTTCCTTTTTCTTCATCTTTAATAGGTCTAAGAAAAGTCCCAATACTCATATCAGACTTTTCCCTCCCAGAATGACTCATTGATGCAAGTAATTGCCTTTGTTGTGACATTTCTCTTAAATGATGTTGAGACTCTCGAAGATTTAAATATTGCTCTAATTGATTCTTTGGAGTTTTATAATCCCGCCAATGTTGTCCTTCTCTTCTTCCAAAAAATATAAAACTTAGACAGAGAATACAAAGAAGGCAGAAAACTGCGAGTAGAGGGAAGACCTGAAAATTTTGTGATAATTTTTAAATTAAATAAAAGTGCGTGAATGAGGGTACGTTTTAGCACGGATTTATAATTTGAGAAATAATGAGATTTAACTTGCCATTTAATTAGAAACCGGACTTGGAATGTTGCATAAGGATTAAGATAGATATATCGAAAAATATCAATCTCGATGCCGAGATTTTTGTTGTGGCCCAATTTTTGATATTATTAAAAATAAATTAAATTTTGTTATGATAAAAGTTATAGATCAAAACTATCTCTATAATCAGAAGTATAACTAAATTTTAAAAAGTTTTACTTAATATCATCTATTTAATAAATCTTGAATTAAACATAAGATTGCAAACTTGAATCTCACTTTAATCTCATTCGTAATATTATATTTTTGTATGTCAGTGATAATAACTGGCAATTTTATTTTTGTAAGAATAAAAGACCGAAAAAAAAGATTAAAGAAGAAATGCAAGGACGAAAGTTCCTAAGGTGAAGACCAAAACTACATCCCAGGGCTTTGCCAAGACTTGACCCCGAAAATCTTCGGTTTTTCGGTTCGCTTTGAAACCGACAACCCTACTCAAGACCAAAAATTAGGAAGATGCAAGACAATTTTTTGGACTTAAAGGCAGATGGTTTTTATTCCCCTATCTAAACTAGAACATCTTAGCTTACCAAAACACTTTCCCAAATATAATAAATGGGAGGGGCTGGCAGATGTTCATTTTCTGTCTTAAATATTTTGTAGCTTGAAGTATTTGCTGTTTTAATTCCCAAAATATTTCCCTCTTCGTTATTTTCTTCTGTTTTAAGGCTTTTTCCATCCTTAACCTTTTTTCTTAAATATTGTTCTAAATCTGCTGGAATTGTAACGTTTTTCTTAAAAAAAATTAATTTTTAATGATAATTATGTCAATTGGAATACCCCAAACAAGGATTGGCACAGATTTATATTCAAACTCCCGCTATTTGATTTTATTATCAAAAAATACAATTCAATTTAAGATCCCATATTTGAGATACTCTATAAAATACAGTTTTACAGCCTCAAGATATCTAGCTAGGGAACCTTGCTGAGAGAAAAATTGGGCCTGGTTTTTGAGATTTCATACACCGGATTTCTGGTTACGGATAATCCGGCCCCATTTATCTAGTCCAACCTTTCAATATTCAAGAAATCTCTTATCGAACTCGTCAAGTCTCCAAAAACGCAAAACGCAATGCGCCCGCCTCTGGCCCGCTTATGTCATTTTACCTTTCTTTTATAATTTGAATTCTTAATAACTGGGAAAATAAAATTAATAGCTAACCAAATAAAATTTGCACCAATCAACTCTAAATTCTGGAGAAAAATGTCTATCCATAGGGATATTCTGATTTAGAGAACAAAATTCAATATTTGAATGCATTCCACGAGCGAATAGTTGAACATTTGGGTGAAAGTTTAGTTGGGTGCCGATTTGAATTATTGCCCTTTAAATTGAATAAGAGAATATACTATATTCCGGAAGCAGATATTAATAATTTGTGTTAGATTATCCTCTTTATACATATTTATTAATCTTCAGAGTTCGAAATGTGAAAAATTTTTCATGAACGTTTCAATCTCTATAATGAGACTTAAGAACCATGGATTTGCAGTCGGTTCCAGATATCTAAAGATTTCCCTTAAACCGACAAATCTAACTTAAGTATAATATTTTTCTAAATTTGGAACAAAATATAAACTAGGTATGTTAACTTTAGCGACGATATACTAGTGGGTCAAATTTTTTGGAAAAATTTGCTTAATATAATTTATTTAAATTATATTAAAGTAAATCATTGTCTTTGGCACGAAATGTATTGTTTGGGTCAAACATGTTGTGATTATTTTTGAATGTCAATATTTTATTGACAAATGCTATTTCTGTATTTTTTCAAAGCAATGTTGTAATAATCTAGATTGCATTTATGAAAATTTCAGTAAATTTTGAGATTGCATCTTCTTAATGTTATATCACGGGTGTCAGCTTTTATATCCCAATTATTACTTGCTTGTTCTATATACACGTAAATTCTATATCACATACCTACTCAATTTAAGCTACCTATAAAAATTTTTTAAATTTGGTTTCCCACCGAGAGTGTGTAAAACTATATAAGATACTCATTATTAGATTCAATTTCTATCCAGTGTATTTTTCAAAAAATATTTATTACCCGGTTCTAATATTCCCTTGAAATTGTCTCAGCAAATCCAAAGCATTTTCTGTACCCGGCAAGATATTAAAAATATAAGGGTTGACATGTTTGCCTTTAAATGTTGAGTGGATTGCCTAAAAAATTTTGAAAAAATATTTTTTATTTCAAATTATTTCCAAACCCTTTCCAAATTTTTTATTTTATCATCCCTTCCAACTCCCCATAAAAGCTCCTCTGCATTAACATTGGTTAAATAAATTTCTGCGATTTGTCTAGTTGTGCCAGAGTATCTAGCTAAATAAATAATTAAAAATTTTGGAATTTTTTTGTAAATTTCTTCGTTTTCTATGATTAGACGGCGGTTAGTTAAATGACTGGATTTTACTTAATATAATACGAGCGGTTTGGTGCCGCTTCGCGGCACCAAAACGCTCGTTCAAACCTTTCAATGTTACAACCAAAATCTGCCCATTGCCTATAGTTACCTACATTACTCGGCAGACTCTCACACACCAATTAACGGTCTCTAACCCCAAAATTTATTCACTTAATGCCAGTTATCACCCTTGCCCAATATCCTCCGATATCCTATTAACCTTCATTCTCTTAAACACCATACAAAATCCTCTGATAAGTTAATTAATTGCGCACAATCCCAAATAGACCCTTTACTTCCGAAATCAGAGATATCACCCTACAGCCCCCAAATCTTCTGATATCCCTTTTAAACACCCCAAAATCACGGAACCACCTTTGATCCTTGATTTATCTGTTTGTTTCTCAAATCTTATAGCTCTTTATGGTTTTACCCGAATTTCTCTTTACTCCGATATTTTTTTTAATTTCTCAAACAAAAAACATTGTTAAAAACACGAAAGCATATTTTTTATGTTAATATTCCTTTTCTAGATGACATATTTTTTTGTAGTTTTTTGGAAAAAATGTCTTTATTTTTCAGCAAAGACCTTCCAAAATTTTCAAAATTTTTGCCTTCGGCGCTTTAAATTGTAGAAATCTCGCTTCTTGCCTTCCAAAATCCTCAAACTTTTAGTAATAAAAAATTGCTCAGTTCAATTGAAAAATATACATAATACATAAAATGATTCTAATTTTATTTTTGTGTTTGATAATTTTTTGCTGATTTTTGATATAAAATGCGGATTTTTTTATCAAAATTTCGTATTTTATAAGATTTGAGATTGAAACCCTGCTCTTAATCCCCCGATATCTTACCTAATCTCCCTTACTCCATTATCTTTATATAGCTGATTAAACCTTCAAAACTTCTGTTTTCATTCTTAATCAACCAAATCCCTAGATATCTACGTCGTTATCCTGTCAAACACGCAATTACCGTCTTAAACACTTCTAATCCTTCTATGTTCCTTCATGCAGACTCAACGGAGGATATCCCTTTTTATCCTCATGTGCCCCTTTATATCACTGAAATATAATGAACATTAAACCGCTCTTTAACCCTCAGGATTCACTTCTTGATTCCCTTTCAGTAGAATCAATTTTACTTAAGCATGCCTGAACTAATTCGCGAAGATACAAAACAAAAACATTTAGACCCAACTGAACTCCAATAAATATTGTTTTGTTTTACTTATTTAGGGAAATTGTTTGGAAAAATTCAAAAATTTAAAATCCCACAAAATTTCTTCCAAAAAAAATTTATTTTGTTTCGTTCGTTATTTAACCGAAATAAAATAACTGGAAAAAAGGCTAACCCTCTCAATTTCACGAACCCATCCGCGCATCCCTATTTTCTAAAAATATCCCGGATGTGTTTTTATCTATCTTTCCTCGATATCCCACAAATCCTTGAATTTTCACTTGGAAACCTATAAAGCCTCATTTATCAATCTTGATTCACCAAACGCCCGTATCGTTCTTTATTCTGTAAGGCATTTTAATTCTCGATATTTCTTAACGCAAATATCCCCTTTTTTCTCTTAATCCCCTGATATCGCTCAAAATTACTATGTTTTTAATCATTCACACCTCTCAAAAGAGCCAATAATATTCATTCAGTTGACGTTCTGCTACATCCTATTTTTTGCCTCTTTTCAAATCTTAGATATCTTTCTTAATCAACAAAATTCCTTTATTTCCTTTTTGTTTAATTGATAATCCTCTTAATCTCTATAAAATCCTTCTAACCAACATTATCCCACTATAAAAACTTAATTCTATCAAATCCGTGATATCCCTATTACCTTTAATCTCTTCATGCTAATTCCTTTATCCTTTTATAACTCTTAAACGCCTAATCGTTTAAATCAATTTTAATCTTCATAATCCTTATATTTATCAGTCTTATCTCCTAGTTTCGCTTTTCTCTCTATATGATTATTTAGTCAAATCATTATTTAGTCAAGTCTCAAACCCTTCTGTTACAGCTTTAACCTCGCTATACCCCCGTTTTTCTCTTAATCACTTCAAGATCCCGATCAAGGCTTATCGAAATAAAAATATTTTTTTTTCGAATCGAAACGAAATAAAAAATTCCTATTTCGTTTCGGAGCGAAACGAAACGAAATAAACGATATTGCTTTTAATTACCCAAATCCCACTATGTCTCTTTAATCTCTTCAAATTTGCCTCTCTCGAAAACCCCCAAAATTCAATTATGCAACATAACTTGTCTCTCTACAATTTACCCATTAATCCCTTTAAATTGACATATATCAATTTGGAGTAAAACTCCAGCATATTCGAATCTTTGTTTCAAAATTTTTTAATACTTTTAGATCACAAATATAAAGATTTGGGACTATGGTAGGTTGGGCGGCGGAAGGCTGCTCTACTCTATCAAAACCCGGAAAATCTTTCTTCCTTTTTGGCGCTGCATGCGTTAATTTTTTTGATTTTGGAGCTCAAAAGGCCAAATTTCTTCCTTTTTCTGCGCCGCAGGCGAAATTTTTTCAATTTTAGGCTGCTCATAAGACAGAACTCACTAAAAATTATGATTAGAAAAAGGGGTGCATTTTCTAACTTTTTTTTGATTCGTTTCGTCCGGAATTTTGTCTATTTTGTTTCGAAACAAAACGAAATGAAAAAAAGGGCACGAAAGAGCGTAACGAAATGTAATTTCGAACAGCCCTTATCCCGATATTAATTTTTAATCTCTCAAATATCCTATTTTACTCGAATACCAAACCGCAATTAAATTTCAAATTTGCACTATTTATTAGCCACCCTAATTACCGACTTTATGATCCTCAATCACTGATATCCCTTACTACCAACAGATCCTCTTATACACTCAAAATTTCCCATCCTTTGTGATTTTCTTGAATTCAACAAATCCTCCATTATTTTAGTCCAACAAATCACTGATATCACTCTTAATCACTAAATTCCTTGTTATTCTTAATTCTCACAAATTCTATTTTTTCTAACATATTCAGCCTTTTCCTTTATTAATCCGAAGATTCCTGTTTACAAAATTTCTTCTGTTTAAATTTTTTGTTAACTGATAAAACTTTTTCAACAAATAAATTAACTACATATAATTTTTAAAGGAAAAAAGTAAAGTTTTCTTAAGCACATTTCCGCAGTTTAAATAATTATTCTCTTAGCTCGCGGTGGCTTCAATCTTAATAATTTACTAAAACTAAAAGCTTTTGTGTTATTGGTTGTTTTTTCAAATACCAGAACTAAAAAAGTTTATATCGAACTATGACGATCCTTACCGCTTACTCATTGTCGAACCTTGATCTTAAACCATTGCAGTTTTAACCCACATGTTTTACCTGCTTTTTTAACACTTTAGTCTAATCTGATTAGTACATATCTTATTTGCTTTTTCAAGTCTTTAGCTTTCACAAAATATCAGTTCCTAGTTCACAAAATTCGAATTTGTTTACCCTAGATTTATTCAAATCCGAAATTACTTTATTAAAACCTAAACCCAACTTGTAGAGCTTTTTGTTTTTTTTTTGTACAATTGTATCCTTAGCTGTTTGTACTTTTAAGCTGATTAGGTCTTTTGTACCTTTTTGGCTAGTAAGGCCTTTTGAAAATTTGGAATGTTTCGACCTTTTGAAAATTTGGACTGTTTCGACCTTTTGAAAATTTGAACTGTTTAGGCCTTTTGAAAATTTGGTCTGTTTCGACCTTTTGAAAATTTGAACTGTTTAGGCCTTTTGTACACCGTTGTTTGTGTACCATTTTGTCTGGGCACTCGTTGTTTACATTTAAAGTAAGGTTGATGCGAGGTAAATAAGGTAATCAGAATTAGAGAAGTATTTTTTTGTTTTTTTTTTCTTGGCCAAAATAGAGATAAATTTTTTGTTTACTCTTATCCTTAATTATTCTCATATTTTCGTTTCAAAAATTATTGCCTTTTCTTCTTTAAAAAAGTCCTTTGAAAAATCGATAAACAAAGTCTCCCAAAACTCATTTAATATATAAAGGGATATTTCAAATAAATTAAATACATTGCTACGTCAGGTGATAAGAAATTGAATAGTAATGTAGTGAGTCTTATTTTTTGTATGTTGGAGCAACGCTCCGGCAAACTATTTTCTGTATACGGTCGTGTAATGTCAAAATTTTTGATATTATTAAAGTAATTTCAGAAATTTTTAAATTATATGATAACCCCTGACGTATAATTACATAAGTTATAATTTTGTTGAGTCAGATATGAACAAAATTTTTGGTCTTACTGGTTAGCGGATCAAGAAATGTTACAGCCTACGGATTCTCATAGCACTATCCGTTTAAAATATTAAAAATTAATTTACGGTCATCGTTAGTAACAACACTAAAAGACTGTTCAGAGCTTTGAAAAGAGTCCATCCTTGTAGCTATAATATGTAAAGGGAAGTGGGAATGTGGAGATACTGGTGTTCCAATTAAAAAAGCTATGGAACGATGTCTAGAAGGAATTAAATGCATCCATTGAGGTAATGTTGGACGACCACGGGTGGAAGCAGACCATTTCACATCAACTTTAAATTTGGTATAATTTCGGAATACTAAACAGACTCTGATTGGGACAAATTATATGTCATTCGACATAGCTCGCCGAGCTGAGTCGAATGACATCAAAAAATCGATTGGGACGCAACTATGGGCCGAGATACAAGGCTCGAAATGGTCAAAAACCATAGGGGGGACCAAGCACTTTTTTGGGGTGAAAAATTCGAAAATACAAATAATAGCTCATTCGAAAGAGCTCCTCGAGCTGAGTCGAATGAGACCAAAATCAGCGAAATCCGATTTGATTTGACGAAGTTATGATCGTTTGTTTTAGCTCCTTACCTTTGTTCTCCTTTGATGTTCTTGCTGCTGCGGAGGAAGCCGGGCATGACCATCACATCATAATTGGAATAGGATTAAGTTACGAGCCCAGACCCAGCACCCGTAGACTCCCCGCGAGGCGCGTGCCGCAAAACTCCGCGCGAAGCGCGGAGTTTTGCACAAGCGCCTCGCCGACGCCCCATAGGTTTACGTTGTTTTTTTCTGTCATAACTTCGAACAAACTTGACCAATCACGACGATTTTGGTCTCATTCGACTCAGCTCGAGGAGCTCTTTCGAATGAGCTATTATTTGCATTTTCGAATTCACCCCAAAAAAGTGCTTGGTCCCCCCCTATGGTTTTTGACCATTTCGAGCCCTGTATCTCGGCCCATAGTTACGTCCCAATCGATTTTTTGATGTCATTCGACTCAGCTCGGCGAGCTATGTCGAATGACATATAATTTGTCCCAATCAGAGTCTGTTTAGTATTCCGAAATTATTCCTTAAATTTATTTAAAAAATATTTGCTGGATAAAATTTACCAGTTTGAGGAAAGAAATAGGCAGAATGGAGCATATGAACGAAAAACTGAAAAGGAAATTTTTTAGACAAACCTGGAAAGTTTATTAAACAACGCAGACAATCTCGCAATAATTAGATTTCTAAGTAGAGGTGTCAGTTTTTGAAAAATCTTAAGATACCCGGAAGCGAACCGAAAAATCCGTAGTTCTTCAGTCTTTACGAAACCAGAACACTTCGAAAAGCCCCCCCCCGTAATTACGCATTCATTCATTTCTTTAATAATCACCATTATTCAGAACTACATATGTGTGCCTATTATTTATGGCTCAGATCACACAGAGAAAAGAGGACCTCTTTGACTCTTCCAAAGTTTTACATCAAACAAACTTGCTTAGTATGAAATATTTTATTTACTATTAATTGTAAGAACATTAGGGACACAAACTTATTTTCCGCACATCATTAACATTGAATTTTTGCATGTCAATTTAATAAATTGACAGATTTCTATTGCAGCGCGTAACGTGGATTCTAATTTATTCACTTACGTTTGTGCCTAACTAACAGAAAGAACGGACAATAAAAATCACAAAACAAAAATGAGTGACTAAGTTTATCGCTTTTTAGAAAATCCTCGGATGCCTAATCAGACCGATGAATCTATTAAAAAAGAATCCTCAGTTCTTGCGTGCTGTTTCAAACCGACAACTTTATGTTGCTACATATGTATGATTTTTTTTAAATCTTAGACCTATTTATATGCAACCTCAATGTAGATATTAAACAGAATATGAAAAAACTTTATTCAAAATATGAATACCCGAGACTTTAAAAAATAAAATTTTAATTTTAAAGACCTGTCCTTTAACAGCTCTCAATTCCGCTGCATGTTCACGAATATTTTGACAATTTATTAAAGTTAAAACGAAATAAATAAAAATTAATTTTAATTGAATTTTCATTTTATTTTGGAAGAAAAGAACTTTTTTACTTCCTTTTTCTATTGCAATTTAGTCAATAATTTTTTAAAAGAAAATAAACACCTAAAGGGTCGAAGGGATGATTAGCTTTTTTAAAAGCTTTTAAAAGATGAGACAGACAGCTGACTATTATAAATTTTCTTTATTTTTTAAAATTATTTTTCTAAATTTTTAAAAATGTTTGTGGGGAGAAAACTTTTAATTTTTCTGAACTAAAATCTTTTTCATAGAGATTAATCTTTCTACATTGGTATTTTAATTATACAGTAGGAAGAAAGGAAATTCAAGTGAAATTTTACTTAATATATTATATTTAATTTTAAATTTTATTAAGAAAAGGTTGTCCGTCGATTTCGTTGTTCTATATTTGGCAAAAAACGAATAAAAAGCTTAAATCAACTTGAGTGTGCTCGGTTCTATGTCAACGCTCTGGAGTCCTTTGCCACGTTATTGTTTGCTGTAATCTTGTGCCGTGTCGCGCTGAGTAGATGGGAGCTTTAGAAATCTTAGATAGTAAAAGAAATGGTTATTATCCCATTTTGGTCAAAACAGATCTTTAATTGTACTTTTGAAATTATTTATTCATTTTGCTTTAACTTTCAAAAATTAATTATTTACAATAAATTTTACAAAATTTTAAAAAGTAAAATATGGCAATAAAGATTTAAAAATATTTTTTAATATATATTTTAATAATCAGAGAAAAAAAGGAAGAAAATTTAAGCTTTTTTGATCAATTAAAAAAAAGAGATCAAAAAATTATTTTTTATTGGGTTACAGTTAAAGACTTGGTACTTTTCCGTTTGTTAAAAAACGGAAAATGCCACTAAAGTTTTTGACCGTTTTGAACCCTTATCTCGGTACAAAGGCATCTGAGGAAAAAGAAGGGCTTTTATTAGCTTATATATGACATTTTGAGAATTAATATATGGGGGAGGGGGAGGGGGTGTAACAAAACAGAAAAGTACCAAAGACTTTTATTGGCTATAAACATATGTATAGGATATTAGGTTGATTTTTTAAATTTAGGGATAGAGATACAACTTCTAAATTTTAATTATTAAATTTTGGCTGGTTCAGGTTTATTTTTTTGGTACAAATTATGAGTATATAAGGCGTTAAAAGGAGAGATAGAGAGAGATAATATTCACCCGTTTTTAAAATTTTTTTTTAAATTTTCAAAATTTAATTAGCTTCAACTTCGTCTATTTTTGATGTTTTACGTTGTTCTTCAATTAATTGTTTTAATTGTTGTTGGTGTTGTTGTATTGCTGATTCTGCTTTTGCTGTTTGTCGACGATGTAGAGGGGCATCTTCTGCGGTTAATTCTGTTGCCGCTGATCCATCGATGCAGGCAGCAGCTGCCATTGAGGCTCTAGGGCCGTTACGCACTTTATCGTCTGGTTTGAGAGCAGTCGTGTTTTCCTGATAGGGAATAAGTAAATTAAGGATTGGGCACAAAAATATAAAAATTTCGAAATGTTAAAAATTCGAAATAGTGAAAGTTCATCCATGTTTGTGATTCCTTCGCCCTACATCACATGTTCTCTTCGCCCTAGATCCCATGTTCCCTTCGCCCTACATCTTAAGTTCCCTTCGCACCACATCCCATGTTTCCTTCGCCCTACATTACATGTTCTCTTCGCCCTAGATCCTATGTCCCCTTCGCCCTACATCACATGTTCCCTTCGCCCTACATCCCATGTTCCCTTCGCCCTACATACACTGTTCCTTTTACCTTATGTCAAATACATTTTCGCACTATGTCAGATTCCTTCGCCCTACGTTTCACTTCCTTTATGTCTTACTTCTAAAGTTCCCTCCAACCTATGTCTAAAGTTCCCAAAAACCCAATAAACTAAACTTATCCCAAAAATCGAAATAACAGAATTAATAGAAAGAGACTGTAAAACTTTAATTTACATCTGAGGAGGTAGTTCCACTCTTTTTACGATGAGGATCATCATCATGATTAGCTCCCTCAATAATTTCCTGCCCAGAAAGGTCGCATTTACATTTGCTGTGTTTGGCTTTACATTGTTGGCAATCACTACTTTCTGAGGTATTTTTATTTGTTCCATTTAAATCAACTTCTGTATTAGAGCGATTCTCAATATTCTATAAATAGAAATTAGATGAATGAAAATTTATATTTGGCTCCCTAGGTGAGGAAAGGCTATCTAAATTTCAGCCAATTCCAGTAAAACTTAGGCCAACTAACTTCTTGAAAACAAATCTCTACATAAAAAACAATAACCTAATATGTCCTTAAAAGACACTGACATACATCAGCCCTCTATTGTAAAAAAAAAACAATACATCAGCCACTAAAAACATAAATCAGCCCTCTATTGTAAATGTAACCTTGGGGTGGGAGCAGGCCAGTTTACCGCAGCCCAATTTACCGCCGCCCAGTTTACCGCGCCCAATTTACCGCCGCCCAATTTACCGCAGCCCAATTTACCGCGAGCCCAGTTTACCGCGGGCCCAATTTACCGCCGCGAAAATTTTTATTATTATGGCGGGGGAGGCTGATCTTTCAACGGGGAAAGTTGTTCCGTAGACGGGGGGAGTTGTTCAAAGTACGGGGGAGTTGTTCCTTGGACGAGTGAGTTGTTCAGACAACGTGGAAAGTTGGTAAGTCAGCGGGGGAAGTTGTCCCGTCATTGGGGAAGTTGTTCCGTCAACGGGGGAGGTTGGTCCGTCAACGGGAGATGTTGTTCAGTCAACGGAAGAAGTTGTCCCGTCAACGTCCCGTCAGCGGGGGAAGTTGTCCCGTCATTGGCTGAAGTTGTTCCGTCAACGGGGGAGGTTGGTCCGTCAACAAGGGAAGTTGTTCCATGGACGGGGTGAGTTGTTCAAAGTGCGGGGGAAGTTGGTTCGTCAACGGGGGAGTACCCTTCATTGAGACAACATAACACTTTCTTGGATCAACTTCCCCCGCAATAATAACACGGCGGTAAATTGGGCCCGCGGTAAACTGGGCTCGCGGTAAACTGGGCGGCGGTAAATTGGGCGCGGTAAACTGGGCGGCGGTAAATTGGGCTGCGGTAAACTGGGGTGTACCCCCTTGGGGTCTAACTTAAGTAAAGCAGCTGGGCTATAGCTATTTCTCTCCTTTAGCTAGTGCAAAAGGTTATTCGGCGGCTGGGAGCGAACCAGCATCTTCAGTAGACCGGACTGATGTGTTAGCCATTACATCACACCGCCTACTGCTCAGCCTTAGGAAATTAATAGCTACACTGTGGTGCAAAAGTTTATATACACTTTGGAAAATTTTTTTTAATGTACGGTATCTCGAGAAGTCGAAGTTTTATCGAGATAATTTTTTTTCGCCTAGTAGTTTAAAAAGTGCTCTTTCTAATAAGCTTTAGTTTTAAAAATAACCCCCAGTACTTATTGAGATATACACCATTTCCCAAACAGCTTCAATTTTCTTCGGTGCAAAAGTTTATATACACTTTACAAAAATTGGATTTTTAGAAAAACAAATGGCAGGAAAAATACAAAAAAAATTTTGTGAACATTTTCATCAATACTGAGTAGAAAATAAAAAAGAACGAAGTCCGTAACTGTTTTCTTCATCGAGATCTCAAATCACAAAAATCAACGGGAAAACGGGGTACAGTACTTTAAAAATTATTTTAACCCCCTAGGGCTTATATAAAAATTATCTTTTGGGCTTATTAGAAAGCCCATAAAATTTGCTACAAAATACCATTGGTCTCGTTTTTGTAAAAAAATCTGTATAGTATTTACGTGTGGGTTACTTACTGCGAAATTAAAAATGAGTAAAAATGTGGGGTATTTTGGGAGGTTTTGACCAAAAATGATAAGTTATTAAATTCCTCGACCCCTATCTCCATGAATTTTTTATCGGAAAAATTGAGCCTAGGCTATCTTATAGTAAATTTTATGGGCTTTCTAATGAGCCCAAAAGATAATTTTTATATAAGCCCTAGGGGGTTAAAATAATTTTTAAAGTACTGTACCCCGTTTTCCCGTTGATTTTTGTGATTTGAGATCTCGATGAAGAAAACAGTTACGGACTTCGTTCTTTTTTATTTTCTACTCAGTATTGATGAAAATGTTCACAAAATTTTTTTTGTATTTTTCCTGCCATTTGTTTTTCTAAAAATCCAATTTTTGTAAAGTGTATATAAACTTTTGCACCGAAGAAAATTGAAGCTGTTTGGGAAATGGTGTATATCTCAATAAGTACTGGGGGTTATTTTTAAAACTAAAGCTTATTAGAAAGAGCACTTTTTAAAATACTAGGCGAAAAAAATTATCTCGATAAAACTTCGACTTCTCGAGATACGGTACATTAAAGAAAATTTTCCAAAGTGTATATAAACTTTTGCACCACAGTGTAGATGCTTTACACTTAATCTACCTTATAAAGATGTGTATCTTACACAGAGGGTATCCAGTGGCCAAAAGGATATTAAAATTCATAGGTGGTTTATTATGGTTATCCACATATAAGGGATGGGTCGGATTACCCAAAAGGCGGTCCTTTTTCGGCATGAAACTCAACTAATAAATTTTAAGATCCGACGCGATTTTTTTTCACAACTAGACCTATCCCTGTCACATAGAATTTTGAATGTATTTTATCTTATAAATTAGTAGGGTACTCATTTCCCGAGACATTCATCTCCAAAATGAGCGAATTAAGTAAAGGGGAATATTCAAAATTGAAAGAATTCTTTTTTAATTTTCAAATAAAAATTCCACACCTTTCTCCTAAAAAGTCTCGAAAAAAATTCCCCCATCTTTGAATGATGTTGAGAATTTAAATGAGCATTATTAGCCGTTCCTGCATCTTTTCTCAAGTCAGAAACAATAACTCCATTAATATAAAAATGATTAAGCTCTCTAAAACATTCTGTTTCGATCATCTAAAATTTTAAAAAAATTAAAATTGTTTTTGGAGTTTACAAACTTCATTTTGCCAAGGAATTGAGACGGAACCAGTGTTGAATTTTTTGTAGAAATCTTTGTCACCGTCGTCCAACCTCACTCCTTTTACTGTGCTGAACTAAAAAATAAAAAAGATATTTTTGTTCCGAGTCCGTCTAATGAGCATTAGGAAAAATGATAAAGTTAACTGGTTAAACTGATGGAATTGATAGGGGAAAGGGACTAATGATAGGTGTGGAATACAAATATAAATATACTAAAATATATGTAAAATATGTAATACACCCATCAGTCTTAATGATAAGAGACAAATTAGGAAAATTAAAAAAAAATTTTAATATTGCATAATATAATCTATTTATTTTAAATTTTATTAAATATTAAATTTGCATTCATCAATTCTATTGGTTCCACTTTTAGTAAATTTGTTATTTTTGGATGTCAATTTAATAAATTGACAAATTTTCAGGAACTATGTGTGTTAGTAACAACTATAATTAAGTATCAGCTTATACTTTTAATCAACCTATACATTCAATCTTAACCCGTTAGAATTAGAATTTTGCTACTTGAAAGTATTCGAAGACTGTAAATTACCTGTTCAATATCCAATACATCTTTGGCATAAACAGAATGAGGGTCAGGACAAAATGGAGGGGCAAGCTGAAATATTTTTATTTATTTTGAATAATTTTGTTAAAAATGAGAAGAAAAATAATATCTTCTAATCACTAAACACAAAAATAACACAAAATCCCCCCTTAAATTAACCTTTCCAGCCTCCATTTTCTTCCAAGGCACAGGTTCTCTCCCCGTCCTTGCATCTGCTTGGGTAAAGAAAGGATGAGCTTTTAATTCCTCAGCTCCATCCTCAGGCCTTCCAACACGTCTACATCCCAATCTAAGTGTTGGCTCTTTATGCAGCAATCCTCTACACAAAGTTCTAGCCGCGTCAGTAAATTTTTCCCCATATTTTTCTGTATCTTCACGAACTCTTCTTTCAACCTCTTCACGCTTAACTTTTTCTTTGCGTTGTCGAAATGGAGCTTTTCCTTCAATCATTTCGTAGATTAGACAGCCCAATCCCCACCAATCTACTCCATAACTGTACCTCTCGTTTTTGACTATTTCTGGTGCTGAAAACAGAAAAATTTTTATGATATTTTTTTTTAATTTTCGGATACTAGAGGTAACGAGGTAACCTCGATCTATCGCTGCCCGACTTTTTTCTTTGAAAATTCATCTGAAGGTTAGGGAAGTTAGAATCTAATAGAGTATATATCTCGTTAGCTAAGTTTAATGGTACCAATCGACTCGAAAATTGGTTTATGGTAGACTGGCCTATTGCTGTAAAAAGCGAGGATGGGCCCAAGGATATCGAAACCTTAACTTATTTCAACACGAAATTCTGCCCGACTTTTTCTCAAACCGAACTATCATTGCTACAGCTCTCTTTTTATTTTGCGACTTTTGATATATCCAGCGAGTTTTAATTATACTCATTTTAATTTTTAAAATTTCTCGAATATCCCCCCTTAATATTCAAAAAATCTCACTCTCCTCTTTTTTTACTTTTCAATTCCCTACTAAAAAATTCCATCGTCATTTTGCCAATGACAAAGTTCCGCTTCGTTTGCTCTAAAAAAGAGCAGTGCATAGAAAAGGCAAATTCGATTTGGCCGTAAATTTAAATAAAAAATAAAAATTTTTCTAAATTTGCACCAAACAGACAAACAAATCTTTAATAAAGAGAGTAAAGGAAAAAGTTTTTCTCCTTTTTTTGAGCTGAAGGATAATTTAATATTAAAGTTTTGCATAAATAAAGTATGTAAAATAATGCCAAATTTTATATAGCAAGAGGCTAATGTAAGAATTATATGTATACAGTAGGAACTAATTATAAGATAAACGATTAGGGTTGGAAAATCTGTAAATTATAATAAGGGGTATCTTAAAATTGTGGGAGGCCGGTGAAGCTCCTCCCAGCCTAGCAATTGAAGCAAGAATGAAACAATCAGTCGTTGGGTGAGCTCTCAGGATTAAAATCCATTAGATATTTTACTATTTTCTAGGATAAGTCTTTACTCTTAGAAGCCCCCCCCCCCCCCAGAGCCTAACCAAATTTCAAAAGTGTATCTTAAACTATGTTGTAGCTAATATTGAGTGTATCTGATAGAGGTATTGAACTTTAAGATGTCCGAAGAAATAATTAATTTACCCATATAGCCAACAGTCCCAACACGCCCTTTAATCGGTTCATTGTCTTTAAGCTCTACAGCAAGTCCCAAATCGGAAATTCGGACATGCCCTTAAAATTAAATGTTTTTTTGGATTAAAAACAAAAAAACTAGCCATAATCATCAAGTAAAATATTTTCTGGTTTTAAATCTCTGTAAAGAATTCTCTCTCTGTGTAAATGTTGAAGACCTAAAGTAATTTCTGCTGCATAAAATTGAGCACGTTTTTCATCGAATCCACCAGGGGAGAGTGTGTAGAGGTGGAATTTGAGATCTCCTTAAAAATACAAGAAAATTTTCATTGATGAATGCCCTAGAAGTGTTTGGGCCTTGAGGAAGAAAAGTTTATTTTCCAATTCTTCCCAAGACCGAAAAATACTTTTAGAGATGATTGGATATTAGAATTGAAGTCAATTCAAGACATAACTCTAAAGGTCTACAAATCTGGACATATTTGATGGAGTATCTCGAAGTGGTCTCCTAAGATATAAATGGTCTAAGAGACCCAATTAGGGTACATAGAAAGAATACGCATTTGAAGATAACAGAAAAGCTCAAATTCATTTCCATGAGACTTTTGTTATTGAATTTTAGTTATACGGAGATTATCGGGTGGTTATCCTGTATTTGTCTTGAGATATAATAGTAAGATCTACGAAGTTTCCTAGCAAATAAAGCAAAAATTAAAACGATTGTCTTGCATCGAAGAGCTCTCAGAATCAATTTCTATCAAATCTTTTGCTATTTTCCGAGATGGGTTCGACCCTTAACTCGAGGAATTTATAAAGTTTACGAATTTGAATCTCTCCGAACCTCACTTAAATTTTAATTAAAATTTATTTTTGTTTTACCTCCATTCATTAAAGTCAACACTAAACACAAAGCCTCCTTTGTTTCATAGGCATAAGCTAAACTAACGACGAAAGGTGAATTTATTCGTTGAAGTATTTGTTTCTCGTTTAAAGTTAAAGATTCTGCATGTCTCTTTTTTACCCGCTTCTTTTCCAATTTTTTCAAGGCGTACATTTTGCCTGAGGCTCTGACCTTTAAATAAGATTTATTTGAATATTTCTTGAGGGGTTAGAAAATTTTTTATAATTTTTTTTGGATAAGGGTGGAGGAAGGTTTCGGAAATTTTTTAGAAATTTCTAAGGGTTTTTGAAAATTTTCAAAAACGTTCTTGGATTTCTGCACCTGACAAGCACAAAATAGGGGGTTACTGAAATTTTTTGCAATTTTCTATTTTTCTGAAATTTTTTTCAAAAAAATTTTCTTCTAATCTTTTCCTCACCTGACAAGCACAAACTTCACCAAATCCCCCCTTTCCAAGTATTCGGTAAAGCCTAAAAGTATGTTTGTCTACAGGTCTCATCTCTAGCCATTTCCATTGTAAATAACGATGAAAATAAATTGTTTCCATAAATTGCTTGAAAGGTTCGCCAGCTAATGAACGTCTGACTTCTCTGTGAAATTTAATTGGAAATTGAATTTTTTGAGAAAAAAATGCCGGATCTGATTTCGTGATTTAAAATATTTTATCCGGACCTGATTACCTGGATGGATTTTTCACCCTTTCCTTAAATATTGTATCTCTCTCTCTGTGAAATTTCTCTGTGAAAAATGGAAAAGGAAAAATGAGAGAGCACTAAAAATTTTTTAATTTTTCATAATAATTTTAGCACTAATTTTTCTCACTATCTCAACGCAAAAAATGGCTGAAAAGGAAGAAGCTTGTTAAACGCTCAATTACACCGAGCGCGCAAAGAGCTACAATTATACAGTACTTTATCTGCTTTTCTACTCTCGATTTTGTTTCGGATAGGGATTTATAGTGAACCTAGATATATTGTTGTACTTGACAAATATTTAAAAATTGAGCTTTTGGAGTCTTTAAAAAAGGTTTGTTTTTAAGGGGTTTTATTTAATATAATTTATTTCAAATTAAAATTTATATACATAAATGATGAATTCTTTTTTACGAACTGTTTTCAGTTGCTCCGTTAAATATTTTAGCATGCTGGAGCAATGCTCCAGCAGATATACATAGATTTATCTACGAAAGATGAACTGTATGTGAAAAATACCGTATATTAGAGTAAAAGGTACCCCACGTGTTCAACTAAAATAACTGTTTGTCAAATTAATCATCTAACATAAAATTCTCTAATTTTCTCCAATATTACGTTTATAAAATTACTTTGCAAGTCCAGCAAACAAAGTAGTTGAGGGTTGGCCAGTTGAATTAGCTGCATCTGTCGATATCCGCACACATTTTTGAATGAATTTATCATTGAGCAATTTATTTTGTTGGGTGGCAGAAATGGAGCTGGGTGAACAAGAAGGGGATAGAGGCTGAAATTGAAAATATTTTTAAAATTTTTTTGAACAAAGCTTTAATTAAAATGTTAAATGAAAGGGGAAGAGGAGAATTATAGAGATTTTTATCCCCGTTGAATGATTCAAAAATGCTTGAATTACGATTGAAATTCTCTCTTATATTTTTAGGTAACGTCCGAGCCTGTCTTATAAAGAAATTTTAATTCAGTTGTAAGAACAATTAATGAAGAAAAGACCTAATGATAATTAACAATTTATAAAAGGATTAATTATGCGTTAAAAACTTTTAGAATTTTACTTAATATAATTTATTTCAAATTAATTAAAATAAAACTGTGTTCAAATACGAATAACAAATATAGTTAAATTTAATAGAAAAATAGTATTTTTGAATGTTGGAGGAACTCTCCAACAAAAAAGTAAACTCTAGTTGCATTTGCGGTGTATCGAAAATTCAGTAATAAGCCCTAACTGCCTTAATCCTTCGGTATCTAGTTAGGGTGATTGAGATTTAAACGTTCATTTATTTATTTACCGGTCCGTCACCATTAACTAAAGTTTTATTTGCACTATTCTCTGTATTAGCTATTTCTGAATGATTTTTAGCATTTTGTTGAGACTGATTTCCTTCTGTTAAGGCTAATTGTTCATCAAAAAGGCGGGCCATAGCGCCAGCTAATCTACGTCTTTGTTCTGGGTCATTGTCTGGAAAAAGAATTTTTGAAAGAAAAATTTAAAAAATCAATCTAATTTATCAGGATGCCTTCTCTATTTTTTAAATACTTTCAAAATTATGAGACAAGGGAAATTTATATAATTTGACACATACTCCATTTAAAAGACCCATAATTTAAAAAATTAAATTTTTGTAAAGATGTCTTTTTAGATTGTTAACAAAAACAACTCGGAATTGATAAACGGATTTCTTTAAAAACATTTGTTTAAAATAGTTTTAGAGAAAATCTCCAAAGGAGCCATTTCTATTACACAAATTGCCACTAACTTGTACCGACATTCAAAATTAAAGGATCTAAACCCCAGAAAAATGATTTTGTATGTCGTAAATGTCAATTTAATAAATTTGATTTTTGTGAAGACTCCTTTGGATTGCTTTAAGAAATGGATTAGAAAAATGAAATCTTTGAAGGATGACTACATAAAAAGAATCTGACAATGGGTTACCCTAAACTCGCTGTGATTTACAAAAAATAAAACTGTTAAAATTGCCCGTAGCTTGTACCGGCATACAAAAATACATTGAATATAATTAGTAGGTTATTTATGTAGAATTTGAAAAATGTCAATTTATTTAACAAATTTCCAATGTAAAAGATTATATTGAGTAAAACCTTTTAAAAAGAATTATATTTAACTCCGATTATCTTGAATTTAAAGTCAGATCAGGATTTTAAGACACCCAAAGTTATTTCTAAATCTACACCTGATTTTTTGACTAATCTCAAAAGAAATATGGGAATTACATATATCTTATTGAACATATGTAGTTTCTGCTTTTAAGCTCGAGGTCATAAATAAAATTCTTGTAAAGCAGTCCTAAGATTATTCACAAAAACATTTAATTTGTTGTAAAAAAGTCGGCCTTTTTACTCCTCTAAACATGACCAGAAGAAAAAATACTCGGCCTTAATTTGCCAGAAACTAATCCTGGCATCCAAAAATAACATATGACTTCACTGCAAACTCAAAGTTAAGCTTATGATGCTAAGCTAATAATAAATTTTCAATCGAATATATCATATTAAGTAAATTCAAATAAGAATTTTTTGGCAATCAACTAAAATTTTCTTTTTCCTTACCACTAGTTTCATATTCTTCCACCCTTTCTAAAAATCGCCAACAAATAGCCAAATCTTCTTGTTTTTGTTGTTCACAAAATCTTTTAAAAAGTAACCGGCCAATTGGTTGTTTTTCGACAATAAAGGGATAACTAATTAAATTAAAGATAAATTTTCCCCACCAAAAAACTACCTCAAGTCAATGTCATTTTTTATTGGAAGACATTGTGAGTAGTGACTTGAAGGGAAAATTTATTAATTTTTTGAATTTTAAAAATAAGCTTACGGAAATTGAAGGTAATGACGCCATTTTTTACTTTTTCCTTTCCTTTGCCCACCGGTCCTGGCCTTAAAAAATACTATATTTGAAACATTCGCTAAACTGGATAAGTTAGAAATAAGGGATATGCTTTAGAAATTAGCTTTGGATAAATATGCATGTATATTAGAAAGTTTGGAAATAAAGTTTTCAAAAAATTGTGAATTATTGCAATTATTTTTAGAGGATTGTTCAAAACCCCCTCACAAAAAAATTAACACGGAACCAATTACTTCAGTAAAAAATTAAATGCTTGATTAATTAATTAAAAGAACAATTGAATTTATACATATTAAGTACTGTATAAATTCGTACTTAAGTTTTTCGGATATTTTTATAAAAGAAGTGGAAAGACAAGATGTATTGAGATTAATGAAGGAAAACCAACGAGAATTTTATTAAAAATAATTAGATAATGAGTAGAAGTTAAAATAAAGAATGCTGCTTAATATAATTTATTTAAAAGTAAATTAAATATAGCTAAGAACAAAGTTGTGATTCTTATAAATGTTTGTTTAACAATAGTTGTATAAAATATTTTTGTATGTTGGACGATTGTTCCGACAAATTATTGTTTATTTATAATTATCTGTCGATATAACGAACTTCTTATTTTATGCATTTTTGTTCGTTATATCGATATTCGACTTTATAGCCATCCGGTTAATAAAAGTATTTATTCTTGCCTTAATGTAGACCGTGTTAGCAACAATATTTTCAATCTCCATTGACCACTCCAGTTTAAAACACCGTTTCCTCTTTTCAATAGATCAGCTTAGTAAAAGCTCCTTATATTCAAAATGATGTGTAAATTATTAAAATTAATATTTTTCTCATTTAGCCAATGGCATTTTAATCGCAGAAATATTATTTTCTTAAATAGAAAAATATATAGGGAGTAAATCTATGTGGGCGTTAATAAAGGAAATGGATGAAAATTTAAAAAAAAAATAAAATGATTTGAAAAATAAAATTTTGGTGAAATAATATTGTTTTTTTCTCTTCGCTAAATGTCATTTTTAATTTATTTTTGGAAGAAAAAAATTAATTTTTAAAATAAAAAAAATTATTTTGACTATTTTAATTATAAAATTGTTAAATTAGAAGACAAAAAATTTTATTTTGCGCAAGATAAATTGAAGAAAAAAAAACTTAATTGGTGCAGGAATATGTGGGAAAAAGAGTTAAATATTCTCTTGAAAAATAACGGAAATGTATTGAAAAAAAGAGGAAAAAGGGGCAGGGGAAAGGGGGCAACCACCAAGTAATAATTGTAGTACAATTGAGCGATACGAGGAATTGGAATAAATTTATTGAATAAAAGAAACACGCGGTTGTCGAGAATTGGTAAAATGGAAAATGAATTAAAGAGAAAAAGGTAGTTGTTACTCTAGGGAAAAGTAGAAAAAAGGAATGGGAGGGGTGAGGTGAACGGGTCAGAGACAGTAGTGCGTAAGGAACATCGGGTCGGAGACATGTAAAATTGCTTAATGAAGACCTGAAGCCCTAAAAATTTGTCTGGACCTCCTCAAAAGTGTTGGCTAGTTTCTCTAAAAATTTCAGAATTTCTGATTTTGTATTTCAGAATTTATGAGCAAAAAGGTCATAACATGTTAAAATTTGACACTTAACTACGTTTTTGCCTATAACTTCTGAAATGTTCAGAATAAAATTTTTAAATTTTCAGAAAAGGTAGCTAACATAATTGAAAACATCCACGCAAAATTCCACCTTTCTAACTGCCAAAATAGCTGTTTTATAAGCCTACGTCCTACCCTACTGCGCCAAGACGTATGACTTTAAAAATGAGTACAAGCAAAAAATTCGTTCAAGAGCGGGTTAAAACAACAACGGAAACAGAGGAAAAAATAACAAAATCATCAATAAAAGAGAAGAATATTCATCAGTTATTTTGTCTTTGTACTAATACTACTTAACTCCCTCCCTTTCATTTTTTAGTTATTGTTTTACGGCTGTCACTAAGAGAGAAAGTTATAGAGTAAATTGAAGAAAACGTGACAATAATATAGTGTTATATAGAAGAAAGAGAATAGAAAGTTATATATATATATACTAATATTCGAATATTAACAAAGTGAGGATAAGTATAAGAGTTTAAATCCGTAAATAATGGAACTTTTAACAAGGAAGTATTTTTGCCAAAAATTGTTAACAATAGGAGATTAAAAATAATGAAAGATATAACTGAAATTTTGAGATTTTTTGAAAAATAAAAAAAATTTTTGTAGAATGTTATCCTATCCCTTTCACGTAGGGATGTGGTCTAAAACAGAACAAAAGAACAGAGGATCTTTCGTCTGATTTCGGTTCTGAATATCCAAATATGTATTTTTCACTAAAAGACAATCCTATTTTCACTCATACCATCAACTTTTATACAAAAACATTAGTCATATCAATTTCCAATTTCCAAAAATCTAAGATTTCAGAAAAAATACGAACAACTCAGACATGTTTTGATAAATCTTTTTTGAGGGTTATAAATGCCCCCGACAAAAATACATAGCCAATTTTGACAATTTTTGCAAAAGTGAATTTAGGTTAAGATAATTAACCAAAATGATTGAACTAATGCATATTAAGTATTTTATCTAAATCTCCAAGTTTTAAGAAATTCTGTTATTTTAGAAATGCGAGGAACAAATATGTAAGAATTTTTGATATTTATTTTTAGAGGGTTTCGCAAAACCCTCTCACAAAAATAAAGCGCTTCACTACATAACAGTTAATTAGTGTAGATTGTGAGCTAATTAAATAAAAATAATATTGAATTTATAAATATTAAGTATTTTATTTAGATTAAATTGATTCAGTAGGATTAAACCAAGACTTAGATTATTACTTATTTTGGAAATACAATCCGAACCTTCGTATTTAGAAAACTTTTTGGTTAAATTAAATTTAAAATTTTCAAAATTTTCGCCTAAGCTCTGAAAAAAAGACGTACTCTGTTTTTTTACCTTCTAAAATTTTAAAAATTTTACTAATTTTTGGTTAACTTTTTAGAGTGCCTTATAGCTCAGTCCGACATTTTAGGTTCCGACCTATTTTTTTTGCAAACTTATAATGTTGAGTAAAGCTCAAAAAACACTTATTTGGCACGGTACCATGCTCCTACATCGGACCTATTTGAGCCTAAAAAACCTATTTCGGCTTTTTTGGACCTAAAACCTATTTGAACCTATTTTGACCTTTTTAGGACCTATTTTAGGTTTTTTGAAGATTTTTATTAAAATTAGACTATTTTCTATCAATTTTTTGTTAAAATGAAGATAAATATTAATGATTCTTTCAAAAGATGATTATTAAACATGAACTTGGGGTAAACTGCACTTTACCGGGCGATTTTAGAGTTAGACAGTAAACTGCGAGCGAGTAACTGCGAGCGATTCCCCGGCTCAAGACCAAGACTAGACTCCTTTTCCTCTCTTTCCTTTGACTGGTTAACAGCTTGGCGTGCTTTTTTTGGGGCTTAAGTCATGAGAAGATCGGCTCAATGAGCTCACCAGAAAGAACTCGTTAAACCGAGTCGAATGACACCAAAATCAGCTCCATTTGATGATTCGGAACAAAATTATAACTAATTTAATCCTCGGTTGAAAAACTGTGCTGCTACAGGGGGTATCGAATGAGCGACAAGAGTCGTTTTTTAATGAGATTCGAATGTACTCCCACGAATTTATTCATTATTTAAAGAAGAAAAAATTTTTTCTCAAAAATTTTTTTGATTTTATCAATTTAGTAACCCAAAATTCGAACCTATTTGGTCAAAATTCAGACCTATTTTGGCCTTTTTTCGATTTTTTCGAACCTATTCTGCCACTTTAAAAACCTAAAATAGGAACCTATTTCTCACTTTTTCGGACCTAAAATGTCGGACTCTACTTATAGCCCTCTGGCAAATATACGCATACCACAATAAAAAATTCCAACTAATGGATGAAGGCTTGGCTAATTAAATGAAAAAATTGAATTTATGCATATTAAGTATTTTATTAAATTTCCAAGTTTAGAAATAATTCTGAAATTTTAGAAAGGTTTATCAAGAATAGTTGGAGAATTTTTGTTATTCAATTTTAGAGGGTACCAAAACCCCCTCACAAAAATATAAATTTGATAAGAAAATAATTAGCGCAATTAAGGTTGATTGTGAACTAATTAAATAAAAACAGTATTGAATTTATAAGTATTGTGTATATTACTTAAATTGATTAAAGTAGGATTAAATAATTTGAAATTTAATAATTAAATTATCCGCTTTAATGTCCAAGTTTTCAATAAATTAGAAAACTAATTGTAAGAAATATCTGGAGAAATTTTGTAATTTTTAGAGGGTTGTGAAAATCCCCCTTCAAAAATATTTTATCGACTATCAAAATTACTTGACTGATATGAATCTGATTTCATTAACTAAAAGAAAAATTGAATTTATATATATTAAGTAGTTATTAAAATTAGTATATTTGAATTGAAAAATTTAAATAAACAAATAATTATTAATTTATTAAATAATTAATTAAATATTTTATATTAAAAATATAAATAGGTAATAGGCCTAGACAGATGTTAATTTTGTTAAAAATTTAACTACATAATTCCATTTTTTAATATATTTTGATCATTTTAAATTCAGAATATGTATATTTTTCAATAATACTCTCCTAATTTTAAAAATAGTCTTTAAATTTAATTTAAAAATTTAAATTTAGAAAAAAATCTTGGTTTGTGGGTGGAAAGGATTCTTTGTCTAGTTTGAAAGACTAGAAATTTTTTTTAGAAAATTAAAAAAATTTGGGGGGAAAAGAAACTAAAAAATTCTTAAAATAGAAATCTAAAAAAATATAATAAAATAAAAATTCCTTAGTTGACAAAAAGTGACATTTCATCCCAAAATCTTTCCCCTCCTCCTCCTTAGCTTTAAAAACGTCGCCCCATTAATCTTCCAACGATCAACTTTTTCTCTCTTAAATTATTCCTCAGTTTATTCTTCAAAATTCCGTTCTTAAATCTTCAATCTCTTCGAATAAAAAATATTTGCTACATTCCCCCTCCTAACTTCCCCCCCCCCCCCCTTTCCTCCCTTCCTAAAAAAATTCCCCAAATTCTTCTTCCCGTTTCTCAATTTTCACAACTTTTTTCTTAAAAAAATCACAAACATATGTTTATAAAATGAGCAATTTTGGGAACATATGTGAAAGGAAAGATTGAAAAAAATGAAAAAAAAAGTACCGAATTTGGCCATATTAAGAGGGACTAAAAAGATTTTTTGAAGAAAAAAGGAAGAGGCGTGGAAAGGACATTTTAATGTTGGACAGGAAAAAATATTATTAAAAAAAGAGTGAATAAAAAGGAAAAAATAAAATAAAAGAGAGGGGAGAACAGCCGGCCAAGAGGAGAGGAATTGAATTGATTGGGCGGGATATAAAAATAAAAAAAGAGACAGCCGGCTTTACAGAGCCAGCTTTAGTTGACTGACATTGAGAAAGGGTAAAACGGCTAGTTGGATGGGGATAATGAAGTAGAGAAAGGAGGGAGAGAAATAGAAAGAGAAAAAGAAAATTGGAACAACTGCCCAATCCAACCCTAAACTACTGCGGTTAGGAAGGAAGGATTAAGCTTTGGAGGGATTTTGTTTAGAAAGAAAGGGATTTTTGACTTAAAAATTAATTAATAAATATTCAAAATAAAGTCGGACTTTTTATTTTTTATTTGTTGTAAGACTTTCTCCTATGAATTTCACGTTTATCATGAACTATTAAAATACTGAAAGTTCAGTCATGTAAATCTCCAAGCTTACGGACAGTTTTTTTAAAGTTATTCACACATAACAAGTTACAAATTTTCAAGAAATTCTGAATTTTTACAATGTTGTTTTTTAGCTACTGTTTATTTTTTAGAAGGTATGAATAACCCACTTTCAAAAATAATCGTTCCGAGTTTATTTACAAAGACAACTGGGCAATGCTTAGCTAAATTTATATAAAAGAAAAATAAATTAATACATATTAAGTAAAGCTGAAAAATTAATTTTATAAGTAACATATTTAGGGATTATCACACGGTACACCTCAATTGAGTCCCGACTCAATTGAGTCCTGGACCCTATAACTTATGAAGGGATGTTCACTTTTTGTTACTCTTGGTACCATTGGATTGGGCATTAAATAGGCTACAATATACCAAAAAATCAAAATTCCTGGCCGACTGGTAAAAAAGTTATGATCGATAAAATTCCGAAAAATCAGATTTTTTTGAAAAAGTTAGTTTTTAAATCATAACTTTTTTATCAATCAACCAAAAATTTTGATTCTTTGGTATATTGTAGCCCATCTAATGCTCTATCAAATGGTACCAAAATCATTAAAAATTATAGGGCCGGGACTCAATTGAGCCGGGATTCAGTTGAACTGCTCCGTTATCATATGGGAGCCACTTCATCCAGTGTCCAGCCAAATTAAAAATGTATTTAGAATTAAAGTGCAGCTAATTTTGGAGGTATCTAAAAATGAGATTACAAAAATAGTTTTCTTTCTTTCAACTTTCAAAATATTTTTAAAAAATGTAGAGACTGAAACGTCTCTTTTTTGTGAGAGTCTGACCGTAGGACTGAAACAGTTAAAGCACTGAAACGGCTGTGCTGAAGTGTCCTGTTTATTATAAATTTGTCGAATTACAAAATATCTAAATTTAAAAATGTCCAAATAAAAATTTATGAAAATTAAGCGCTTTGTTTGAGTGTTGGCCTCTATTTTTTAAAATTTATTTTTGTGTTTTGATATTAAAATTTATTTTTTTTGCTTTGTTTTTATAGGAAAAGATGACTTCAGAAAATGCAGGTGGTAGTGGAAGCATTCCAAATGTTGAGACTATAGACGATAAAAAACGAATTGCGCAACTTGGTTTGAATTTGATTTTTGAAATTTTCTTAGAATTTTCTTTTAGAACATGAAATTTTTACCGTTTGTAAACAATTGGACGAAAAAAGCGAAAAATTGAAAGAAGTTCAGCAACAAAATGCGCTTCTTAAAGAAAGGGCGAGTACTTTAGGTTTGTTTTGTTAAGCACAAATATGTGGATAACCCGAGTTTGTGTGTTGTGTTTTCTTTTCCGGACCTCATTTTGTTTACAAAATTACAAGAAGAACTCAAAATTTCGTGCTTTTTAGTTCTTTCGTATTAACTTCACACCTTGATTTTTGACTTAACTTTTTACATAATTTCATTTTATTTTTAGAAAAGGATAAGCTTGACCGTTCAAATTTTGTTGAGTCTGTTGTTCAGAGTCGTGACAATCTTATATTCGAAAAGGTTTGAATTTTGACATTATTGAAGAGTGTAGCGCTATTTTTGCGGACAGTTCCGTATTTTTTCATAGTCCGCAAAAGGCTGTCCGCAAATTCGCTTTTCAATTTTCTGTAGTGTCGAACAGGGGTGTGCCGAAAGTGATTTCAAAAAGCGAAAGGCGAAAATGCGAAAGTCATTTTAAAAAGCGAACGGCGAAAGACGAAAGTCCAAAAAAGGCGAAAATCGGCGAAAGACGAAAGGCGAAATTTTTTAATCTCCGCTATGAGTCCTAGAGATTCTTTGGTCAAGTAATTCAAAAGCCTTGTTAAGTGTTCCAAATCTACAGATAACTTTGTTAACTCAATTAATCGGGGATATCAGGGAATTTGTAGGATTAAGAAGGATATCAGAAGAGTTGAACGAATATCACGGATTAAAGGGAAGTCAGAGGATATGCCAGGAAATTTTGACTTTGATTTTTTATTTTCCGATCTAAAGACTTCTTCCTTCGTTGTCGTGAAAAGAGTCTGAGAATCCTGGGAAATCCCTGGATCCTGATCCGAAAGTTTGGAATATTCGTATTCGTATGCCGAATAGGAATTTTATTAAAGTCGTTAAGTAGCAGCTAGATTTCTTCATTTTTTAGCGCCGCAGGCAAAATTTTTGAAAATATACGGTGTCTAATGCAATGAAAATTCAATTTTTAAATTAAAAAAATAATTTTTTTAAAGAAAAATGATAAATATTTTATTTATAAAAGGATTAAAGTCTTGTCTTTAATCTTGGACTCGAACCTAACAATAAGTAAATGGTCGTAGTTGAAGTCAGACAACTTAACCACTCAACTACATATCAATTACCTATCGACAAGCAAAAAAAGTTATATATATTTATCCCCACTCGTCTCAGTTTTTCTCCTTTTCTTCTCCCAATTTTTTTTCTCTCAAATTTTCCCTCTCCCAACTTTTCCTTATATGCCGTCATTAGGGGTGTATAATAATTTCGCCTTTCGCCCGAAAAAGCGAACGGCGAAAGACGAAAGTCAAAAAAAGGCGAAAATCGGCGAAAGACGAAAGGCGAAACTCGCACACCCCTGGTGTCGAAATCTTCATTTTCCTCTTATAAACATTTTTATTTCAGACTCAATTGCAAAATGACAAACTTGCTCTTGAACAAAGGAAGGGAGAACTTGAAATGCAGATTTCAAAATTTACCAATGACAAGCGGCGTCATCTTGGTTTTGTTTTAATTAATATTTTTTAAATTTTATCTCTCACATATAGATGAAATTGAACAACTCAGAAATTTGTGTGACACTTTAAGAACTGACAAAATTCAACTTCAAGCACAAATTGACGACTTTCAATGCGAGAAGGCTGCTCTAGCTGTATTTTTATTTTTTAAAGAATTTTTGAAAATTTGTATAATTTTAAGTATGACAAGGAGCAATGGAGTCAAGAGAAGCACATTTTACTTTCAAGTAAGCAATGGTACATGGACGAGATTTCCAATCGTGAACAGAAAGTCAACGAATTGAGAATTCAAAATATTCGGGAAAAGTCGGAACTTCAACGGGAAATTGCTCTTCTCAACGAGAAAAATAGCGAACTTTCTCTTAATGCTACGAGAACTTCTAAGGCACTTCAAGAACGCGAAGCTGAGTTTGCCGAATTGAAAGAAAAAATGAAAAATGTTTGGGATTTTTTTTGAATTTTGAAAAATATTTTTTTAGGTTTTGGAAGAGAATTCAACTCAAATTAGCGAATTAGAAGCTGAATTAAGGACAAGGGAAAGACTTACTAAAGTTTATAAGGATTCGATGGAAAAGGCTGATTTGGAACTTTCTGAGGCTAGAGACAATGAATTTAGACTTGATGAGTTGGTAAAGGAGAAGGAAGAAGGTTTTTCTTTTTTATTTTTTTGTTAATTAGCTGCGTAATTTATTTTTTCAATTTACTTAATTAGTTGGGCAATTTCCAATTCGGTCATAGAAATGACCTATGGTATAACTTATGCTCCATTTTCCTTTCCCCCTCTCCAAACCCTTGTCTGCCTAGATCACTGTCGAATTTAGTCACTGTCGAAATTATCAGACACGGATTCAAAAAGGGTATGGGAACTGGAGCCCCATTATTTAATAATTTAACTGCACCTCTATTGTTTGTCAGCAAAGTTATCGGGTGGGATTTGTCTTCCCATAGGTCATCTTCCTATGATCAATTAGGGAATTGGGGATAAATCTAGGAATTAAGTAAACTGGATGATTCATATAATTCAGAATTGAATTTTTATATTTCATAAAATTCAAAATTAACATTTTGTTTATTTTTAGCTTTGTTGGCAATGTCATCAGAATTGCAAGAAGCCAAGGAAGTTCATGAAAAAATTTTGAAAGAAAAAGGTTTAGACACATTTTGTTAATCTTATGTTAATTTATATCTAAATTTGGTTAGATGATGAATTGAAACGTCTTTCAGAAGAAGTTACAAAATCTACAGAATTGTTGAATGCTGGATTTAGACGTTTGTTTAACTTTTTGTTTAATCAAAAAAAATTTTTTTAAGTTAATCGTCCAGATGAGGACATCGCTAGGATCTCCCCAGCAGCCGCTGCAGCTAGTAGTCTTTTAAAAAGTGGCATGTCTTTGACTGGAATTTATGCTGAACATTGTCGTGTTGTCAGTGAATTGGAAAAGAAAAATGCAGAATTTTCTAGTCTCGAGAAATATGTGACAGAACTTATTCAGGTTTTCTTCTTCATTTTTGGACAGTAAAGATGTAATTTTATTTTAAAGGATTTGGATTCGCGAGCACCAAAGTTCCTTGAACAACGCAAGGCATATGACCAATTGTCTGAACGTAATGAATGTTTACAGTTGCAAAAGGACGTAAGAATTTATTTTTGATAGATTTTTTAAGTCGAGGTTGGCGCAGGACAGGATCCCGCGTCCGCATTTCGATTTCAATATTTTGCCTATCTCTATTTTGAAGACTTTTCTAAAAAATTTTTTCAGTTATTGAGCAGCGAATGTCAAAAGCTTCAATCTAAATCTGACTCTTTGACTCGTGAGCTTACTTTCACAAAACGCGAATTGGAGCGTTATCAGCGGGAGCATAATATTCAACAAAAACAGGTTTTCTCAGCTGATAATTTTTCTTAAATATTTTTTTCAACTTCTAGATTCAACGCTTCCTTTATCTTTTTGAGAAAGGTTCTCTTTCATACAACGACTCTTTATTAAATGAGAGCATTGCTGATGACGATTATCTTTTTGCTAACATTAGCGAACTTCAATCAAAGAATATTCAATTGGCTGAGGAGGTTGAACGTCTTCGTGGGGAGCAGGATAAGGCAATTGAAAATTATCACAATACTGAGTTTGTTTTCTTTTGAAATTCTTAAAAGACTTTTTTTAATTTTTTAGAATTGAATTATTAAAACAATCACGTAATCAATTGCAAGAAGAATTGAGCCGTCTTAAAGAGAATTTCAGCAAGCAAAGCACGTTGGTCCAAGAATTGACTATGCAAAGAGATCAATATAAAAAATTGTATGATCAACTCAACAATGCAAATAGTAATGGAATGAGTTCGAATGAATCGACAGCTTCGGAATCTACACAACCTAATTTAATCCAGCAACCGACAATTAAGAGCCTTCAAATGGAAATTATGATGTGGAAAACAAAGTCTGAAAGATTGCAAGAAACTAATATATTTTTGAATGAAGATCGTCAATCTCATGAAAAGTATGGATTTTGATTCTATAATAGTATTAGTTTCGGACTAGCGTTGGACTTGAAATCGACCCCCACTGGCTACGCCCTTGCTGATTAATACCCTTTAATAAACAATTCTAATTAGAACCTTAAATTAAATTTTAAGGATTCTCAATGATCGTCTTGACCAACAACTTGAACAAATTTCTACTATGCGTACAACAATTGGCAAATTGGAAAGCGATCTTGAATTCCAAAACAAAAATCAACAATTGTTGGCTAAACAAATCGATTCTTATTCTCATGACTTGAATCGTTTAAATAAGCAACTTTCTGAATCCAAACGTCAAGTTGAATCGTTAGAAATTAGAAATGATTCTCTTACAAATCAATTGCTTGAAAAGCAGCAACGTCTTTCAACACTTGAGTGGGCTTCTTTTTGGATTTTTTTGTTAAATTTTTTTATTTTTTAGAGTACAAAATCATTCTTTGTCTGAGGAACGTGCCGTACTTACAAGTCGTGATCAGCGTTTGCAAGCGGAGTTGGAAATTTTGAGACAAAACCGTTATAGTACAGAGCGTGTTTCAACTTCAATTCAAGAAATGGAATTATTGCTTAAACGAATGGAAGCAGAAAAATCACATTCTATGGATAGCCAACTTCAATCAGCTCTTTTGGAGCGTGATAACCTTCGTCAACTTATTGACAGCTTGAACGAACAAAACAATCAACTTGTTAATGGTCTTAAGGTTTGAAAAATTTTTAGTAGGCTATTCTGAAAATCCCGATGAACGGGTCGGCGTTGGGCCCCACTCGTGGGATGCCACAAGCGGGGCTGTGTAAACAAAACGGGTGGAAGGGGGATGGAGAGCTGGCCAAGAGTTCTTGAGAGCGAACGAAAATTAAGATTGAACTCCTTTGGCCACTTTATTTCCTTAAATAATGATAATAAAAGGGATGTGACAGCTATATTTTTTTAAATTTATATTTTTGTAGAACAGTTTGAATGTTGCTTCTAGTGAGCGTGACAAAGCTCAGGCCGATGCTAAATCAATTCAAACTCGTTTGGACGCAATTGAACGAATTTATGAACAGTTGAAGCAAGAACACGAAACATTGAAAAATGAAATGGAACAAATTCAGTCAACAGACACAAACCTCGAAGCTTGCAAGAAGGAAATTCAGAAAATGAAAAATACAATTGCGTACCAAGAAAAGCAGATTGCTGAATTTGAAAATAAATGTGAAGAATTGAATGGAGCAATTGAAAGAAAAGATAAGCAACTTGAAGAGATGTGCCGTTTGGGGACAAATATGGAGGGAACAATTCAGGTTTTTAATTAATGAATTCAAGCGCGTAGTTAGGAGTTGATTTTATGGGAGCTAAAATAGGGTATGCGCCAGGGCTGGGCGAAATCAAAAAATAAGCGAAATGCGAAACTTTTCGCGTTGAATGCGAAAGATGTGAAACGCGAAAGTGCGAAATAAGCCCAGCCCTGGTGTATTGTCGTTTGCTTTGGCATTCCAAACGCAAATTTTTTTGTACTATATTTTTGTTTTCTATCATTTCCTCAAATTTTTTTTTTATTTTTTCATTTTAGGGGGAGGGGCTATAGACCCAGAAGCCCTCTTGGCTGCGCTCTTGAATGAATTAATACGTTTTTATATTTTTTAAATTCAGTTTGGTAATGTGGAGAGACAGCGTATGCAGGCAATTCGTGAACAACTTGAGGAGGAAATGAACAAAAAGTATTTTTTAATTTAAGATTTAATGAGTAGAGCGTATTTTTTTAGGTCCAAAAAATCGTGAAATAGGATCCTATTTAGGTCCAAAAAATTTCCAAATTAGGTCGAAAAAGGTCAAAATAGGTTCAAATTTTGACAAAATAGGTTCTAATTTTGGTTGAAATTAACACATTTATGAAGTCATATTCATTAAATTTTAACATTTTTATGATATTTTTTAATTTTAAATAGAAATTTATCGAATTTTGAGTGACTTAGCAATGCCTAACCTTAAATACCGTAGCATTTGAAGGGATATCGTGATATAAGGGGAGTTGACGGGATAAAATGGGATATCAGTGTATTTGAATTGAATAGGGATTTGGATTAAATAGTGAAATTAAATCTTCTTTTATCCTTAAAATTCCCAGATAAAAAGTTCAATAATCAGGGGAAATCAATGAAATGTCTAATATGATGTTAACCTTACAATTTTCGAGGGCAGTCCCTAGTACGATGACAGATTCTAGTTGCTACAAAATGTAGATATACCAGATACTAGCGCCGCAGGCGAAAATTTTTGGGTTTTTGTATGTCTGAATGTTAGATTTGGCGGAAATTGGCTAAAAATAATCAAATTTCAAGAAAAATTTTCAAAAAACCTAAAATAGGTCCAAAAAAAGTCGAAATAGGCTCAAAATAGGTCATAGGTCCGAAAAGGCCGAAATAGGTTTTTTAGGTTTTAATAACCCAAAAAGTACGTTACACTATGCGGTAAAACAGTGTTTTTTCGACTTATCTCATTAAGGGCTGTCCGCAAAAAAATAGGTAAAAACCTAAAAAAACATGCTCTATTAATGAGTTTAATTTTTATTTTTCTAGTAAATTATTAATAGAAGACTTGAGAAACGCTGTTTCAATAAAGGAAATGGAATTACTCAGCCAGACGAAAAATTTGACTGAAACTAACAACAAACTTGACGAATTAAATGCAAAAACCGAACAATGGATAGTTGAGAAGGACAAAGAGACACACGAATATAAACGTGTTATTGATCAACTTCGCCTTGAGAACGAAAAACTTCAAAGCGATTTTGAGAGGGTTTGGAATAAATTTTTTTTTATTTTTCTTAAAAAATTTTTTTAAAGGTCAATTCAAATTGTACTGACTTTTCTGAAAATAATTTGAGATTGACTACTGATTTGGCTAAGGAAATCTCGAAGAGTGAAACCTTGACTCAACAAATTGCCACTTTAGAGAAGGATTGCCAGGATAAGTGTGAGAAGTTCCAAAAATCGATTGTATGTTTTTAGTAAATTTTTCAGAGAATTTTTCGACTTTTTCAGGATATTTTTGAACAAGAGAAGCTTCGTCTTCAAGATGAAATCAACACTTATATGACAAGAGACAAGGAACATTTGGAAAAGCAGGCATCTCTTTATGATGAAATTCAAGAGCTTTTAAAGCGAATTGAGTTTATGGAACGTTTGCAGCACACTATTGCTTCCCCATCTCCAAACACCAGTTTGAATGTTTCTGCAACAATGTCGACATTCTCACCAATCTCGTATATTTTTTTAATTTTATTTAATTTTAAAAAAAATTGTTTTCTAGACGTCTTTCAACTACCGGAATCGAAACTTCAACTCAACAACATACCGAACGAATAAATGCAATTATTGGTTATATGCGAACAGATAAGCAAAAAGAGACAGAATTGCGTATGTCTGCTGAATTAGAATTGCAACGACTCCGTGCCAAATCTACCGTTGATCAACAAAAGATTTTACAATTGGAATCAGAAATTTCTAAATTAACCAATGAAGTTGAAATTAACGCAAAAATTGCTGTTGAAAAAGAAGAATTGTTAACTCAATTAAATTCTTTGAGAGAAGTCCAAAATCGTTATCAACAAATTAAAAAATCGTTTGACGAATTAAATGAACGTTTTACTTCAACAAATGTACTGGCACAAGGATTGGAAGTTGAACAAGCAAAATTGCTAGCTGAAAAAACTGAATTAAATTCAAAATTGGAAAATATTACAAAATTGTCTAATGGTAGAGCACAGCAAATTAAATTGTTAAAAGAACGTTATGATAGGGCAATGGCTATGGCTAGCAAATATTCGCCTGAAATTGTTAATTCGCTTCAGTATGATTTTTATAAAATTTAAATGAATTTTTACTAATTTATTTAATAGGGGTGATAATGAAAAATTAAAATTGGATATAACTCAAAAAGAGAAGGACATTGGAATTTTGAGGAAGGAATGTGATCGTTTAACTGAAGAACTTAAGAAGATCAAGTTTGTTTATAATTTTTTTTAATTCTAGAAGGGTTGGGAGATGATTTTGAGGGGTGATGTTGTAATTTGGGTTTCTTTTTGGGTTTTGTGGACATTTTAATAAGTCTTTATTGTTCGATAATTTAAAAAGCATATTTTTGATAATTATTTTTTAATTTGGTTTCAATTGTCATCCTTAACTAGATTCATCACTAGAGGACGGAACCCTATATTACTGGATTCCGCACTGAAAAATTGCATGATCCCGCTCCGGTATCCCGGGTTTAAGCAATGAACGGGGTTAATCCCGCGGGTTCCCGTCCGATCTTTGAAAAATCCCGTTTCTAGATCTTGGAAAAAAATCGAGAAAAAAATCAAGAAAGACTGAGATGCGCTTTATAGATTTAACAAAAAACAGTCTTTTGAGTTTAGAAATCTGACAGTCAAATAGACAACCATTTTCGGTCCAAGGGTTGGAATTTTTGAGTTTTTTACTTTTTTTCTAATTTTATAGGAAGAAATGTCTAGTTTAATAATAAAATTTTTTTCAGGGATGAACATAACACACTTACGGCAGAATATACCAAAGCTACTGCAACGCATAAAGCAGCACATGAAAGTCATCTTATGGTCAAACAGGTTGCTAGAAAAATTCGCGAAGAAAAAATTAAACTTTCCGAAGAAAATGTTAAACTTCAGGTTTTATTTTTCTGATTAAAATCGTTAATTTAATTAAATTACATGCCTTTTAAATTAAAAAAAAGCTTTTTTCGATCGATGAAAATTTTCATTCTACTATACTGGATATTAGGGGGAAGGGGTCGTTTTATTTTTTCATATTTTATCAGTTCCCACGGTTATTTACCAGTGTTCTCCATTTCAACATCTTATAATTAGTTAAATTTTTTAAATTTTTTTAGGAAGAACTTAGAGTTGTTCAAGACCAATTGGTAAAGACTCGGGATTCTGTTGCTGCTGCCGCTGCAGGCTCTTCAAATGCCGAAGCTGTTTCAGCTATACAAGCTGAGAGGAAGGAATATCAGACAAAAATTGAGGAATTGACTAAGAAAATTGAGGTAATTTTTGGATAGAATTGAAAAAAATTTTTTTGTGCTTTTAAAGACGTCAACTCAACAAATTAAGGAATTAGAAGCTCAAAGAGACGAATTATTAATAAAAATTGAGAATCAACAAAGGGATATTGAAGACGCAGCAGAGAAGGTTATGCGAATTGAAATGGTTGAAAAAGCTTACAAAAACAGTCAAGAGAAGATTCGACAATTGGGAAGTGAAATTAAACAGTTGAAGGAAGAAAATGAACAATTGAGTAAATTTGGTAAGAAAAGTACTATAATACAGACAAACCTCATTAAGTTGGAGGTTTTTTCAGGCCTCATTAGACCTTATTTTTTTTTCATTACCTCACCTTATGGGAACTAGGCCGTTTTGGCGCGAGCTCATAAGATAGCGAGTTGGTTATCAAAAATGATAAAATTTGTCAATAATAACTCACCTACCTTTCTCTAAGTTCTCCAAAAATTTCAGAATTTTTGAGCAAGAATTGCAGAAATTATCGCCAAAAATGTTGATTTTCTGCAAAATGTCTAATTTTTCAAGGTCTATCGACTATAACTTCAGAAATTTTTGATGAAAAATTCTGAAATTTCTGGAGGAGGTAGTCAAGGATGTTAATGAAATTTGAGAAAAAATTTACGAAGTTAGGTCTTGCCTAAGTTCCACATTTTTGTCCTCGCGCCAAAACGACCCCAACCCCACCTCACATCAGCATATCATACATCTTCAGGATCGAAAAATTATATCTCTAATGAGTTTCTTATATAGGGCATCGTTTAGTCCGTCAACCAAATTTCTAGAAACATTAAATTGAGGGTATTCCGGAATGATTATACCTTATGTGGACTTTCGATTATGACAATCTTTGAATATTTATTGAAAAAAAAATTATTTTTAAGAGGCAAGTGAAATTGGTGAAGGAATAATTGACATTGACGACATTCCTGTTGCAGCAGCTACTGAAGCAGCACCAACTTCTTCAACAGATAATAACAAACCTGCTCCTGTTGAACAACAACAACAAGTTGAACAACAATTATTAGAGAAGACACAAGATTTTGTTTCTACTGAATTTCCTATTCAAACAGGAACTGATGGGTTGAATGAACTTAGTTCTGGAGAGAATATCCCAGTCTCTTTTGATGGAAATAAGCAAGAAGAAGTTGCTGGATTTTATGAAGAAAAAGGGGAGGAAGGAGAGGAAGGGGGAGGTGATTGTGATGATGTTGATGAAATTGTTGAGGATGAGGAGCAAGAAATTTTTGATGAGGAAGGAGGGGAAATTGGTGATGATGAATTTGAAGTTGGAGATGAGGAAGGAGTAGAAGATGAGGAAGTTGATGTTGAAGAAGTTGGGGAGGATAATATGGGACATAATTTCGAAATTGAGGGACCTCCTCGTAAACAACGAAAAATGTTTGAAGAGGAACAGCCTGAGGAACAACAAGTAGGGAAAATTAATGAATTTTTGTCGTTCTTTTAAAAAAAATTTTTTTTCAAAGGAAAGCGAGACAATGAAAAGTTTTGGAGAAAATGAAGGAGAAATGAAAGTGGATGAAGAAGAAGATGGAGGAATGAAAGAAGAAGAGGATGACGACGATGATATTCAACTTCTTTAAGGGCTAGTATTATAAATTCTTTTTGGGATCTCTCCTATCTATCTCTCTAAGAGAAAGGATTTTTAAATTTTATTTGGATGTTTTCTAAATTTTTTTCTTATAATTGTTTTTTGTTTTAAATTTATTGACGGGAATTTTGACATAAATGATTTAAAAGTAACAAAGGAATTTTTTCTTACAAATTGGTTGTGTGTTTGATTTAGTGGGATTTGTCAAAAAGAGCCTTGGGGTAAGCAAAATAATAAAAGGAATAAATCCTACTTAATATAATATATATGAAATTAGATTAAGCTTAGCTATAGTCAAAGTCATGACATTAGAGCTTTCATTCTGTAGGGACAGACATTATATTTTTGTATGTTGGAGCATGCTCTGACAATTTTTTAAGATTTCTATCTATCTCCGAAAAGTTGGAGCCCAACTTTCAGAAAAATCATGGAGCCCAACGTTCCGGAGCCCTGAGCTCAGAACACCAAGAATTTCTTATGAATTGGCTGAGTGCGTTTGATTTTCTTTCGTGGGTTTTTTGAAAAATGCCGTGGATTTCATTTTAATATTCGCCAATTAGCATAGCCAATTTATGGTGTTGGTCTATTTAATGTTAATTATTTCAATTAAAAAATATATAAATTGTACAGATGATACGAGTATTTATGGATGGAAAAAAAGCATATTTGTTCATTTATTTTTGAATGTTGGCAAAATACGCTGACAAATTTATCAAATGTTAAATCACTACAAATTCATATAATGTATTTATTCTAATAGAATGTCTCCCAGTGAATGGCCCTTTGTAATACAAATCACTCAATTCACATTTATTCGTTATTTAGTTTAATATTCCCTTTTAATGGTAATTATCATAATATTTTTGAGTATTTTTTGAGATTTTCTAATCCAGTGTGCTTTGTCCGAATTTGTGTCAACTTTTAGTTATTCCGAATCCCTATTTCGAATCCAAAAAATTCGACTAAGCGAATTAGGAGTAAAAAATTCGAAATTAAAAATTTCGCGCTAAGCTAACACAGCTATTCGAGTTAAGTCATGTGGTGTTAAAATTATGTCTTAACAACTTTAGACGATGTTATGCTGGTTTAAGGGTATAAGTATATACACAATATTATATTTTTTAATTAAAAGTTTTCATATTTTACTCAATTTGCATAGCAACATTCATCGTTTTTGGTATAATGATATATTTTTATATATTTTTGGATGTCAGCAGTTGCTGACAGATTTAATCTGCCTATTTAATCTGTCGTGTGGGAAGATGGGTGTTTTATAAATGTGCTTGTTCGAAAAATATTTCGATTATAAATTCAATCATGACTAGAGACCAAAATTTCGTTTTTCAAAGAAATTTTTTTGCCTGAAAATTTTTCCCTCTAGTCTAACATGAGGATAACAAATTTTAAAAGAAAGTCGTGCAATTCCTGGATTATTTTCAATTAACTAATGAATGATAATTTGTAATATTAACGATAATCTAATAAATCTTGTTATTGCGTGAAATACCGGTTAGGGTTTTCAATTTCTACGGGTCTACTTTGAGTGATTTCTTGTTGAGATACTTGAAGTCAAAAAATATTTATCTTAATACTAAATTTGCTACTTACCAGTCGATCAGTACCAAAATAAGATCAGTACCAAAAATATAGAATTTAATTAAAAATTTAAATGCGTGGATTTATAAATAAATATAATTTTTCTAGCGTTTAAAAATTGTTTGTTCATATTGTAAAAAATAAAAAAAGTTTTTTTTACTATATAAAATTTTAAATTTACAAAAAACGTTTCCTTTCTTATAGTCAATTTATATACCATCCGAAAGAGCACATCGAACTGAGTCGAAGAGAATAAAATTTACAAAAGTTGACTTAAATTAACAAAGTTATGTCCATTTATGTAACCTTTTACGTATGGTTCACGAAGGAAAAAGAATGTACTGTTGCGGAGGAGGCCGGGCATATCGGAGTGAACTACGGCCGCAGCTTCGTATGGTACTGATAAGAACTATATGTTTCAGTACTTACCGTCGTAGCGAAGAACATGCCTGGCCTATTCTAGGGAGCATCAAGAAAGTTTTATCTGCGAAGTTGAAGTGGTAATAACTTTGTTCAGATGTCATTTAATTGAATTCGATGAGCTCTTTCAAATGATTTTTAATTTACTGATAAAAATTTTTTTGATAATTTCCAGTGGATACAAATCCAACAAGTACCAAATTCTATTAAATTAAATTTAATATTTATTTTAAAAACTACTCTTTTTATCAAAATGGCATTTAATTTTTATATTTTATTCATCATTTTAAATATTCACAACAATTTTGTTTTAAACGAAATATCTAATTTTAATGAAAATACAAAATGTGAACAAAATAATCGAAGTGGAGTTGGGTTGGTTTTTGCAGTTTCCGCCTTTTTTTTTTGGCTCCCTTCCCACTTTTTTCATCTAACGTCTCAGATTTTTCAAATTAATCTGAGACCGATTTTCACAAGCTCGTACCAAAATTCGTACTTGTACGAGCAAAAATAGGGGTGGTACGAAGAAGAGGTGGATTGGAATTCCGATTTCCGACGTTTTTTCCTTCCGATTTCCGAAATTTTAAAAAAATTTCAGATTTCCGAAAAAAAATTCTGATTTCCGATTTCCGACTTTTGAGCCAGTTCCGATTTCCGGCTCTTCCGATTTCCGACACCTCTGACTGTTCCGATCCACCTCTGGTACGAAGTACGTTTACAAACAAATCTGAAATTTAATAGTCTAGTCCAGATCCCATTTTTACTGATTTCATTTGCGGCATCTTTACCGAGAATTAAATAAGTAACGTGCTTGGCAGGGTTCAGTGCTGGTACCGGTATGGTACTGATAAGAACGATATGTTTCAGTACTTACCGTACCAAATCGCAAAAATTTTTTATTTAATTTTTAAAGGAATAATTACGTGTCTTATGGTGCTCTAAGTCGTGATGTACAAAATCATAAAGCCCAACCACTACAAGTCAACAAATATACAAGAGGTTGTGAGAAACTAGCTGATTGTCGTAGGTATGGTAGTTAAAAATGAAAAGAATAAAATAAAAAATTTTTTGAAGTTCAATGATTGAAAGCCGGTCAACACGCATACCAAAATATTAAATAAAAGACACAAAATATTTGGATGAATTGTGTATAAATTAAAAATAAATTTTATTATTTTTCTCTGATTTAAAGTCTATATATCTATTTAATTCCAAAGTATGCGGAGTCGGCTTCAGTAATAGATACCGATAAAATCTATTTGCCTGATCCGGTCAACTGAAGATGCTGATTCGCTCACACCTTTGATATTAAATTCCATCTCATTATTTAACCTTCGTTCAAATTTTAATCCTTACTTTTCATAAAGCATTAATAAAGCATTAAATTTATTTATTTTTAAAATTACTAGAATGTATGAGTTAACTCTGGATCAGGGAAAAAAAAGGAAAATGTCAAACCTCAATTCTCAGCTTAAGGTCAGACACCTCCATCGGTTGCCAAACCTAAGCTTTTTGAACTTTCAAAATTATGTTTTGTCAATAATTTGACGGAGAGAGAAAATTTGTTAGAGCAATACTCCAACATTCAAAAATAATTAATGGATTTTCAATGCCCAAGAAACGTTGCCAATACCTTTGATTATATACATATGTATTTAATTAAAATTGAAATAGAATATATTAAACAAAATTCAGTCTTATCAAACAAAAACTCCCTAGCTCTTAGATCTTCTCTATTTGAGAAGATCTTTATTTAAAAAAAACTTTTTAAATTTATTTCAGACAATTCACATAACATTTAGTATTTTATTTCAAAACTTTGCACAATCTGGCAAAAATTTTAACAAAAAAAAATACCGTAAATACACTAAGTGTATAGCCTAGGGCTTCTATTAGGATATTTACGGTAACAAAAAAATCATTCATTGAGTAGATGTTGTTCTATTAATATCAACAAAATTAGTTAATAAACTGGGATCTTTTTCAATTTCACAAATTCCTTCAACTTCCCTCCCTTCATTTTCTTCCAAACAATTTTTAATATAAAAATTTAATAAATGGGCATAATTACTATTCCAATCCCTTTCAAATAAATTCTTCATTTGTTTAAATATTTGAGGAATTTTTTTTCTTTTTTCTGTTTGCTTCAAAACTATAGCTACTCCAGTGCCTAAATCTTCAAAATAATCTCCGGACCAATTCGAAGTCCCAATAATTAAAGTGTCGTCGGTCATTAAAAACTTTTTGTGGGTTCTTCTGTCTCTTTGAAGGACTGGTTGGTAGGCAAAAGAGTCTGCTGGGACTTTGAATATTTTCTGAAAGAAAAAAAATTTGGAAATAAAGAGTTATTGCTAGATGTTTAAAAATTTATAAAAAAATCTGCTTAATATCAATTATTTTACGTAATATTTTTATTAATCTAATTAGTAAGCGATTTGAATACTATAGTGTTGAGGGCAAAGCGATTTAATATTTTTGAATATCAATGCATGCATTGATAAATGAACTGATTTATGGAGGTTCTGATTTTAACTGAAAAATTATCCAACGTTTACTTTAATGGTGGCTAATTGTGTAGGAAATGGAAGCAAAAAACGGTGTTGAACTTGACGATTTTAAAACGAAATTTTGATATTTTTGCCAAAAGTTGACTGTTTTTATGTAAATTTTGAAACCGTGACTTTATGAGAATGAGTGTTTTAAAAAATTCCCTTAAAGACTCACGACAACGGATCTTTACAATTTTAACTTATAACAAAATTAACTTACAACCGTAACAGAACCAGCACCGCTTCCCTGTCTTTCACCCAACACTTCCAACGATTTTAAAAATCCCAATCCTTTACTAGGAAAATGCAAAGCTGTTGAGATTATTTTAATTTTGACGCCTCTAAGAATAGCTTCTCTTATAGCGTTATCTATCGGCGGCCAATACTTTCCTTTTTGTGTATATAAAAATATTGGGAAGTAATCCATGACGTGAATTAAAATAAAAGTTTTGGCATTTTTTATTGCTTCAACAATATCGTTTAAATCCCAACTTCGCCTCGGACTGTTTAATGAACGTGGAGATGCCTTTAAATGAAAAACAAAATTAATATTGGATTCAAATTAATTTGCCTCTGCTGTACCCCACCGGTATATCCACTAGACTGAGGAAATATCGTAAATCCGGGATAGCCATGTAGGGATTTTTTCAAAAGGACAAACGGGCGGATCCTAAAATCCGGTATTCCAGGATGGATCTCGTAAAATCCCGGATAAGATCCCGTCCCGTGGCGCATAATAATTTACAGACCTATAAGGCTCACCAGTCTCGTACAGGCTTTGTGGGGGTAGATCTAAAATTTTCTAAATTCTCCATCTAAAGCATTAGATTAAAAACACTCTTCCTCAAATCACCATTAAAGGGATACTGTATAATATGAAAGAATTTTTGAGCTCTACTTACAAAACTAAGCAACAATAATAATTAAAAACTTACAGATAAATGCACATACAATTTATTATTTTCCCCATCAAAAATAGCCAAAGGCTTTTGTGAATTGTAAAATGCTGGAGGCATTTGTTGTATCATTTTTTGGACTTCTTTAATTAATTTTCAAAAAATATTTTTTTAATTCGACTACCTTTAGCACATTTCTTTACCGATGCTTGCCAATAAATTTCAAAAATTCTGGCCAAGTCGCGGCTTAGACAGGGACAATCCTGCACAAGCACACCCATTTCCATTTTCTATGAACGAAATGTAATAATTATTACTATATTTGTCATTGAAATTTTTAACATTGAAATTTAACATTTCTTTTCGAGGGATATCAGGGTAATGTAACGATATAAGGATTTACGTGGATATCTCCAATATATCTCCTCAAATTCCAACTTCATAGATATCTTCTTTATATTCCTTAACCCCTTCACTAATAAAAAATTTACGGGCAAATTTAGGAGAGTTTAGTACACTCCGCCACATAATTATATGAACACTTTGGGTTTATGTATTTCTAAGTGCAGGAAAAATCTAGAAAAATTCCAATAAACTTATCTATCAATACTAAGATTAAATAAAAAAGAACTAAGCCTTTATATGTTTTAAGTGTCGAGATCTCGAATCCCTAAAATCAACGTAAAACAGGGGTAAGCTGCTTCGAAATATTCCTTTCATTTTTTTGCTTCGTAGGCGAAAATTTTGGGGTTATAAAGCTCAAAAAATAATATTAAAGGTTTAAAATTCGCCGACTTTCGGGGACTGGGGGTCCAATAACGGGAGTCCAATAATAAATCCAATAACAAATAATTTGATTTATAAGACACTTTACTTCGGTAAGAGTTAATTTGGGTAAACTCTAATGAATAGAAATTACTTGTGTCAGAGAGCGCCAATCCAAATTAGCAGATCCCAAATAAAAATGTTTATTATCGGCAACAATAACTTTTGAATGCATAACTCCCGTATTAAATATTTTTTGTAGATTAAGTACCCTTCTATTCAAAACACCTCTTTTGGCCAAAGAAGTTCCATCTTCATTATCTCCCTTAAAAATTTTTTTGAAAAAAATTTTTTGACTTAACTTTTTAACCTTATCCTTAGCCACAGCATTCTCAACCATCTTTATTTGTATTCCTCTATCGAGTCCAGCAGCAATAAGTGCTTCAAACATTTTTTCGCCCTTTAATTAAAAAAGGAATAATTTTGAGATTTGAAAAGAAAATTAGGAAACTCGTTGAATGAGATTTATAAATAGACCTTCACAAATATCAAATTTACAAAGAGGATAAGAACTGAGAAAGTCAATCCTGATTTTGGAAATCAAAGTTCTCAGCTATCGAGTTATCCATCTCGATTCCATATAAATCTCCTAGTCCTTTCTCTAATTAGGAATACACAGCAGGACAGAAAACCAAATTCTCGATTTTCGAGGATTGTGAATTCCGAAAATTTCGAATTCACAATTTTCGTAAATCGTGTCTCGGGTCGGCGCAATCCCTGATACACAATGAATTTCCATACAAATTTTTTTCATGCATTGTTCTCTTCGAGGGATGCGTTAAATTATTATTTTTGTCCTTGTTTCTTTCAATTTTTGCTACAGAAAATTTTCCAACTTTCTATAATTTCTTATTATCCTCCCGGCTCTATTTTAATCTTAATATTATTCTGAGTTATCTCTCTAAACAAAAATCTCATCTGCATGAATGCCCCTTTCTGAGAGAGAATAGTACAGTAATTTAAAAAATATTTTTCCTCTCACATTACCTGAAAAGAAATATTGTTCAAAGCCTGCTCGCCAAGAACGTGTTTTCCTTTAAATTTCTTTTTAAAATCAAAATTTTATTTCAAAAAACCTCTCAAACTCGATTTATATGCAGCAATTAAAAGTGAATTTTTAGCTGAATTAACAAGTAAATTCCAGGCGGAGAATGTAGACAATGCTGGCTGTTGGGAATATTCTACAGGAAATGTGAGGTTTTGGGCAATACTTTCGACTAGTTGAATTCTTTAAAATTTAAAAAAGAATTTTTTCTGGAAACAATTAAAAGTTTGATTATGGGGGATTTGCCTGATTATTGTAAAGAAGGAAGATTTAAATGGCTAGGATTTAATACAATTACTAGGTAGTGAGAGAATCGACTATGACAATAACCGTCGGAAGGTCGCAGTATTGCAACCTGGTTCAAAACTTTTATCTCACTTTTAAATCCACAGCTTCAAAAGTTCATGATGCTTTAACAATTTTACTTAATATAATTTTTTTATTTTTATTCCATTAAAAATAATTTTAAGATTTATAAATTTAAAGCCTTTGGTGCCTCATACGGATATTTTTGAATACCAATGCAAAGCATTGGTAATATATTTTTAAATTTATTCTTGATTGACTGGATTAAGATTGTGACCCAAAAACTAAAAAGCTAAGTACTTAAATATTTTACAAACCTACAAGTCCGTGAACATTCCAATTCATCCTGTTGAACAGGCATATAAGCAACAGGCTCCAACCGATTTCTAAATCTTGTAGAAAAAGGTAATTGCCATAATAAAATTGTGGCAATACCAAAAAGTATTCCACAAACAATTATTTGGGCAAAAAGAAGGAAAGAAGAACTGTCAGTAACAGACCCTTCTCTCCTTTCAGAATTTGTTTGATTTTGAATCGAATTTCTTCTAAATTGCTGTTGGAATGCAAAACTGGTAGAGACTTGACAGTTGTTTTTTGACTTTGACAAGTTATCTGAATTTTGATGCTTTAGGTTGTTGCTTCTTTCCTTCTCCATTATTTTTTAAATAAAATTTCGAGAAAATATTTTTATTGAATTTTTAAAATTATTTAGATATATCTTAATTATGAAGCTTCATTAATTATTCATAAGAAAAAAGACTCTCTTCACAAGAGCTTATAAATTTCAATTTTTCTTGTACTCGTACTTCGTACCACCACTAATTTTGGCCTCATACTCGTACTTTGTATCAAAGTACGAATTTTGTAGGATTATATAAGCTCTGCTCTTCACGTGTTACTCTACTTATTTACTCGAGATTAAATGATCCAAACTTTAAGCATATGTAGCACTCCGATCTCCCAGGCCCATTTAAAAGTGTCTCAAACCGTGGTACTCTCATTATAAAATTTTGTGATGCTTGACCGTCTTTATTTGAAAACAAATAATTAGTATTGAAGTATACTTTATCTACCCATAAGGGTCTCTTATATCGAGATTTGATTTTAGCTCTTTTATTCTCCCCTGTAATTCTACTTATTTACTTGAGACTTATTAACAAATTTAATAAAAATTCAGCTCTTGTATACATAGAATGTTAAGATAAAAAATAATGAAAGAAATATTTCTCGGACCATATTTTTATATACAAAAATCTAGTTAAATGATCTTTAAACGTGATAATTATCTTATGCCCCTCTCATTTCAAAATTGTTCTTTTTTGTAAATTTTTGGCTCAATTAACGTCAATTATCAAATGTTTAAGACAATTTTAGGAAAATAAAACATTTACTTATCACTCCATTGACGTCAATGGAAGAACGGTGAAAGAAAAAGGGTCCGAAATTCGTGGCACATTAATAAAAGGTACACTATTGTTGTCTATTTTTGAAAAAAAGATAATTTTATTTACTTAAAAAATAAAGATAAAAAAATTTATTGGGTTAATAAGGCGCGAAGACATTACGGCGTGAGCATTTAAAAATTTAACATAAACTTAATATCTTTGAATTTTTTTACTTATAATTCTAATAATGTTAGGCCTCTTTTCTATGAATTTTAGAATTTTTTGATTATTATTTCCAAAGTTATGGACAAAAAAAGGACTACTAATGTACAAGCTTTTCCGATTTTGGGTACTGAAATACAAAACATATAAAATTCCATGGACCCGCGATTTATTTTAAAAAGCCTACAATTTACAAATTTAGGTGACCGCATCATAAAAAATCAGTAAAAATCGTTACTACTTTAATAAAAAATCTTTTAAAATTTTTGAAAAGATCAAAATAGTTTAAATTAGTTTTTAAAATGAGCTAGGCACTTTAACTAATACAAAAATTATTTAGAACGACAATTTGCCAGCTGAATTAACTGGCATTCAAAAATATGAACGTGACTTTGTCAATAAATACAAACGGCACAGCTATGATCGAAAATAAACATTTACTTTAATATAATTTAAATAAATTATATTAAATACATTTTACTATAAAATTTCATCTAATATTGTCGGTTTTAAGAAATACTCTAATAATACTTTGATTAAAATCCTTTAAAATTTTTGAAATGATTGAAAGAGTTAAAAAAATTAAACAAAAATTTGCGCATAAAACCTTGTGTCCAAATAAATTTAAAAATAAATATATTTTTAAAAAAGTAAACAGATGTTATCATTAAAAAGAAAGGAAGAAGAGTTGTTGTTTATTTTTGATAAACTCAACAACAACAAAAAATTTTTGTTGTTAAAAAATCTTTAAAAAATTGGAAAAGTACACAAAGAATGATTAAAAGATTATTAATAAATTTATAAAATAAGATGATTGAAAAGTAATTATGAGTAGCAAATAATAATTATGAATTGACGTCAAAAAATTATTTAGTAAAAATAATTTGATAAGACGTTTTTTAGAAGAACTATTTTTAAAATTTAAGTTAGAATAATTATCTATAATTTAAAAAATTTGAATCGAATTTGTTAAGAGAGGCTTGTATATTTTTTTAAAATCATTTTTGGCATTATGAAATTGTTCATGATGAGGTTAAAAATTGACCTTTTTTAATTGCCCGAGGCTATTTATTGACAAATAGGAGGAACCAAAATATTTCTTCCTCATAAGCATGTTGGTCATCTACAGGTCATTCTACTTCCCCAGACAAATTTCAAGCTAAACTTAATTTATGGTTTATATGGGAGTATATTTTACTATTTAAAATCCATTCTACATATACCTTTAATCAAATATTTAAAACAAAAAAATAAATAGGTAAAATTTCAATAAATTTAACATTTTTACTAAAAAATTTAAAAAGAAATGATGGAAAATACAAAAAGTCACAACAAAAACAAAAATAAATTGCTTCTACCTCTTGAATTACTTTTTGATATAATTAAGGCAGCTAATAAAAGGCAAACGAATAGATACGGAAAATATCTTTGATAATTAGAGAAATGAATGGATATTCTGGGTTATTATTTAGTAGAGATTCGGGATCGGTAACTCAAATAATTCCATATTTCATTGCTGGCCTTGTTGGGTTCTGAAACGTACAAAAAACAAGATATATTTTAGCGTTCTGTCCATATTTTCCATATTTAGTCCATATTTACCAATTTTTTTTACAATTCTGATTAACATTTCTTCGAAATTTTTCCATATTTTGGCGTTTTTTTTTCATATTTTTCATATTTCAGTCACTTTTCGAGTAAGGATGGTGGTTCCTAGAAAATCTCCGGATATCCGGAACGGATATCCGAACCGAAAGTTTCCGGATATCCGTGGTTTTTTTGGTTCCGGATACCAGGAACCGCAAACCTTAATTTCGAGATCATTAGTCCATTATTATATATACATATTTCCGATTGATATTCCAAATAAATCCTAACCAGCTCATTACCGAGCTTTTTCGTTATCTTGTTATAGTTCGATATCTAGATATAGGTAACTCGCATACGTTCCTGCAGTGAGAGAGATACTCATCCCAAACGACATTCAAGATTATGCACGATATGTACTTCAGTTCATCGAACCCGAACTGAAATTTTCAGTTAACCGAAGCGAGTTCGGAACGGTTAACTCTCTGTCAAAACCCCTCATTTGTTAAACGCCAGTCTAAAATTTTGAGAACTTCGGAAAGCCAACATCGGGAAGCCAAGTCTTCAGCAACCGAAACCAAATTATTAACTTTCGATTTTTCATCTTAAGGTTTGACGAAAAATCAAGATTCAACTTCTATAGGTCAAGGTAAAAGCTCTGCGGTATACTGACTATGACAGAAAAGGATATACATACTTATTAAAAGGAAGTAATGACCGAGTTCCCGTATCTATTCTAATGTCTGTCAATACCAGACATGATTCAAAAAATATTATTTATACTAAAAATAAGGCAATGATATTAGAATTGAAAGAATATTTTATTAAATTAATGTCTTGTTCTACAATATTATATGCTTATTTTGGAAAAAATTTAATAAAACTTTTTAGAAAATTAAAGGTAAATTTTAATTAAGGGAAGATATTGAATTGTCAGAAAATCGCAGTCCAAACACTTCGAGGAGTGATAAAAATACAAATAATTTTAGGTTACTTTCGGTTATGTAGCCACAATGTCCGCAAGTTTTTTCTGCAATTTATAAAAGATTGTTTTGTGGAGTATTTTTGGAATACAAATTTTTGTAAATTTCTTTTCTGAAATTCAAGATAAAATAATTTACAAATTCTAAAATAAATCCCAAAGAAGTCCAACAACAAAACCACAGCTATTGCTGTGATTGTCCACATAAAGAGTAAAGTAATCGGTACTTTCCAACTTTACAGACCCACTTTTTCCTGTCTCCAATTTCAGCTGCTTGAGCACTTCTTCTAGCTGAGATGCCAAAATACTTTATAAAGACTGAATAAGAAATAATTATTTTTGATTGATTTTAGGGCCAAATACAAAAGGTAATTGGTATGGAAAAAAGGATATATGGAAATAAATAGGAAGGAAAATGGGGTCTGTAAAGTTCAATATTTCCAAATAATCACTAAAATCCAATTTAATGTTGTGGTGTTAAAATCTGCTAAGATGAACGAGAGGAGCGCTGAAAGATATGTTGCTGCTGTACATTTCAAGTAAATGCGTGAGGGACGTCGACACGTGATCAATCGACACTTCCTTTTGAAAAAATTATAAAAATTTTTGTTTAGATGCCATCGTGAACATTTTCATGCCCCCAAAATAATTTTTTCTCTATTAAAATAATCTTTTTGAGAAAATAAATATAAAAACTATGCAGAAAAACTTGAGGGCATTGTTACAACATATTCAAAATGACTGCAGTTAACATTTTAAGTAAGAGAAGATGAAAGAGTACACATCCTTTTTAAATGAGAGACGCTCATTACATTTTCAAAAATTTGAAATAATTTGAATAAGGCAAAATATAGGTTAACTATAGGCAAAAAAAAATAAAATTTTCAAACACCCAACCAATTCTTTCATTTTTTCTTCTTCACTTTATTTCAATCCAATCATTAAACATATTTTTATTTAAATTACTAAATATTTAAATTATTTTTTGTGATTATAATTTAAATTCATGTAAGAGTATCTAAGTAGATTATAATGTAGTGAACATAATGTTAGGTCCGTTGGAGGCATTATGTAATAGGGTTCGACCCCTAAACAAAATAAACGTCTTTATTTACCATACATCCACTAAGCACACAGAGAGTACCCTCGATTTATTGGATTTAATGCTGATAGTTTTTTCAGAATTATTAAATAATTTTTTAATTATTCGAGATGAAGTTATGTTTCATTTGTAAACAACATATAAACGAAAATGACCGAACAGTTCAAATCAATGCCTGTCTTCACCTGTTCCATAGAGACTGTTTAGACATTAAGAATGACAATTGCCCTGTTGACGGGTGTACAACGATTATTCAAGGAAATGCTCTGTTTTTTAGTTGGGGAAATTCTTCTGATAAGGGGTCTTTACAAGCTGTAGAAGCTGTTCCAATTACTCAGGTATTGAATTAAAATGTTTTATAAAAAATTTTTTAAAATTTTGGAAATTATTTATTTGAAGCCACCTGGAGATTTTTCGATTTAATTTCATTTTTTATGGCATCTGACTTTATACTAATTTTATCTGTAGCAAAATTTTTCAATTTTACGGAATTTTATGCAAAATTTTTGTAATTCTACGGCGATCCTGCTGTAATTTTTTCTTACTTCAAATTTATCTAATAAAGCTTTAAAAAGCAATAGTAAATATTTTTTTAAATATTTAATTTTATAATAGCCACACGATCCGAATCTGCCAATGACTCAAATTGTTCAAAGTCTCGTTTCCCCCAACCCGTACTCATGGTGATTAATAAAATTTTTAATAAAATTTTGTTTATTTTTTAGTTCGTTTTCGGGGTTTGATCAAGGCTGTTCTCCATCGACCGATAAACCTTCATCCGTTATTCCGACACAAAAAGCTCCGCTTAATCTACCTTTTCTTCCTGCACAACAGACACCGGCTATTCCACCACAACA